TATTTAAAAAAAAAAAGTGTCTCTTAAAATCCTGAGTCTTCAAGCTTAAAGCTTAAGTTTATGTTTTAAGCCAGCTTCCTGGTGTTTGCTTTTTTCAAAGATAAACTCGAGGCAAGGAAATCTCTCAAAGCTTTCTTTTACAGCCAGAATTATAACTAAATATTCTTTAGAACGTTTTCTTTCTATTTGCAGTGAGAAAATGTCTAAAGGTTTCTTAAAGTTCCGTAAGCTTATATCAAACCTAATACTCAGTCAGATCATCATCTCAAATCTTACAAATGTGCGTAAACTAAATAGCTGCATAAACTATGCTCAAATTCATTAAATAAGATATAAAAAGCAAACATCGAATACATTAATCACTCAGGCTTACCATTTGAGATGCAGCTCCTGAAAGCTTACGCATCAAGCAAGGCCAAAAACAAAAACTACGCCATCCAAAATCGGATTTCCGACTTTGACAAGCGACATATTTCCCAACCAAAAACCCAATAAACAAACTAGCCATGAATAACGAAGACTCTTGATAGCAGATGAATTTCATTTTGTAATTCCAGTAGAAAAGACAGTACAAAACATCACAAGTTGACACAAAACTCTGTCAGCTTCAGCTCTCAAAGTAAAAGAGTTTCAAGATGCTGCAGAAATTTTCCACATGAACTCACCTGTCAAATTTTTACCAATCAGAGCATAAAAATTGGAAGTAGAGCATGACCAACGCATGACTAAGGTGAGAAAGGAAAAGTCAAAGGCAACTAACTGTCTTCCCTGCCTGTAATAGCTGGCTGAATTTTCACGTGCGAGGTCAGTTTGAAATCAAACTTTTACTTGTGCGGCACATAAACATAACATATTTCATATGAATTTTTAAAAAAAACTAAACCTGAGCCTGTGATCATTTGAAAACTAGAAACTTGTCAGGGGATAACTTCAAGTTTAAAAAAATGCTCAACCTCGATGGGTCGACACCTGAGCCCGCGATACGGTCAGGTGATACTGGTTGGTGGATACCCTGTTTTGACAGCTGTCATTAATTATTGATCACAACATTGATGTGCAATATGGGGATTGAACATTGGTATACCTGTGGTGCAGACAGACATTCGCTAATTCATTCAGTGTACGGTCTCGTGATTACCAAATTTTCTGGGATGGGTAGATTTACTTACCCATGGTGCTCTGCTGGCGCAGAGCTCCGCTATAAACTCTATCTATGAGGAATCAAAATCCGAAATAGAGTTTTAGATTATTTCAGTTATTTATCAACAAAACAATGACCTGTACTGGTGACCTGTGACCTGTGACATGTACTCTGTACCTGCCAAATGTTATGTTTCACCTTAATTTGTACCAGACCTCCTAGATTTACTTGATGATTTAGGTCATAAGCTTAATCCTTCAATTACCGTTACCAATATTACTTGCTTATGAGACCATCATTTTCTGCGAAATAGTAATAAATTTAAGCTTAGGCTTACCTTAAGCCACAATATAACCTGCGAACAGGCTTTTTCTGTTACAAAAGGGAAGAAGGACCGCCTGATCGCAGGTTAGCTACAATATAACTAAACATACATGTAAGCTTACCTCACAAGACCCGTGCCAGATTTTTCACGACTTCTGCCATGCCAAGTTCGAGAATTTTTAGATCATGAATCAAGCCAAGTGTTGACGAGTAGGTAAAAGAACTGCTGAAGCTAAAATCCGAGTTCCAGAAGTGTAATTATGTTACTTTTGATACAATTTACTACACACGTGTTCTGTGGTCAATAATCCGTCGCCATATTAGTTTCGTTTAGGACCCAGTCTCTCGATTGGCGCGTGCCTCTCGCGCGCGGGCTTTCGCAGTGCTCGTTTCACGTTTCTCGAAGACTCGTAAAACGCGCTCAATAGAGTCAGGAAAATAAACATTTTCGTGCTTGTTACTTGTTCATGAACTTTCGCGAGTTATGGGTTAGATAAATAGTAAATATAATTATTACTTCTTACAGTGACGAGTACTTCAACTGAGTGAAAAGCTACAAAGAAGGCTATGAGAGTTTTGAGGATCCTTCAACGGAATCTCTCATCGTGCGATCGATCAGTTAAGGCACGCGCATACCTATCCTTAGTGCGTCCGATTGTTGAATACGCCACGGTTGCTTGGTCTCCGCATACAAATAAAGGGATTGACTGTGTCGAATCTGTTCAACACCGCGCAGCACGTTTTGTTAACAGCGATTACAGCCGCTATAGTAGCGTTTCATCTATGCTTACTGATTTGAACTGGCCTTCACTGTAGTCATACCTAACCTCCCACGCAGGCGTTTTTAGGGGAGCTCGGAGGGAAGAAATACGAGCTCCCCTAAAAACACCTGCGTGGGAGGCTAAGTCATACCCTGTCAGCAGAGGCCCTTCGATCTTCCTCTTCCCGGCTTATCTAAGAAGATCGGAGGGCCTCTGCTCGCAGGGTACTGCGGTCAAGGCGCACGGGATATGCAATCTCGGCATGTTTTTTAAGATTCATAGAGGTCAAGTCAACATCTCCCTTCCCTATGACCTTACCTCCGTGCCTGCGTATGGCCGTACAAGGGCGAGTCACGACTTTAAGGTCAGGCTCCCATCCTCTTCAGTCGACGCTTACAAACATGTGAGCTCAATCCTGCGTGGAACGCGTTATCAGCTGATGTTGCTAGTTCGGTATCTTACCCAGAATTTACCCGAAGAGTGTCCACTACTATAACATATTAACTTAATCACATCTTTTATTTTCATACCATGAAGTTCAACACCATATAAATGTAGACATTAGCGGTTTGTCGCTGTGGACCTGCTGATGTCCCTAATAAGGACGCCCCTGGGTCGAGACAGCAGTCTGCTAACGCCCAGGCGATATGGCTTTGCGCATGTGTTAGGTACTGGTCAGGTGGGTGTACGTCTGCTAATTGCTGTTAAGTTTGCTATAATCGGGGTAGGAAAACGCAGCTAAATACCTTCTGACCTTTTCCAGTAATAGTGTGGTTTGAAATGATTGCGCCATAGCGTGTGACACCCGCGCGCAATTTTGGTGGGGACGCCGCGCAAAGAATAAACAAACAAGTGATGTTGGAAATTAGCTTCATGGGAAGTACATAAATTCCATTTTCTGTCATTATTTTCAGGACAACCTTAAGCAGCGACGTTTTTGAGTGACGTACGTCAACCGGAAAGGACTTTTTGCACTCTTCAGCTGTGATTTTGAACAGATTTTAGGGCAAATCGTCTCTCTAAGTGAAAAAACACTTAGCAATACAAATTTGGTGGTGCGAAGGAATATTAAAAAGAAAAAGGCTTACTTCTGGTTGACGAGCGTTGCTCAAAAAAGTCGCTATTTAAACTCCCAATTGACTTCGAATGTGAGGACTGTGAATGGGACTCCGATTATAGTAATCACCGGAGTGAGATTGTTACTATTTTTGATTGATATAAAGGAGACAGAGGCGAGATTTTTTGAATAAAATTTCGGGGGAATATAGTGACGTTCATCTAAAGGTTTGACATCCAGGTGTAAAAAAAGTACAAAGTGACATTGATTTAGGAGAATTCTTCCTGCCGTGATTTCATGAGGTCAAGAAAAGCCCAGTTTCCCTACTACGATTTTCACTAATATGTTTGCGCATCTCGTTCTCCCTATCTTTAGTTTCTGAAAAAATATTGAATAGCAAATGATGCTACTCAGGCCACAGATAAACTATATGCCCTCCAAAAGTCATGTGATTGTCCTATTAACCAGGGATGCGCGTGGAAGAAGGGGAGATGGGAAGAAGAGAGCTTTCCCTCCTATGGTCCCCTTCGCGTCGAGATGCCGTAATAGTCTTCCGTGACCGTTCCATGAACGCTTACAAATGATAAGAGACGACTGGGGACGAGTCAGATTCAGTGGTGACGTATAATGTGATTAAGATTTTGATGGGTCAATATTTATTAACCTTCCAAGATCTCTATTTTAGTTACGCCCATCTTTGATATCTGTGGAGGCGTTAACGCATGGTTTTGGAGGGTTTCATAAGAGCCGTGTATGTCTTGTCTAAAATATTTTTGCAGTTTGCCAGACTTGACTGTTTTCTGACTTTAAAAAGAGGTCACTGGTTGAGATAACAGGGTGGTTGGATCAACGGAGGTGTAAAATAAGGCAATAAACCAGAAGTTATCAAAAGAATGAGCTACTAGTTGTATGGCCGGGTTCCACTATGACTGTATTCTGGGGTACAAATGGACGGGGAGTTGGGGTTGAACTTGCTTTGATATTCTTTCAGTGATTCACCCCACTCAGCAAATCGCTAAGGGCCTGTTTACATGGAGGTAGGGGACCCCAGGAAGGTGAGGTAACCCGGTTAAGTGGGGTGAAAAACTAATCCTCGTTTACATGCAATCTTACAACCCCGCCATCCCGGGGTGCACTTTCTCAAGATTATTGAATGGTCGCTAAGCACGTCAACAAGAAAAATGTTGGCAAACCACGTTTTTTGACGATTAATACTCTTCTGCTCTCAGTTGCTGCTCTTGATACAACTTTCAGTGCTGTGGCTTTCTATTATTTTTTACCTTTCATAATATAAAGCCACCGCCAAAGTGAATTTTGTGCGAACTTGATGTTATATCACGAATCCGACCCCGGCTAAGCGGGTTACCCCATGCACCTTGAAACGTTTACACGGCAAATTTAGACCCCGGCTTAGAGGTTTACCCGGTCTGGCAGACGGGGCTACGCGACTTGTCAGGTCGCCCCACCTATCATGTAAACGCAATCAAATTAAAACGAGAGACTATATGGACAGTCAGGCGGAATACCTCATGATCACCTACCTGGGCGGGTTCCCCCACCTCCATGAAAGCAGGCCCTAAGACTGGCTGGGTTCTTGATGAACAAGCCTAGTTCTTAGGTCACAATCTAGAATTATACAGGAACTTAAGCACCAAATATTGGAACTTTATCTTAATGTAATGCTTTATTTTAATAATTCAGTTAAGCATTTAAGATTGAAGGGAACATTTATCAGTTCACCCAGTAAATGCTCATTGTTTTTGAGGAGGCGGCTTCGTGTCCTTCTTGTTGTCAATAAGCTTCACTTCTGGTGGCGATGGTTTAATTCTGGGGAACTTGTACTCGGTATCACGATCATTGTCGTTAAAATTTTTCTCTGGAGGTGCCTTCATTTCCTTGCTGTTGTCGATGGTCTGAACTTTTGGTGGTGCAGGCAACACGCGAGGAAACTCCACAGGTTTCCCACTCTTGTTTGCCTTATCTTTAGTCTTTTTTGGTGCATCGTGTGTCATTTGGTCCAAAGACTTGGATGGATACCAATAGGATTTCACTTCAATTTCGGTGGATTCCTCAAACTGACCAACCATGGTGAAAGAATAGAGGTCTTTGTTGATTAGTTGGTCGATGAAATATTGTGCATATGGGTAATGTTGTTTCATGGCGTGCCACTGCCAAGGGTATTTGTTCTGATCGATTTGCTCCTCGAGATCTTCATAGAATGGCTTCTGGTCATTTCCAAACTTAAACGAAATCTTTTTTCGATCACCTGAGCCGCGGTGCTCCCAATGAAAGTTTGGACTGTTTCCATGGTAACCACCTCCCCAGACCATATAACCTTCTAGTGTAACCGTGAATGTTGGAAGGACTGTAGCAGTATAAGGAATTGTCACTTTTTGTGGCTTTCTAAAGGCATGCCACTCAGCAAATGTGTTTGCAGGTAACTCTTTTGTTTCTTTCAACCACAAAATATGCCAATCTTCATCAGCGGTTGTATCTTCTTCTTCGCCTCCCCACTCATATTTAAAGCTCGTCTTAGCAGAAAACCCCACCCCTCCAGTGGTACTTGGAGGTTCGTATTCCAAACCCACCTCAATTCCAATATTTCCATCCCAGCTGCTTCTCCTTACATTTTTCAAGGTCCTAGCGCTGCGAATCTCCTGTTCCACTACTGACGTACCGTTACTATTTTTTCTGTTGTACGCTGTCTTGCTATAGCTTCTGTCTGGAGAATCAAGCAACTCTTGCTCTCTGTCCAAGGGAATGGTCTGTGTAATGGACTTCCCAAATTTAACATCTCTCATTGTATAGGCAAAGTTCTCGTAAGTGATCTTCAGCCGAACGTCTTTTTTCGGACCATTTCCTGTACACCAGTGCGATCTGCCACCAAAATAAACGCGAAGAAATGGTTACTAACCATTTTTCATATCACGTGCTTTATTATAAACAAAAACCAATGTATTGCACGCCCAATATGGGAATGGTTTTAAAGTAATAGTAAAAGTTTTAGAACTTGTTCTGACAAAAAAGGAACATTATAAAGAGCTTAAAGAACCGTCTTATACTGTGAACCGCTAAGCTGTAATATTTTGCGGCCAGTTGTCTTCTATTATGGAATAATTCTAATTAAGATCACAAAAAAATATAAAGGTAACTGATATAATGACCAGTCATTTAATGATATTTTAAGCTTTCAACATGAAACGTTAAAACCAAAAAAACAACTGTGAAACTTTGATGTTCAGAATTTGTGTTTAACTTGAGCGTTGCCTTAGATTTTCAAAAACGGTAAAACTAATCACATTCTCAGGAAGTTTTCTAAAATATTCCTTTTTCACAAAAAGTATTTTAAATAAAGAAAAGTATTCATAAAACCTTTCCAGACGAGTTATAGGTCATCGTAATGAAGAACTGAGGAAGCATGACAAAACTGTCTGGAAATCATGTTACTGCCGGATTACCTATAGGTAGATTCCCATTTGTCGCCGTTACGACGGAAATCGTCCCCTGAGTATTTAGCGAAGCATCCACCAGACCATGCAAATCCCATCATGCTCGCCAACTGACCGAGGTTAAACATGGTAACATCCATCACGCGCTGCTTCAGTTCGCCCAATGATTTAAGCTTCGGAATTTCTAGAGAAAAATCAGAGTAAACAGCATATTTCAGGTTTAGGTAGGTTTAGGTTAAGTATAAGCTGGTGGTCCCTTCGAACTGAGAGGCGTATGTTTGTTTCCCCAACCCCCTGGGACAAAAGAAGGTCAGTTATTTTTATTGTGAGTGCTAAGAAGTGAGAGGACGCTCCGCGTGAAACTGGGCTACCTTTTTCAGTTCTGCCTTCAGGTATAGAAAAGGGTGAGAAATTCACGAGTTGAAGTAAATGGAAGGGTAGGGAAATCTCCCGTTTAGGTATTCAAAAGGCCTTAACTAAAATATTATTGAAAAAGGCGCAACTCATAGCTAAATTATTTTCACTTATTAAACCCTGCATATAAGAAAATAATTAAATACGACAAAGTAACGGAGTCCGATTAGTGTCATGCAAATTTTGTGCCCGATTTTCCTTTTCTGGACTTTCTCCTCGCTTTTAGTTTTATATCCCGTTTTTTTTTTCTTAACATTTTTGCCGACTTTTTTCTCGAATTTTCTGACCGGACTAGTTTCCATTCTGAACACAAGGACCAGACCTTTTAAGACATTTTTTTTAAAAATAAGATTTGAAAAGTAGCTGTATGGTGGGGATACACATTCCTTCAAATCTAAAGAAAAAAATTCAGTCTTCATTTTTCGCAAATATCTTTGTTGCCAATTCAACAAATGATAAACTGCTTATCGTTCGCTAATATCTGATTCGACTGGCCAATCTAGATGTATTTCAAAGATTTCTTTCAGACTTACCATTGACCATTTTGCAACATTTGAACTTCTTGATGTTCGACAGTCCTCCCTGTGAACCCTGAATCTGGAAACCTGCAATAAAGTATCCATCCCTGCGACATTCGCTGAGTCCAGCTTTATTAAATGTGTTGCTAACATCTTCGTCATAGCAGCCACCCCAATGGTAAGGATGCTGAGATGGTTTGCAGCATTTACCCCACTCGATATTCCACAGTCCGTCTCCGTTTGACCGATACAAACCTCGGAGGAAGAAACCCTGTTGGCAGTTGCTTACTCCAGTGCTGAGAAAAGTAAACGTCAAAACATCGTGGGTACATGATAAATGATAACTTCATTTACTAAAACAGTGTAAAGTAATTCATTATATAAACACCAATGAAATACCAAGTGAGCTTTCGCGCGAAAACTTGATATCTTCACATGTGAAAATATCACCGTTGTTATGGCTTCATAATAAACCGCACCTATCAGACCAAAAAACTATTTAAGTAAAATGGTTTGGTATTTCATGAGTGTTTATACAATAAATAGGACATTACATGGTCGCTTGGAGATACGAAATTTCTCTTCTCGTGTTGAAAAACATTTTTCAACACTCGCAGAGAAATTTCGTATTTCCCCGCGGTCATGTTATATCCTTTATAGAACCTGCAGGCAGAGGATTCTCTCTTTCATGGGTTTTAAGTATGCGTCGCTTGTCTGTCGCATTATCGGTTTAAATTTGGGGGTATGAAACAAGCCTACGCGACAGACAAGCGACGCGAACGACTTCGTAAACGCTAAAAGCCATGCAAGAGAGAAACCTCTGCATGCAGGGTAACATTATTGATAATAGAAATCTAAAACAAGTTGGAAAATGAATTTCTTATTGCCTTGGTCACCTTTCTTGGCCTCCTAGCGAATATAAATGTTGCGACTAAAAACATTGAAAAAAGCAGATTATTTTGATTATTGTATACGACGCGATACTGCCCATTGGCTGTTCTAAACCCTAGTCATCATTAGTCATCTCAAGGCATCCCTAGTCATTCCTAGTCATCCCAGTCATCCCTAGTTATCCCAGTCATCCCTACTCATCCCTTGTCATCCCAAGTCATCCCAAATAATTCCTTGTCATCCCTAGTCATCCCTAGTCATCCCTTTTGTACTGAGACACTCAACTTTAAGGTAGAACACACTTGTTAATCTCGACAGATGTTAAGTTACTTCTAAATATGGCTTACTCCGCCCGCGGGCAAGATAAAGCGAATCCTATGTTTTGATTGGCTAAGTGAGCGGGCAAGGTGGACCCACTCGGGATTTCACGCGTTGGTCCTGCAAGAAAAGGTATACTTTTTGGTGATTATAATAAATCCTTTATTGACCAGGTTTGTTCAGTCAAAATGGCTGAATATTGGCCTCGTTTTTTTCCCGTTTTTATTGACCTCGACTTCGTCTCGGCCCATAATAGGGAGCTTAAGTAAAGACGTTTTCGAGCGACGAACGTCAACCGGAAGTCAACGGGTAGTGTTTTTGCCTATAATTCTAAGGCAAATCTTCTTCTTATGAGTGAAGACACTTAGTAATACAAATTAAGTCGCGTAAAGGCATAGTGGAGGAAAAAAGACCACACTTCCGGTTGACGTGCGAAGCTCAAAAACGTGTTTGCTTAAGCTCCGTAATACTACCACAAAACGAACTTGGACAATATCCAGGCTTCTTGACCAGCTCACGCTTGATAAAAAACGCATATTTATTTATTATACGGTTGGTTCCGCTAGCGGGCAACATGAAGCGAAAACCTGTGTTCTTATTGCGCGGGGCACAATAGATGACCTAACGTACCCGCGCGGTATTATAGCCTCTTACAGTTGTAAAAACCGGAGACAAAACTTTAAAAAGGGGGTTACAGTCCAAGAAATTATTTACCCGTCAAGTGACCTGATCCAATCGGGCGTCTGACATTGGGTAGGTTGATTCCAGAAGGTTTGATCTCGACGGCAGCATTTAGCTCGCTTTATTCCTCGTAAGTTGTTAGTGCCATCTCGTTCGAAACCCACAAGATTATAATACGATCCACATGCTGTTTCATCGCTTTTTTTAAAATTGCTTCCCCAGTTTTGCATGTAGCATGATCTTGCGGCAGCTGAAAGTATTAGAATATTATAATTGAGAACAATTAACTGAATTTGTTCATTTTTTCACTTCTGATCTGTTTAAGCATAAATGTATCAAAATATGAACTAGCTAGTTACTCAACATTACGTTATACTAGACCTTCCTCTCCTCATATTCCAAAGAAATGATCTGATTAACAGTCAACAAGAAGGCAACTCTCCTCAGAGAGATGGTTCTTTCATCGCAGCCTCGTCATGTAAGGTAAAGTCTAGGATTCTTAGATTAAACGTAGTGGATTCCAGGTACTGGATACCGGTGGGATTCCTTGTCAGATTTATAGATAGTGTACACATTTTTTAGCTAAAATTCGAATCAATACCCTTCTGATCTTTTTACATCGGTACATGTGTGCAAAGCAATAAGAAAAAGGTCACATGTTTTGAGAACTGAAATGCCTTTCGGTAAAACCAGCTGCAACATGATTCAATAATCCAATTACTTACACGAGTAAAACAAAAAGGAGCTGCTAAACAAAAGGACCAGTTGAACTGGAATAATAAACCACATCGTAGGATCCGGCCTTTTCTGTGTTATACGACTGCAAAAGCAAAAAACGAATTAGCCATTTATGACGATGCCGTGGTTTTTGAACCCAAGAAAACTAGGCTCTTCTCAGGCTTCCTAAAGAGAAACCAGGGCGGGGTTGTTCTAAGCTGTGTTAAGATAACCCAGGGTTAGTGCGACACTGAAATTCAGACATGAAGCCCTAAAAACCCAAATTAGTAGAACTCTTTTTGTTTACAATTGGATGATTGAATGCTCTAAAGAGAATGGAGAAAATTATCAGAAAAAATGCTTTTTGAACGAAAGAAAACTGAAGAAACTTCGGTTTTCGAACAACTGGCCCTTGAGTCCATGACTTCTAAGTTAACTGGTGTCAGCGGCCGACTCTATCAAGAGGGCAACAAACGGAGACGGCGGCAAAAACGAAAGAGAAATCGTCGTCGTTTGTTTACTTTCTCAATAAACATGAAATAAGGCAATCTCACGTTGTAGTCGAGTAGTGAGAGCAAAGAAATGTACCAAAAAGTGTGCTGCACGTGCAAAATTGTTGTTTTGCTAATCTTGCTCGGTAGTTTATAAACAAAATAAAAGGAAAAAATCAGTTTGCCTTCTTTTATTACAACTCAAACACAATCATTTATCATTAATATTGTTTGCTGAATTGACTTGTAAAAGAGAAAAAACTTGGAACCGCGATTTGTTCCTGTTGTGTGATCATCAAGTGCTTGATGTTGTGTCTACGATTAGTGGAGAACTGGAGTTCTGCTAAAAGAGTACACAGCCTAACAAAGTTGTTGTATAGTTTTTGTCGTGAACCTTTCCCTTTGTCGTTCTAACCTTCAAAAGCAGTCTATCATGATCTTATTTACCGAGCTTTCTCCGCTGTTAAAGATACATAAAGAATTCCCAGCCCACTTGTTTAAAACTATCTTAAACCAAACCGATCAATTAGAGCTCCAGAGGAAATCACGGTCAGGAAACTAGCCTGCATTATTGTAATTAAATATTGGCAATGTAACAGAAATGTTCAACTGAGCAAGCCAAATTCGTCTTAGTTGTCTGTTAGCAAAGGAAAATAAGGCAAAAAAAAATTGGCGCATCGAACTACAGAGAAAATAAAACTACGGTTAGGAGAAGAAAGTGGCAAAACTGAAAAAACAGCCTAAAACATCGATTAAAACAGTCCAACATAGGCTTAAAATCAGCCTAAGACGCTATAAAAACAGCTGAAAAATCAGCCTAAAACCGCTACAAAAACTGTCCAAAGTAGCCTAAACATCAGCCTAAAACCGCTACAAGAACAGTGCAATACCGCCTAAAAGTCAGAATAAAACCGCTATGAAATCACTCCAAAACAGACGAAAAATCAGCCTAAAACCGCTACAAAAACAGTGCAACAAAGCCTAAAATCAGCCTAAAACCGTTACAAAAACAGTTGAAAACAGCCTAAAACCGCTACAAAAACAGTCTAAAGCAGACTGCTATAAAAAGCCTAAAAATCAGCCTGGAACCCCTTTAAAAACAGTCCAAAATAGGTTAAAAATCAGCCTAAAACCCCTTTATAAACAGTCCAGAATAGCCTAAAAGTAGACTAAAACCCCTTTAAAAACAGTCCAAAATAGCCTAAAAATCAGCGTAAAACAGCTTTAAAAACAGTCTAAAACGCCTAAAAATCAGCCTAAAATACCGATAAAAACAGTCCAAAATAGGCTAAAAACAGCTTAAAAATCAGCCTAAAACCGCTATAACACCAGTCCAAAACAGCTTAAAACTCAGCCTAAAACCGCTACAAAAACAGTCCAAAACAGACGAAAATCAGCCTAAAACCGCCATAAAGACAGTCCAAAACAGCTGAAAAATCAGCCTAAAACAGCGATAAAAACAGTCCAAAACCGCCTAAAAATCAGCCTTAGAACGCACTGATTTTGTGCTAAAAGTAGTTTCAGAAACACAAAAAAAACCTGAGAATTGGCTGAACTTAATTACTTACCAGCTGAGATTTGATTGCGAGATTTACACTGTTCGGAGGTAAGTTGTTTATGGTGATTCGCGTGGCTTTTGTTTCCTTGAAAGATGGAAAATTTGACTGACCGACTGATTGACAGACAGGTTGTCTCAACAACCTATAGCCATAGCGATTTAATTAACTGGACAAATGAAACTAGTGAAGCATGAATTATTAGCTGAAAAGGCCTCTAAATATTTGCTTTCATTTCTGTGATAATTGTTGCATAGTATATTTGCCAGAAGAGCGTTTAACAGAAAATCAATACTTTAACTTTTTGAGCCATTGATCCATGATAAGGTCTTTAAAGTTCAAGCCAATTGAGAATATGAATGAGTTTTTGATTCGTACTCTGTAGACTCTCCCTCAATTTATACAAACTCCAAGCTTCGTTTCTACAATATTCCATGTAAATTATCCATCCTAGTTTGCAATGAAACCGTGGCGTTTTGTTCAGTGAAGCATTTCAGTCAGTTCAGTGTCTACTGTTTTCAATTAACAAATAACTCATCGCTAAATGATTCAGATTATGTCTTTTCTTTACAGTGTAGCTTCATTAGGTTCAACAAACAATTACCAGCAGGGCCGTAGCCAGGTTCAACAAACAAATCACCAGAAATTTTGTTTGTCTGAAAAAAAAATAAAAATCGAACAATATTGGTAAAATTTTACAAACTACTGACCAGATTTTGTTTGCTGAAAGAACAATCAAACTCTTTAAGAATCAGATTTGGACTCAATTCCTTTGAACGTTTTCTAAAAAGCTAGCCTTTAGTTTCAGTATAATTCCTCCGCAGGCAATTTATTTCCCTTCGAAGTTTTGTTAATCTGAGATTACAAAATTGCTAGAATTACAGTTTTTGAGGGGGAAAATATAATTCTATTAAAAAATTTATTACTCAGCAAGGTAATTAGTGCATGAAGCGTAAAATGTAAAGTATCTAATTGTAAACAGGTTCTAGATGAGTGAAATCACTGGAAACAAATGAGAAAAATTGTTTTTGGTTGTGATCCTTTTTAATAATATATTATCCTTTTAGCCAGTACCTAGAAATATCTGGTGAGTGATCTTTTTAGTCAGTCCAGATAAATCCGAGGGGACGCTGTTTTAGAAAGTATAGATCTTCGGTAAGTTTGTTTTTTTTCCCTTTTATCTTGCATCACTGGCTGAAACTAGATCAGTGAGTAGCTTCAAATGCAAAAGACGTGTAAGCGAAATTAAGGTTGCAGATTTGCCTGTAAATTTCCATCTGTATACGTATCTAGAAAGTAAAAGTACCATAAAATGAACTGAGCTTCTTGGCTCTTTATCTGCGATAGAGTTTTCCAGTTTCTCCAGAGTTGTCCGGTGAAAGGTGGGCAGCTTTTTAATGAAATATCGGTCATAAATGCAAAGCAAATAGCAAACTAATCACCCTCGATTTACGATGTAAAGGGAAATAGTGGTATATTTGCCGCCTGTAATGTTTGTTGCACTTAATTGTAAATCAGTTGTACTGAAAGTGACTGTCATATTTTCCGTAGCAATGGGTGTCAGAATTCTGTTCCTGGCTGCTGTGGTTCTAATATTGTTTCTGCGGAACTCATCCTCACAAAGCTGTCATGACCACAATGATTTTGAGCAGCAGATGTCGAAAGAGGGGTACTCAAGGTGTCCATGGGTGAACCATATGTATATCAAGGGATTCAAGAAGAAAAGCTCACCCAATGATTTGAGAGGTTTCAAGGCAGCAAAATGCTGTGTGCCCCCTTCAGTTTATCTATGGAAGCCTAATATTTGTACATCCGCTGACTGGGATTTGAGTTTTAGAAAGTGGGTTACTTTTACTTACAATATAGCCAAAGTTAGCCCAAGCTCACTAGGAGAGCCCAGAACAACAGCTAATTAATTATTCATACGGCAAAAATTTAAGACGTTGTATGAAAATTACCCTATTTCTCCATAATTGAGCGAAAACGTGCATTGAATTTTTCCTTTTAAGCTTGCATTTTGTATTTTCTTATGTTTACTTGTGTGTTGACTGCGTTTCAGGCCTCTTAGGATGCCAAGAACCTGAGAACAACACTACCCTACTAAGCTAATAAATTATTCACACAGCGAGAAAATTATAAGACGTTGTATGAGAAATATTCTTTGCTCACCAAATTGACTTGTGCATTAATACGATATCGCTTCAAAACTTACCTTTAGGGTCTTCTTGATTTTCATTGCGTTCTGACTGCATTTTAGACCTCCTAGGCACTGTTTAATGCTTTTTTTTTGAGAGACAGTTTTTCGCCCAGATGACAGTAGAGAGAAAAGAAGACTTGACCGGCTCCGCTCTCGGCGGCGATAAACTGCATGACATTAGGGACTTTAAGATAGTTCACTGCGGTCGCCTGTGACGGTTGGATAGATGTCATGTCACGCACAAAAAGGAGGGCATTTTACTGTCGTCCTTCTGGGACGGTATGTTTTCGCGGGGATTCTCGTCGTGAAGACAACGGTGAAACCTGTAAGAGTTCATGCATACTTACTGTCACTTGTCTTCTAAAACTGAGTACCCAATGGGTTAAATATGCGTTGGGTTGTGTTTATATTGATTTACCGATCGGTGAAATGAAAAAAATAAACAAATAAAAAATAGCGAAAACGTCTGAGTTCAATTATGAGGCATAACTCGTCGCCTGACGACTACTTGTTTTCTACTTAGTGTCATCCGCCATGGCAGAAGAAAAATTGCCGAAAAGAAAGGTAACTAATGATTGTAGCCGTCTTTTTCAACGTAAAACTGTATTTATATCACGAAAAGATTTCTTTAACTCAAAAGGTGTTAGCTCAGGAGAGGAAAGTTCAAATAAAAACATCGATTAGCTTAGAAAACTAGCTAGCTGTAATTTCTACCCTTACTCTTCTTTCGCCATTCTTCGTATAAAATAAGAAACTCTTCTTCAGTAATTTAGCCTTCTGCGAAAGAAATTACAAGGGAGTTTCGCACTTCATCAAATGAAATAGTCATATACTTAACCGTCCTCTGTTTTGTTTTCCGAATCTTAAATTGAAAATTTCGCGCCCTTTTACTGTCATGGCCCCAGGCCGCCCTTATACGCATCCAACCGTCCCAGCCTACCGTAGTGAACCATCTTAAATTCCATCTTGGCATCCTAAGAGGCCTGAAACGCTTTCAACACACAAATAAACATAAGAAAAATACAAATGCAAGCTTAAAAGGAAAATTTAATGCGCGTTTTCTCTCAACTATGGAGAAATAGGGTAATTCTCATACAACGTCTGACAATTGTTGCCGTATGAATGATTAATTAGCTGTTGTTGAGGGCTAGTCTCTCATAGCAAGCTTGGGTTACCTGTGATATAGCTAGTCCACGTTCATACTTTCATCCTGCTCATTATTTAGCGATGTAATATTTTTTAGGGGAAAGGATTTGGAGTGAAAACATCATCTGTTTTGTCTTTTAACGGCTTGTAAATTATTCTTTTGACTAAATTTAGTTTTATCGTTGTTAAGTTTAGTTTCTTAACGTTATAAGGAGTATCGTTAGTCTTATTGCCAAAATACATGTATGAGTACCAAATATACCAGAAATTAAGGCAAACTTTATCAATCAATCAATCAAGAGTGGCAGTTCTGCTAGTGTCTCCGAAAGAAAAATAATAAATAAAACAAAATAAAAATAGAAATAGTACAATTAAAATAAATTTTATAAAAAAACACAGGAGCCGATTACTTGCTCCTGATAAACATCAATTACACACACATGATATATACAACTATTTTTTTCAAGTTCATTGCAAATAGGCTTATCGGCCATTCTCGGTCGTCTTTGAAATAGCACATACTTTTGTAAGTTAAGAAAAATTGAAATCAGAGGCCACTTTCACGAAAATCTCGGTAACTTTTTGCGCTCAAAGTCAAATATTCAAATCGGAATCGAAAGAATAAACGCACATTTTGTTTTGTTAACTGACAGTTTAAATCATACTATCTTTATACTATCCATCGGATAAATCTCTATTCACTGGATAACGCAATTGCTTTTCCTAATTTATCCACTGGATAGTGATTTATCCATCTTTTGAACAACGGAGGCCAGGGTTTCGAGATACAGGCCCTAAGCGAGAATTACATCATGCGTAGATTAAATTGTTATTATTTTTTCTAGGGAAGGATGGGCTACCTGTCCATCCGGGCATTTCCTCCTTGGATTCCACCGGGGTGGGAGTAACCAATTGAGGAGTATTCAGTGGGCCACTTGCTGTAAGCCAGGCGTTCATCCACACCGCTACAAAGAATGCTATGATCAGAATGTTGGAAGCGGAGATACCTGGGAATGCAACAGACGTTATTACTATGTTGTTGGTATTCACCGAGGCGCATCCGAGAGTCTGTCTAGTATCAATAGACTAAGATGCTGCAGCATGTATGACCGTATGTATTACGTGGAATCTAATCGATTTAGCCTGGTCAAATAGCAGTTGATATTTGATGCAGACTGCTATTGATGAGACTGTTAAGGTGGTGATCAAGGAACTATCTACAATTGTAGTTCCCAGGGCTTTTTCTCACACTTCCCATTATCTTGGGGGGAAAGCTCTGGGAACGAGTTGGATCAAGGAATGGTACTTAGTCAAATGCAATCGCCCAACGCAAACTAACCAAGTCAAATGATGACCAGATGACTGCGTTTGGTATCGCAAATAAAGTGCTTTTGAATCTCAGTCATTATTACCAGGAGCCAATTACCCGGAGCCTCCATCTCCCATATATGCCCTTAGAGTTAAACCTTTCCGTTTTAATCTATTTCTGTTAGTAAAAACTGAATCATTGGATGATGCAATTATAGGGTTCCGATTGGCTTAGCCATTATACCATGCTCTCCAAATATGGTAACTGTAGGCGTCTGCTCAAAATTAAAAACAAGCTGAAAAGCGGTTGTTTTTACAAAAAATAATAAAGTCGGAAAGAGTTCTCGATATTTTGTGGGCATTTTTAATAAAACAAACACCGTCGCGCTTGTTGGATTGGGATGATTATAGCCAACTCGACGCGTGCGCCTCGTTGGCTATCTAACATCTCATATCCAAAGCACACTCGTCGAATAATTGTTAATTATAACTGATCATGGGATAATAAACATTGTACTCGCTTAAGAACTGTCTAACAATTTTTTCTTTCGCCAACAGAGGTTCTCCCTTTGAAGGGCCTGGATGACGTCAAAACACGAATAATGGATGTAACTCTGAGTAAGCTTGCTCTTCTGGCTCATTATCTCGGGTATGGCTGGGCTAGCGGCTGCAGAGGACGAGTGGTGGGTGAAGACTTCATACGAGATGGGGACAGGTGGAAAGCTGTTTACCGAAGCGGTTGTAGTGGATACATGTCATCGCAAAGACTGAAGATCGCCTACGAAAACTTTTCCTTCAGAGTCAAGAAAATGGACTACAAGAAACCTGAAATTAAGTCAATTAAGCCCATTGTGCAGGATGCCGGAGAGATAAAGAATCAAGATTCCTTGCCAACTACAACGAACGTAAGGCGTCAAATTAAGAGCGTGCGCACTGTAACACACTCATCAACGGAAAGGTTTAAGACGACCGTTGGTGCCTCTCTGACGCTTAGTTATAAGTCCCCAGGGCTGGTTGGAGATGTCGCTAAGGGAACCTTCAAAGCATCTTTCACCGTGTCTGGTGGAAAAGAAAGTGCGCAGTTAAACACAGACACAAATGGCGAGATTAAGTGGGATATTGTCACCGTGTCTGAAACACAGACGACTAGTGGCAACGCAGGAACATCTTACCAGATTACCACTTCAAAGAAGCAGATCGACGTACCATACAAAGCTACAATACAAGTTCAGTTCACAGCCAGGCTTGAAGGATTTCTCAGATGGGGTGGTGGTCCCAATGGAAAGAATACAAATTATCATCAAAAATGGCGAGGCTCCGGCGATAGACCCACCTTTAACTACAACATTGGTACAACGGACAAACCATTCTACAAATTTCTGAAAGAGGCAAGTGATCGAGGAGACAGTCCTTGGCTTTGGCATCTGTTAAAACAGAAAATACCATACTCGCAAACCGTGCTGAACAGTCTGACCGATGAAAGCTTGTACGAGTTTGAACTTCATGGCAAGTTCCGCGATGTGGCCGGATTAGATTTCAATGTTCAGTGGGACGACGTGGCTTTGACAAATTATACTCTGTCTTTTTGAAACAAAATGGGTTTCTAAAGAACCGACTAATTAAACAGTTGAATAACGATCTCCCTGATTTGTTAGTTATGGTTAACATACCAGAAATATTTAAAAACTAAATGAATAAAATAATAATAATAATGAAAGTTTAGCCGGCATTGTTTTGTGGTTAGAACGTGGAAACTACCCCTCGGTGTTCTCTAGCGCTATAAACTTTCATTAGACCCCTCCCTTCACAAAGTAAAACGAGATATCTTTTACTCTCTTCCCACTTTGAGTAAGGTCGGAAGGAAAATTGCATATGGTACTGAAAAACAGTTACACTTACTATTTATTAAAGCTTGGCGGCATTGAAAAAAAAATGCGTCCTAACAGTACGTTTAATAAACACAGCCTTTCCACCATTTCTTCATTCTGTTATAGTCACCTCATTGAACTTCACATTCACTCAACGTTTTCTAACAGATTTCGTGTGCATATTTTTTCCCGGGGTGTACCGCCCGATTTTCCAGGTCCTGATCCTATTTCAGACCAAAACATGGCGTAGAGCCAATTTCAGACCCACAAAAAAATACACCCTTTCTAGGAGTTGTACTCGGTCTGCCAACCCATTACCTTGTGAAAGTGGAGTCAATATACTGTTTAGGCTTTTTTATCTCGTAGAATTTGACACTGAACTTTCTTCATTTAGAGTGTTAAAAGGACAAACTGACCCTCGTTGTTCCTTTGAAAACCATACGATTTCGTACCATAATGAGCAAAATCGATATCCGTTTCATACCAAAACGGCTCAAAACACCATACTCTTCGGGGTAGCACATACGTTAATAGCTTACATAGGGGAGTAAACCCCCAGGGTTTTTTCGCATTTCTCTAGAAATTATGGATGTTCCCAAGTTCAGTTCCATTCCCTAATTTACAGTCAGTCAACCGTAAAAGGGGGTCCTTTATATCTCCAGACCTCCTACTCCGATTTACATAACAGAGTTCACCAGTGGAAATGTCGGTTTATAAGCTGTATTACTTTAATGTCCGTGGTAGAGGTGAAATTTGCCGACTTGCATTTGAAGCGGCGAATATTGAATATGAAGACATTCGGTTAGATGGCGAAGACTGGGTCAAGGAGAAGGAATGTAAGTGAAAAATTCTCGTGACCTCTGATTTGACGGATTTTTATATATATATATGTTATTGTTATTATCGCTACAGTGTATTTAAAAAAGTTTAGGTAATTTATTTGGTTCTGTATTGTAAAAAGCTGGCCACGTACTCCGTATCTCCAGTCCGAACCCAGCCTTACATAAAAAATCAGTACTTTTATTGATCGAATTTAACAGTTCTTGTTGTCTGAAAGATCGAGACATTATCAGTAGTAAGTAGTCCTTCTATCATCGCAAAAATATTGTAATTCTGGGAGTAGTGAAATGAAAAGCCAAAGAAGCTATCGAGGGCCAGGCCGGGGGCCAGGCGACTGACTTACTATGGTGAACTGAAAAGAAAAATGTCTTGTAAAATAATGTCGCTTTCCCCCAAAGCTTTATTACCATTCTAGTACTTTACCAAAACCCTTTTAAATTTAAAAAAAATGTGTGAATAAGTGAGCTGTACGATCACACAAAACTGGTTCAAAGCGGTTAAGAGCACAGGGTACCCACTCAAGCTTCCAAAGTAAACGGGACAACCTCCTTACTACCTTTCCTAACGACCTATGCGCCGTAGTCAACGGGATCTCGGCATTCAAAGACCATTTCGTAAGGAAACTCCATTAAATTGCTTAATCAAGCTTCTGAAAGCGACCCGGGCTTCGACTAGAAATACGTAAATCGCAGGACCTCGCGAACGACTTGGGGGAACGGCAAGTAAAGCCGAGAAGAAAATTTGTGAATAAAAAATTGTGAGCTATATATAGAAACATAACAAAACTGTTATACCTAAAATGAAAACTAAACTAAAAGAAAAGAAGAAAAAGAAGAAAAGAAAAGAAGCGAAGAGAAAAAGGTACTGACCAGATTCGAACTCGGATTAAATTCGTTTGTAGTCATTTTACTCGTTTAATTCTTTGTTCAATTTTCTTTTTTGGTAAAACAGCTGGTAGACCTCCCCTTGGTCAAATTCCATTTATTATAACTCCTGAAGGAAAAATCCTTGGACAATCTAACGCAATTGCGAAGTTCATCTGCAAACAAGGAGGTAAGTCCTGGCCAACATGCCATCCCCTGGAGAACATACAATGAAGTCATCAGAAATTTTGTGAAAAGCAGAGTTTATAAATGTTTCCTTGCGTTTTTCTTGACCATATGCCAAGTATTCGACAATTTGTAAATAAACAATTAGGGCCTGTTTACATGGAGGTGCGGAGCCCCAGATAGGTGAGGTAACATGTAGTGGGTCACCCCACCTATCATGTCAACGTGATCAAATTAAAATGAGAGATAATATGGACAGGCGGGTTACTCCATCTAAGCGGGTTACCTCACCTACCTGGGGTCCCCCACCTCCATGTAAACGGGCCCTTAGACAATGACTCTAATTGCTTCAAACAGCAGCGTGTGTGTGTGAAACATGCGATATATGCTTGGTTGTTGAGTTGATTGTCATTGACACAAAACTGTTTTTGTGAAGACTCCTAGGGTATGTTTTCACTTAGGTCTAAGTCCAAGTGATAGTTTTGACGAGGCCATTGCCGACATGATAAGTGATGGTGTTGAAGATGTTGTTGCTAACATCATCGAGGCTTTCATGGAAAAAGATGAAGATAAAAAGGTCAGTTTTTGAGTTATGAAAAATGTAAGGAGTTATATGTTATTTCATTTGTTTGAAGGTTCGTTTGTTCAACTGTTTATTCTTTCACTCATTCAATCTACCCATTAAACATTCATTCAATGCATTCAATCCGATTACAGAAAGGTCGTTTCAGATGTTCTTTTTTTCTTTTGTGTAATAGGTGAAGTTGCAGAAAGATTTTTTTGAAAACATTTTTCCTGCCAAACTCCGCAATTTTGAGTCTCTTTTGAAAGAAAGAAATGAAGGCAAAGGCTTTTTCCTGGGAGACGAGGTAAGTGTAAGATGAACATCCGTCTTTCATAAAGAGGACTAGGGTCCTCGAGTTTGCTCAAGGTGACTCGAAACTTTTTAGCGGAGCTCCGGCGCGCGAAGCGCGCCAGCGGAGTACCATGGGTAAGAAAATTTGGTAAACCATCCATCCGAGAAAATTTGGTTATGACGTAGCGTACGCCCGCACACTCTTTGCGGGGGAGGGAAGGGAATCAGGTGTCAGCCCGTCCAGGGGAGGAGTATGTTATAAATCGCGCGATGCATTTGTGCAACCCGCTTTTTTCTTGGTGGGAAATCGCGCAAGAAATGGCGTGGCTGTCGTCGCGTTCATTTTTCTCTTAAGTCACCCAGCCCTACCCTTAAACGTCATATGGATCTCCCCAGTTCACCGATTTGTGGATTACAAGTTTATTGTTTGATTTAAATTATAAATTAATTACTAGAGCTACGCTTTTAGCCCTGGCTAAATCTATATATTATTCGCGTGCGGTTGGTTACGTTTTGGACTCGCAAGCTCTAGCCAGAGAGAGAGGGGAGACGGGGAGGGGGGAGGTGCGGTTCATGTAGGCTAAGACGGATGGGGAGGGGGAGAGGGAAAGAAAAGCGAAAAGGGGACCCCGATTCAGCCCTCCCTTGCACTTACCTTCAGACGCCTGCCACACACGCTGTACTTGTAATATTATGATAATAAATGTCTTGTCTTGTCTTGTCTTGAGCCAGCTCCAGCAAGAAAGAGTTCTCCGATTTCTATGAGTTTTGGTCATCCTAGTAAAATGAAGAACGGTGGAACTTACAAAAACTATTATTCAATAACACTTTGACAAAAAAGTGAAATCTTACCACATATTTCCCTATTTTCACAAAATAACCTTTTGTGCCCTCAAGCTTTGTATTTGCAATCGAGTTTGGAGGCGATCATGACCATACAACTCGCTTCACAAATTGCTGAGGTTTTCTTTCTTTAAATGCCACGCTAACATAAAATTGATATAGCATCTACGGAAAACTCTCACCAGTTCAGTTTTTGCAACGGAGGTTTCCTTTGTGAGGAGAAATAATGCCGCCAATTCCAGTATATCTTACCATCCACTTTATAGCTGCAATGAAAGCCTTGTGTTTGATAATATATAATTTAAGAGAATACATTTCTGGTAACTAGCTTTCACACTCTCACAAGCTATCTTTGTCATCTCTAAAGGCATTGTCGCAAAGTTAACATGTGGATAAAATTGTAACAATTATTCACCGAAGTGGAGGTGGCTAGGCTACTATTTACCGAACTGCGACTAGCCACCGACACTGAGGTGAATAATTATTTTAGTATATACTAAAACAGTGAGATAGTTGAGCACAAAAATGATGATTTTTAACTCAAATACTGTTGCCAACGATTACAATTTTGGCGCGTAATGACCGGGCGGCCGCGGCCGCCGCTTTTTCTTGCCGACAATTAAAACTTTTGAAGGCATTTGTTTAGCTCTTGCGGGGAAGTTTCTTCAAAAGAAGTTGTGAATTCTTTTTGTATTTAAACTCATTCTATAAAAAAAGATTATTAAATTTAGTTTTAAGCTTATTTATGAACAACTCAACTAAATAAAGTAACGCAAGACTTAAACTTAATTTGCATTTGTAAACAAAAAACTTTTTCACCGGTTTTATCGATAAATTCGTGTCAAAAAGACAAAGTTTTACCTGTTAAAACTTCCAATCCGAACTTCGTCACCTTCTTCGTGTATTTCGGAAACAGCTTGCTTGATTAGTTGTGAAATTTCTTTGTTTGTTTACGGCAGAAACCGGGAAGGCATGTTGCTCGCAACTCACGCGAGTTTGGCGACGGTCGCTCGGAGGAACTGGAGGTGAATCAGTGAATAGTGCAGGATATTCACTGATTGAGTAGCCAATCAGAGCACGCGAAAAACACTAAACACTGTTTTAGTAGATGCTATTTATTTACCCGTTATTTACTACGAAAACAGATTTTCATATTGTCATTCTAATTACCCTCAAGTGGAAGCGAGATTAAAAAATAACATTAGTAATTCCGAAAGTAACTTGAATGCATTAATTTCTCTTCCTTTTCCCTCCCAGATGACGTATGCTGATATTACATTCTTTAATATGTGTAACGCGTTTGCCGAGGGCAAGCCAATTGTACCAAAGCAACTCAGTGAATATCCTCTCTTGGTTGAGCATTACGAACGTGTTCTGAATGTGCCGCAAATAAAGGGCTGGATTGAGAAACGACCGAAAACCGACCATTAATGATGCTTTTAATACTGTATGAGGGCGAAACCTAAAAATATCAGATCCCGTACATCGCTTCAGTACTTTTAATAAACTTCTACAAAACAACAATGGTTCACGTCTAACTTTTTTCCTTTCTGGCTGGCTCTCTTTATAAGTTCAGTGCTTTTCCATCTTGCACAGTAATAGCCCGCGTATAAGAACCTGAATTTTTCAGTTTAGCCTAAATAGGTTCTTATATAAATGGTACTTAAAGCAAATTTAGGCTACCGAGGTTCTTAAAATAGGTTCTTATATTTTCATATGAATTTCATCTGAATACACTATATATATTATAAATATCATCTGATAATACAGTATAAATCATTTATTTGTACCATAGAGCAATGCCTATATAGGCAGTTCAGTGCAGGTACAGCATATGTCCTAGATGATGATCTTAATTCAGCAGCTTCTACCTATACACTAAATATGTGGAGGGGGCTTAAAATGAAAACTTTAGCCGAACAGGTTCTTAAAACCCAGGTTCTTATACGCGGGCTATTACTGTATTTCACGTTTGATAATGGTCTTGAAATAAGAACCGAAATATTACGTTTATTTATTTTGTGTCAATTCTTGCTTACACTAATATTTTAAGTTAGCAAGATGTTTTTCGGAGTTGTTTTTGTATTATATGTTCACTGTCTAGTTGGGACCCTTATCCTACTCTTTGTAGCACACTACCACTGCCTCTCGAGTCTCAAGACTGACACAGAGCGTTTTCTTGAGAATGATTCAAAGGGCGGGTCTTATTCGTTCAGGGTGAGATAGGAAACGGGGGAAGGGGGAGGAAGGGGTTGTATATGTTCAAGGGCGGATTTAGGGATTAGACGAAGGGGCGCCCGACCAGCCCTTTTTCTTTGAAATTTTGTATTTTTTTTATGGAATTCTTAGAAAAATAAAAAGTATCTATATGGCTGGCAAGTGGGCAAATGTCTCGGCCACCCCTTTCTGAAGTTTCTAGATCCGCTCCTGATGTTAAGTGGCGGTCCGCTAGAATTTATCTACAAACTTGTGCAATGGTTTATGAACTAGGAATATCGAGTTTGCACCATGCTTTTCCTGGACTAGAGTTCAAGACATCGTAGCTTAAGAAAAGAGTAATAAAATACAAGATAAAAATTTCCCCTGTTTATCTGCACACATCACCAGTAACACTGACAAGCTACTGTATTACATTCTATTACTTTAAGTAGGTAAAAAATGGTACATGTGCACACGAGCCAAATCCCAAACGGCCTTAGTATGAGGCATGCCTTGGAGTGTTGGTACCTTCCCCTGGATGGGATGCTAATCCCTCGCAGGGCTACCCCCCTCCCCCCCCCAAATAGTATGTTGCCCGTACCCATTTATACACGTGGGTGAAGAGAGACAAGGTAGAGTTAAGTTCCTTCTCTAAGGAAACAACGCAATGGGCAGGGCTTGAAGCCCAGACCTCCAGATCCGGAGATCAAGGTGTTAACTGCTTGGCTACACAGTAAGTAGGCTGCACAATTAACAGGTTTTATTTTGCAGATTCCAAAGATGTTCTACTTTGCCCTCAGCTTAACAACACGTTACCGTAAATCCTCTATTAAGCCCCCCCAGGGGGCTTATTTATTTCAAGCCCATTTGAGGGGGGGTCTTAATAGACTGGGGGCTTATTTCAGAGGGGGGCTTATTTAATTTAAAAACGACAATGGTACCAGTTCTCCATAAAGAACTAGATTGCAAAGTGGAAAAGCTCATGTACAAGAAGTTTTAGGTCATGCAGCTGAGAATCAGAATCAGAATAAACCATCCTGGATCAGTGCACACAAAGTTTTACAGTCATGGTTGATTGATATAGTCTATCATTTATTGGTGAAGAATAAATAGGGGAGGGGAGGGGGGGGTTATTAGAGGGAGGGGGCTTATTTTAGAGGGGAAGGGGCTTAATAGAGGATTTATGGTATGCACTCTACACTTTTAATCAAAGCTGAGTTGCTTAGTAACTTATTTATTCAACTCTTTCACAGGACTGTATCTGGCCTTGTCTTGAGGCGTGTCTTAACCGCTGGTATATCGCGGACGCGCTCGTAAAGCCCTTGTAGCAAAGGAAGTTCTTTCAATTCATCTGGGTAGCCATTGATCTTGTCCTTAGCCATCCAGCTATTCATGAAGTTAAAGAAAGAAATGTCTGCATAGCTTAGCTGGAAAGAAAAAGAGTCCATTTTTAGACTCCAATGGGAAGTTAACGAACTTTAAACCCATTTGCACTTTCGGTGCCTTAATATCTGCTGGGTTGTCACTCCCATCATCTTTCAGGTGACAGATGACCCTGATATTCCACTAAATGTGAATGAATGACAAAATCATGGAGCAAAATAATCTTAGAAAATTAATACAGTCTAAGTGAGTGCATACCTTTTTGCCGACAAAATACCCCTTTCCACCATCGTTACCCTCTAAAACCTTTTCAAGGTTCTTAAGATCAGTGGGCAGAGACTCTTGAAACTCTTTTATAGACTTCTCCTGAAAGAAAATTTGGAAACCAGAAAGTGCACATGTCTCTTTCTCACAGGGTATGTTAATAATAAAAGGTTAATAACAACTTAATTCAGCCTTATAACCCCCAAGTCAGGCATTACATCCCTAGTCCACCCCGCTGTTGGAGAACAATCAGCAAGTGATTGAGAGAAGTTCACAAGTATATCAAAAGAGAAGGTGACAGGTATGGAGGGCGAGAAAAAAAAGGCGGGGAGAAGGGGGATGAGCATGTAAACAAAATACACACGCAAACATTCAGTACAATGGTTCTGTTCTTAATTAAATGAAAAAAGTTAAAGAATTATTCTTTAAATCCTAAGAGTGACCAACATTTAATTTCACCTTACAGTGTACTACTTAATCAATAATAAGCAGGGTTATGAGTAAAAAATGATCAACAAGTGCAACCTCATTCCCAGGGTTCTCTCCTACCCGCCCTACGGAGCGAGAGAGAGAGAGACCCTGGAAAACGCTGGTCACGTGTCTCTCAGAATCTGGGAGATTACAAACAAACGATTTGGGGGAGGGGCAGGTAAGTGTGAGATTTGTCTCTACAGAGCGTAGACAGATCAGTGCAGCCATGAAACTGTGTACCTGACCTGATCTTGAATGCTGAAAATAATGCACAAAATCTTTTGACATTCTGTAAGCAGGATGTTTAACAATTTGCAATCATTTCACCTTTTGTGCAGTCAAAAATAACTTAGGTATCCTGGTAGTAGTATTTATACCGAAACGCATTAGATTTAAATTGCCATTTCTATGTTGTGGAGTCCACTTTAGAAAACAACAAGAATAGTATAAAAAATTGATTTTTAACTTTGGGCTGCAAAGGGCTATTTTTTCTGAGGGGGGGGCCGCTTGTTGTCAGGCTACCATAAAAATGTTGGCACGTGACAGTATAACATGACTAATCTGACGAACCGGAAATTCCAAAAATTGTTGTCGTTCTACGAGCATAAAATGCGACAGACTGAGCTGATTTACACTAGACAGAAATATTGTATTGTATGAAAACCAGAAGTATACTAAAACAGACAGTTAACTGCCCATTGATCCTGCCTGATCCAGGGGCCTCACTGACTGCACTTTTCACAAACATGCGAACTCTAAAGTTCAAAAGCCACCTTCACAAGTGTGTTTATCGCTGCCGTCAATCATAATTACGATCACAAGCAACGAACCTTGAAACAGAGAAACACACAAAATGGATCGAAATCCACAAATCACAAACCATGACCTTTTGAACCCGTGAAGTAAAGTTTTGTTTCCTAAGAGGTCCGTTAAGATGATTGACGGCAGCGAAAAACGCAATTGTCAGTTGGCTTCTGAACTTCAGAATTCGCATGTTTGAGAAAAGCGCGATCCTAATTTGCGGTCCACAGTCTACATGAAAACGCACTATTTTTTCCACAAGATGAAAAATATTCAGTTTTAAGATTTTCCTCATGGTATAAAATCCTTTGCATTTTGAGACCTAAAAAAGTTTAAAGATTTCTCGCTCACATGTTGCGTTCACCAGCACGCACTTTAAACAATGTAAATAGATGAAACGATTGATAACATATTTTTCACCTGATACCGATGTGAGTTAAAAATTCGCTCCAGTTCTGTTTGTGTCACACAAGACTAACTTTTTTTCATGGAAGATAACTATGCCACTTTATAACTCGTCCAAAGTTTTTGTGCCAGCTAAACAATATGGAAACACTATTCACAGTGACTCCTTGGATATTAAAAAGACTGAACATGATGCACTATTATGCCTTTGTTTACTTCTGATCACATCATCAAGCGAAGTCTCTCTTTTCAAACGATTCATCTCAATGCACAATAATTGACCCTTATATTAGTTAAAATCCTATGGTTCATTTACATCAATGCTGTTTTTGCCCCTCACATTGACTGTGTTCGTTCGTATTCAAAACACCTTTACGAAAAGAAAGGTCGTATAAGTCACGTGTGTTGTGTTTCGAAATAAATGGATTATACGCTTTTTTAAGTTTCCAGTAAGTGGTGACTTCAGTTTACATCTCCATAAAATGGTAAAAGAAATATCAAGAAACATCATGAGAGCTGAAAATTTTCAAAGGCATGTTTCCGAAACTCGCTAATGCTGAGCGAAAACACAGAATTGTGATCACAAGATCTTGTACAAATCTAATGATAAAAGCTTAGCCGACGTGGGCTACACTTGCATGCTCTACTCAGTCACCAAACCTTGTCAGTAATAGCTCCTATTTTCCTCAAGTCGCTCTCTGTGAAGCTCCCGGATGGGATGTCCCGGTGAAGCTTTAAACTTGTGTGCGAAATTCTCAGAGTTCCTATTTTTGTCCGCGTCTTCTTTATCCCTAGTATCCGAAATTTAGACCTCCAAAGTGGCGTGTGTTGTATTAAATAGAAGGAAATATTTAAAGGAGTGTCCCCGCATTAGTAGGCCTGACGGCAAGCTAGAAGATTAGACACTTAAAAAAAGTTGTTGATTGATTGATTGAAGGAAAAGCCAGTCTTCTAACATGGCAAAGTTGTCACGTCCCTTGCTCATGGACGTGCGTCACATCAGGATTCATCTGCCATTCATCGGCAACTGAGTTGTTCGCTTCACTGACTATGACGGCTTACAATCAAGTCTTCAGCCATAGTGTACTTTGCTCATAAATTGTGCTTCTTAATTGCTCATGTACTAAACTCTGAGCTGGAAGAAGTAAAAGAGTTTAAAGACTTGGGGATAATATTACAAATCATCACTTATCATGGAACCCACATATAGATTACATAGTATCCAAGGCTAACAGAATACTCGGTCTGATTAAGAGAATTGTAAAGGTCTGGATGACCCTAAGACCTTGCGTACTCTTTACTGCTCATTGGTCCACTCAAATTTGGAATATTGTTCAGAGGTGTGGTCCCCATATACAAAGAGAAATACTGATAAGCTGGAAAGAGTATAGAGAAGAGCGACTAAACTTATCTTAAAAAGTGATAATCCCTATGACATTCGTTTGAAGAAGTTAAACCTCATGTCACTGGCGATTAGAGAAGATCACTGGCTGACGTCACTTTCTTATATAATAAAGTACTAATAATGGCAACATTGATATTGACATCAATAAAATTATAGATTTCCACTCAGAAGCTGACTGCTTCTCACGTAGGGCTAAGGACTCCTTAACTTTAAAGAAGAAATATGCCAGAACTAATGTCTTGAAGTATAGTTTTTTCCATAGAATTACAGTGGAATCAACTATCGTTAGACATTCGTGTTTCTGATAATGTAAATATTTTTAAATCTGGAGTTAAGAAATTTTTTCAGTGATTTTTAAGCAGCTTTTATATTTCTGTATTTTCTGAAACTATTATTTTATCGTGTTTCTATATATTTTTAGGTGATCTGTTTTTATATGGGGTCTAGGACTCCTTTAAAGTTCATCCTTTGGTTTTTTAATCCATAGATTTGTAATAAATGTCAGACAAACATTGAAACTTTTAATTTTGAAGTTCAACGTACAGGGATTTTACCTTCAAAAAATTAACTCGCTTGTGTATAACTCAAGATCGTATATTTTAGCAATTGGTGTCATTGGTTAAACTGGCAACAATGCTAGTGTTTGATTCCTCCGGTAATTCACTTGTCTATCTGATAGTCTTGTTTAGGCAGAAATTTCTCTTAGTTTCAGTTATAGTTGTAGTAGGGTTAGTAAATCTATCTTTCTGTTGCGACCACTGCGTGAACGTTGCGAATAAACCAGACAAATAAATGTGAGACAAAAGACTCCTCCCTCAGAATTAATTTTGCTCTGGAGACACGTGACCAGCGTTTTCCAGGGTCTCTCTCTCTCTCTCTTAGGGCAGGTAGGAGAGAACCCTGGGAATGAGGTTGCAACAAGTGAAGAATGCCTTGATTCAAGGGTGTGCTCTAGCAGAGCCAGGTGGCCCCTGGTGCCTAACCTCAGCTCTTGGGCAACTGAAAATCTTCCTTCTTTCACAAAATCATATGCTGGGCACCCTAGATTTTACAGGTTCCGAGTACTGGGCTCCCTTCAATGTTCCTTAGAGCACAGCCTTGCTGATTGATGAGCAAATTCTCCTCATCAGCACCAAAGGCTTTGAATGGAGATCAGAGCATCAAACTTAAACTCCAAGGTAAATACATTTATTAGAATGTTTACCTTAAGTGCAGCATCAGTTTCAAATCGGCATTTTCTGATTTTGGCCCTAATGTCCATGACTGCATCAACAACCATGTCTGCAAAAGCTTTTTCTAAGTTCGTTTCAGGAGCCAGTCCTATAAACACCAACCATATATATACAGGGGTGATGCCATGGATTACCTTGAATACATTATTGTGTGGTTCCAAAATTATCCATATACCTCCCCTATGGAAGGGATTTTTACTTAGACCCCCCAACCTCTCTGGAAATTCCAGTCAAGCTTCATACATTCACTCAAATTTTTGGGCCTTTGAGAACTCCCCACCCCCCCAGGAATTTCCAATCCCTTCTGTGGGGGGGAGTATGGATATTTTCTGGAACTACGCATTGACATTTAACTCTATATTTCAATGCATATGCATTCTTGATCCTTATTTATAATCCTGTGCAAATGCATTCTTGATCCTTATTTATAATCCTGTGCAAATGCTTCAAAAAGTCATTTCTTATTCAACAAGTACTTTTACCTACCAAATTCATTGGCCAGGTATCGCAAAATGGCCACAGACTGACAGAGCATAATAGATTTTGAACTGGTTCCATCCTTTATTTCTAGCAATGGCAGCTGGCCAAAAGGGGCGATGCCACCTTTTAAAGACATAAAAATGTAGAAATATAAGTGCAATGATAAACAAAACAAACAGATTTAATGAAGTGACCTTTAATCAATGTTTCCACAATATTAAGACTGCAATCCAAACACCAAACGATTAATAACCTAATTGAAATAGAATGAATGTGGGGATTTTATTATGCAACACACTGCTTAGCAGTCATGATGTCGATAAAGATGTTGTTATCCTTGATGCTGATGAAACTGATGATAGAAGAAAGTGATCCAGAAGAAATTGATGAAATGGAATAAAAGATGTTGCAAAAGAGCTCTGTGTTACCCTGTTATTTTTTCCTCAAATAGAGTGAAATGATCATATGTTTATGTTATTCATTTGCTCAACTGAAGAGAAATGACATGTTACACAAGAGATTCTGAATGACTCTAGAGATGTTCTATTTGCACAAATCAAATGAAATGAGATGTTACAAAAGAGATGATTGAGAAAATATAGTTTATATGATGTTTTCTGATTGATGAAAATTATCAATGCTCTGAATATTCTATTTAACAACAGGGCACTAGGTGTATACCTGCCATATTTTCCTTAAAAGGGTCTTTGGATGGCAAAAAAGTTACAAAATCTCTATGTCATTTATTCATTTTACACATGAATATTCTATGTTGACAACAGGGCACTAGGTGTTATAACAGAACCAAAAGAGAAAAAAACAGGTTATTATATCTGTAAGAAACAAAGCAAACATAGTACTGCTAATTAATGAATATTATATTTTGTTAAATTGTGTTGTGTGTGGTGTCTTTGGCTAATGACAATTTTTGTTTTTCATTATTTAAGGCACCCCCCCCACCTGAGAGTCTTTATATTTTTCAAACACCCCCTTTTTACTTCCATTTTTTGGGGGGACCCCCCAATTTCTCATCAGCCTCCCAACAAGTTTTTGTAAACGCTTTCTTAAAAGGTTGCCAAATCATCAAACACCACCCACCCTCCCTCCTCCAGATCATATTTCGTGTTAAAAGTTTCCTTTGTCTCTCTCACATGTTGTCTTGTCATTTCTTTCATTTTTGGTGATTTTAATAACCATACGATCTCCTACGCACGCAGTCCTTTGTTGTCTCGTCAGACGACGCTCGTCAATCCCTACCCCACTCCCTCCCACCGCCTCTTCGTCCACATGAACGAAGTTGTCGATAGGCACAGCACGTATGTATGGCAAATGAAAGCTTTTCTGTCTTACTACTTCTCTGCAAATCAAAACCTCAAAATTCAAAAATACATGTGCACGAAAACCCCACGGAACAGGCCATCAACACCCGACTTAAGTACTTACTTGCTTTTAGCGGAGGCCATTCCTCATGAAAATCGACTTGGTGCTCCTCAAACTCCACTCCAGCGACCAAGAAAACGAGACGTATAAATTCTCCGCGTCCTCTAGCTTTAAAGTATGTCAGTTTGTAGGATTTTTTAGACATATTCACCACTCTAGATAAGCGTTCTGCACTGCGATCGATCAAACATTCGATTTCTCGAGAGAGACTGGGAAAGACGTGTCATATTTTTTTTTCTTGAGGTAGGGGGTCGGGGCTCGAAGGTCCTGGCCTGCGCTTGACGCCACTGAAAACTTTACTTCACTTTCTTCCATTCTTTTAACGATTATTGCAACTTTTGCATTTAATAAAAGTTGAAACTTGAATTGGTTTTTTAAGACTGTTACAGTAAAATAGGATCTGTTGGATTATGCTCATAAAATAGTATTGAAAAGGGCATAACTCTCCTAATTAGGTTCGGCTGGCGGTTTTATGCTCCTAATCAAGGTCAATTAAGTTGAATTAAAATATCATTTTTTCCCCTTCCAAACCTTTCTAGTTCTACATGTTTCTCTCTAGGACTAGTCTGGCATTAATTAGGTCTTGCCAAGAAAGTGAAGAAGCCTTTTATTGATCCCTATCTGGCCCTTATTTCAGGCCGCCCCGAGTTTATGCAAAGGCAAAAAAGGAGTAAAGATCTCCAGGAAACGTTTTACTTTTTGCAGTTTCTTACCAATTCTTAAATCTTTGTAAAATGTACCTACATGATGTGTGACATCTTGATCACTGATGCGCATGCTCGAACGACTGTCACCTTAGCTTTTTGCCAATCACTTTTATTGAGTAACATACCAGTGACAAATTCGTGCCATAATTTTTATAAGAAAAAGAAGAGACAATTCTATTAAAAAATTAGGGCTATTTAGACCAGGAACAATAGGACGCGTCTTTCTTTAGACGCGTCCTAAACAAGACTTAGCTAAGACGCGTCTTATCGAAGAACAGGTGTTAGGGGCTGTTCTTAGATAAGACGCGTCTTAGCTAGAATTCAAACGCAATGTGCCGTTTATACGAGATAGTTTGCCTCTTATTTAGGGCGCGTCTTATATTTTCGCGTGTTATTTTTCTCGTATAAACGGCCCTAATATCTACTTTAACATTTTTCTGTCTCATCTGCAAGCAAGGTTATCCTGTGAGTTCCTTTTCATTTCTCAGTAAACATAATCGATGATATCTGCTGGAGGGTTTTTCAGCCATTCTAAAATCTTGGGTTGGGTTCTGACCAGCTCATACCAAGCGGATAAGGCCAGAAAGTCTTTAAGCAGCTCAGGGATCCCTTCTGCTTTGCCCTTTAGTAAATGGCTGTTTAGAAACGCGAACACCACAACATCTGCGTAGGTTAGCTAAAGAAAAAAATGTAGGAGTAGTTATTGCAAAAAATAAGTATTCTTGTATTAGTTTATCATTAAACGAAATCATATAGCGATACCGCATTTGTATTTTTGTTTCTAGGTCGATCTAATGGTGTACCAATAGCCTCTTAACAGTGACTACCAACACGACTTCAGAGTTGTTTACTTGATTCTTCTATCGAATGAACAGTGTTCTATTTGTGATTGGAGCTGGATCCGTTACCACAAGACATCAATAGCTTTTGAGAGAGCTGGGAATCGTTGGAAAAACGCAGAAATCGAGTTAATATGGAACAGCTAAAATTCTCCGGAAGGCTTGTCATAACAGGGAACGAAAGATAGACGAAATAGTCTTGTTGTTCCTCGGCAAGGGCTCCGACTCCAACCCAACTTTGTTCCTGGGATTTTTCCCTAGAAAATGGGAGGGCGAGAAAAGGTCCCTCCCATTTTGTAACGGCAATTAAAAAGCCCTGGGATAAGGTTGGCCCCAAGCACATACCCGGCCAACTTTCTATATAGAGACGTTCGATAGATAATAATAATCATAATCATTACCGATGCATATGGATGTAAGGGGGAAAAAACTGAGGAGGAAAACAACTTCTTCTCTTTCCCTTCCTCACCTGACCTCCTGTTTACACTCAGACTTTTCCTCCCTTTGGAGAAATTAGGGACAAAAAGTAGCTTGCGAGCGGGCCAAAATTTCCCCTGAACTCGCACAAGTGAGCCTACTCGCAGGCTAGCACAAAATGGACTACTTGCCTAACTTAAAATAGAAGTCACTGTTCACTATAGATTTACTTATCAACCTTTTCTCCAAAGAAAAATCCCCTCTTATTGTTAGTAGCCAGGAGCTTCTCAAAATATTCGCATCTGCTAACAAGAAGCTCACGAACAGCCGTGAGAGCTTTTTCCTATAAAGAAAAGAACAAATTTCAGGGGCTTTCCAAAAAATAATCAAACACGGTTAATTGTTTAAATATAATAATAATAAAAATTGTGTCAGTATCTGCTTTGAAAACTTAGGAAACCTTAGGAACGTCCATACAGCAATAATTAGTTGGAAGGTAACGTGGAGTGGGCGGAAATAAAGCTATACGAGAAAGGCAAAACAGCAATTCAACTCCTAACGATCGATTAGCCTGCGTTACCAGCGGGATCGTTCGCGCGCGAGGAAAGGTTAGGAGGAAAGAGGAGCTGCAAAACCGTGCGGAGAATGGGAAGGAGACGTTTTTGCCCTCGCTTCGCCACCAAAATTCTCACACGCTCAAAAAACCATTCCGCCAGCTACGCAGGCTAACGACGGAGCTAAATTCCCAGCTGCAATCTAGGCCACTACAACATTTACTTAACAGTGCAATATTATTGTAGATGTAAGTTCCTCGCCTTTTTTTCTTGGTCTTCGTTGGCGAAGGCTGCGTTTAGCTTATCTTCTAACTCTGAGATCACACCAGCTAACATGTCGGCTTGAGCAAGCTGAAAATTGTCTTCTGGGGCCAAACCTCAATAAACCACAAAAGTAAAACTGCTTTCTAGGTTATATTTACGACTGCATTATACCCGTATTGCCAAGAACTAAAAAAAACTGATTTTCTTCTTGGTGACCACTTTGCTTAAACAATTCTCTGAACTAAAGAAGTGTCATTATTGCAACCGCTTCATGCACGATTTAACGTTATTATTTTTTCTTCCTCTACTTTTTTTCCTCCCCCTCATCGTGGAGTAACCTTAGTTATCCAACTCTCCCGTGATAACCAACTCTCGGAGAGGGAAAAACATTCTACTGTACTGATTAAAATACAAATTTAAAAATGGTACTAACCAAGTTCCTTAGCCACATAACTTAGAATAGCTTTGGACTGTGTTAGAATCTGCCCGTTCACTTCCAGAATAGGAAGCTGACCTGAAGGGCTTAATCCAGCTGAAGGGATAAAATGTAACAAATGTATTTATAACCTCAGTTTTTGAAGCACTTATATACTTACGCTTATACAGTGAAAGTCAATGCCTCAAAAAATGAGCAGAGCCACATGCTTCAGAGGGTGGTAAAGGTGGGGGGGTGGGTGGTGTAATTGATCACGTTTCACGGGAAATATGACAGACCTTTTACACTCACGAAAATAACAGACACAGCGAAATTAAAGGTTCATTTATTTTTCGCTTCACGAAGGAATTATTTTGCAAAATCACGTTTAACTATGGAAATCTCGATTCGCGAGGAAAAACTACCCATTTCACATTTCACGAGGACAAAATATAGCCTCCCACGTAGACGTTCTTAGGGGTTCGTTCGTCTGCGTGGGAGGCTAGACAAGATAGGGCCACTCTCGAGTCGCTGGCCTCCCCTGCGGCGAAGAGCGAGGAGAAACGGATGTTTTCGCAGGCTATCGAGTCGCCAAAATACCCCTTGTAAAACCATCCACTTTGCACTGAATAGTGATGATGACGATGATAAGTTTAGTCACCAGTTCCTAGTCGTTATCTTCTCCAATTACCGTTTTTAACACGATCAGTCAAATATCTTGTGAGACCGAAAAAGCAATCAACTCATCTGTCAAACAGTAACGCTTTTGTTAAATGTCGTCACATTCGAGTAAATATGTGTGATATCTGTCAATTACAATTTTTATGGTCCAACAGTGCTGTCCTACCGACCGAAAAATACGATCACAGAGCTCCTTTCACAAAAGATCCGGTCTAGAAGCTTTCACAACAAAAGGTCTGAGTACAAAAAAAATCGATGAGAAAAAATCCCAAAACAAAAGAAATGAACCACTGCCAAAGATCACGAAATTAATAAGCTACTATGAAAACAAATCATTAAAACAAACATTCCTTTCTTAGTACAAAATGGCCCATGAACGATAAGTCTAAATGAGATTTCACTTGTTTTAGGATAATACATACAGTTGAACCTGTCCTTGCGGGCACTCCTATGTTACGGCTTGTTCTCTTAGTCTCAAACATACCAAACGTTATTCATTTCCTCCCTCTTAAGCCAGACCCCTCTGCTGTACAACTGACACTTTGATCAGTGTCCCTTTGGTCTCTTTGGACGGTGTCCATATTTTAAACAAGGTTCAAATATTCAGTCATGCCAACCGGAGGATGAAATGAAAGGTTCCGATATCCCAGTGATAAGCTGTTTCTTTCTTGAGTATCGCGTTGAGACTACGCAATTTGAAACACATACAGACCTGCGTTTATCAGTCAATTAATCTCATAGAGTAAATTCTGATTTGAGACAAATACAGTCGCTTTGATAGCCTGTTCCAAGCCTGGAACAGGCTATCGCTTTGACCCTAACCCTCATAATAAATCAAAAAAAGAAACAATCATGGAATAAGAGATCAACCTAAGAACGCGATTGGGTATAAAACGTCCGTGATAATGTTCTTTGCTTTAAAATGTTGTAATACCTACATTCTTTGAGCTTTGGCCAATCTTGTGGATGAACGCGAACGTCTTCGAATTCGACGCCAGCGATTGCGAAGACTATCCGGATACATTCGGCTTTGCCACGGATTGGAAAGTAAGTTAACTTGTATTGAGGCATCTCGTTAAGGAAAGTCTGGAAGATCAGGACAAACGTGTGTAGAATACGAATATATAGTACACAAACACGCCGTAAATTTAAGACGGCCAAAACTGTGATGCATCAACTGTCAGTGTGTGACCCAGAGGTCTTCCGGATTGTCTTGATAGTTAACTCCTGGGGTGCTCTTCTGGAGGGAGGAGGTGGGGGGGGGGGCACGTAATGGGAAATATAAGAACGGCTATTGTAGTTGGAGTACAAACATTTTACCACAAAAGGACTGCAAAGGACCGCACACGAATATGCCGAATAACGTAGGAACTATAAAGACCTGATCAGCAAAAATAACAAGTAGACAATTTAAATTTTGCAAGCAGAATACTGCAATACGGATCGTACTAGGTAAAGGTTACCTTTACAGGACATCAACACGACACCGAAAGAACTCAAAACAAAGCGGGATTGTAGCCATAGACAGCTGTTTCGCTATTATTGTAACTCTTCAGTATACCTGAGAATCACGCCATATCACGTGTCTTCTGGAGGGCAAGAGTCCAAGTGTCAAGTTGATATCTCGCGGAGAAAATAAAGGATTGATCAAAACCAACCTCAAAAACATGGACATAACCATGCAAAAATTACAGCATATCGGATCTATAAGATCAGGTCGTTATTGTAGTTGAGCCAGTGGGGGGTGAAATACGTTATGCATTATATTACAAAAATATTACCTTCTGACAGTCGCGCCGATTACTGTCACGCATACGACAGATCGCCAAGGACTGAGGGCTAGAAGGCGGGTACACACAACAACTCACTTTTACTCTTTGTTTTATAACAAAAAAACATGATTCGTAACAGATCAGGAGTCTTAAAAGTCTCTTCTTGTCTCGCTCTGAAAGAGAAAAACAAAAACAAACACAAGATAAACGTTCTTGGGATTGATGTGTATATTTCTCTTTTGGTCCGTGGACAAAGTCGAAAAACCAGTTGCAAACCATGACTTCATGTGGGAAAGTTTCGAGAAAGTTGATCACGTGTTCGCCAGAAATTGCTATCTCATGCCTTTACTCCACAATGGACCCAAGGGGCCTGCAATTTCAGTTATTGCGTGTGGGATGAGAAACGTGAAATGTCCTAACTTCTCTTTCAAAAACGCAATTGTACAAATTTGTGGACTGGACTCCTTTTCTTACTTTTGACTGTTTTGAGGCCTGAGCACTAGAAGCTGGGACCAGGCTCCTGGTAGTTTAACCCGGTAATGGGGGACAAACCTTGACGGGAGCGGGTAGTTTTTGGTTAAAATTGTCCAGTTGAATAAAACTTTTAGACAGTTATTCAGTAGGCTTTATTCAGATACCAAAACAAATGATCCTGCAGGATTTACTAATTCAAGCCACATTCAGGACTACAACAGTAAAAGGCCGGTGCGTTCGTTATATCATAGTAGATTAATTAGCCTATCAGTACTTAGACTACGAGAAGTCCCCATTTTTCCTCAGGCATAGTAGAGCGAGCGAAAAATGGGGACTACTCGAAGTCTAATTAGTTCTAGGCTCCTGACTAACGTCAAAGGATTTTACAGGCTCATCACAGAGGTGTCTTTGAACGTTTCTCAATCCACGCTTTGATCTTGGGTTCGTCCCTGACTTTTTCGTACAGCGTTGTAAGGCGCGGATGGTCTTTCAAAGCTTCTGGTACTTCCAACTCACCACCACCAAGGTAACTGTTAAAGAATGCGAAGAAACTGATGTCTGCATAACTCAGCTGTTAAACAAGAAGAAAACCGAGACGCTGTCATCCTAGAAATGCAAAGCAGAAAGGATGGCTAGGATACCCAAAAACATTTTATTCCCGTGTTAGTCCGCCGGGTAGAAAAGCTCTCTATGTGAACTTACCTTATTTTCAACGCAGAACACTTCATCTTTAGGATTTTTATCCAGAAATTTTTCCAGGTAGACGGATGCCTTAGGTGCTGTTTCTGATTTGAACTTGGCCATCAAAACTCTCTATAATTTTATTTAAAAAAGGAAAGCGCAATCAGTTCGAGTACCTATAGTTCATCCTCTCTTAAAATAAGGTTTAAAATTTTGGAAAGCAACAAAAGGAAAAGAAAACATCATCGGAAAGAAATATTGATTGTGTACGTGTTGTTATACATTTCATATGTTATAGAGAACTTTAATGAATTCTTTTGGGCTTTTTAGCAACTCAAATTCAAACGGAAGTACATTGAGACGGATAATAATAATAATAATAATAATAATAATAATAATAGTAACAACAACTCACATCCTAAGACAGTCTCCATCAAATAGACTTCTACCTCATTCTAACCCTAGGCCCTAGGAATGGGCTCGGCTATTATGTTGTATTATGGTATAAAAATAAAGAAGAAAGTAATAATAATAATGATGATGATGACGATGATGATGATGATGATGATAATCATGCTTTACCTGTTGGTTTTTGTCTGGGTCGGCAACTGCACGGATAAACGCGTTTTCTAAGTCATAGATTGCTTCAGAAAAGATGTCTGCTTTTGCCTTCTCAATATCATTGCCGGGCATCAAGCCTGTTGCAAGAGGAGATAACGGCACATTAATCTCTCATTACTTAGAAATTTAGAGATCTAGATGTTGCAACCTTGCCGGATTTTTCTCATTAGAGCCTATCTGACTGACTAGCCTAGGCTCAACAGATCGTATTCATCGTATTCCGGAATAACAACTATCATGAACTATTAGACCCAAACAAACCTCTCTTACGGTTATTGTGATCTTTCGGCCACTTAAACCTACATACATCGTAATACCGTAAAATTCCGAAAATAAGCCCCTCCATGTATAAGCCCCTCCAAATATAAGCTCCCCAAACCGGTAACGCAAAAAATTCTCCGTTATGATCGCCGCTCCAAATATAAGCCCCCCGGGGGCTTGTACTTGGAAAATTACCCTCAAATACAAAGTAAAACAAAGCAAAAACGGTAAATTTACTTCCAACTATAAGGCTAGCCCAATCGATTTAGAAACGCAAACTTCCCTCCGTAAATAAGCACCTCCGAATATAAGCCCCTCCAAAAATAAGCCCTTCAAAAAGAGCCTTTGAAAAATATAAGCCCCGGGGCTTATTTTCGGAATTTTACGGTATTTTATTTCGAAAAGATTTCTAGATATTACAAAGCAATGTATGTCAATACGAACGGTTTCTTAAATTAATTCCATTTATTCTTACTTTTAAAGCGATTTGAAGAATTGTGTGTTCCTCTGAAAAAATCCTGGCCATGCCCCTGTTGATGACCGGCACACGGTCAATCTAACATATCATAGATAGTTCTGGGAGTCCAATAGTTCGGAGAGACGACTTCTCGTAAGGCCACACAATGTTACATTTTTACGCTAGTATCAGGCTTATCTTTCCGGCTAAAAGACTCAGCCAATCGAGGCAACTGCGGATTCAATATAGCAAAGCATCGAGAGTTTCACGCCTATTGCTTCATTACTTTTAAAAAGAACCATAAAAGTAACGATCAAGGCCAGAGCTTCTCTCAATTAGATAACAATGGTGAACACAGAGAATTTTAGAAGCCCCTGTGTGATGGACTACTACATGTATAAGTAATGACAGTAATCAATCGTACCTTATCGTTCAGCTAGGAACCGGAGTATGCTCATGGACTGGCTTATTGTCACACCTTCCGGTTCGACTTCCAGAATAGGCACCTGACCAAATGGATATTTTCCACCTAAAAAGGTACAAATTATTATCATGCTGATAACGAAGCTCCAAAATGCAGTTTGCTTATCTATTTTAGTGATCAGTTTTTGCTCTAGAAAATGAGAGAAATGCTTGCAGAAATTACAGACAGTTGATTCTATCACCTCTGGGTTGTTAAACGAAATTGGCCGGCACCAATGAGAAACTGACAATCGGACCCAACCCTTCGTCACAAGCAACCAAGTTATATGTGGGTTATGTGTGGTTTATATGCTGAAAATGTTTGTCAACAAGATAACGTAAGAGGCAAGAATAAATTCGTTGAATGAAAAGCGTCTGTTGAACATAATTATGATCAGAAAGAACTGTCAGATACAGCCATCAATTTGGTAGCCTGCGAATACAGCCGTTTCTCCTTACTCCTAACCCTAACCGTGGAGCTAGAAAAAACGGCTGCATTTGTAGGCTATGACCTGTAAACTGGTCATCTGTCAGTTACCTCAGTTTTTTTTCTCTGCTGTGTCTGTTATCCTCGCACGAGTCACAAGCCCTGGTTACTACAAGAAGCTTAGGCATTATTTAATTACTAATCAATTTTCATCAGACTAAAGTAATGAACAAATGGACGTTCAGTGGGACATAGATGCATGTTGCTACTGTTGTTGAGAAGGAGGGTTTGCGTTGGAGGTTGCTACGCACGAGTCGCTTGGAACGAACCTATCCTTAGCACTGAAACATTCCAGGTATATCTAAACTTAATTTCAATTTGACTTAAGGAAATCCAAAGTACCCGCGTTTCCTATGCGTGATTTGTAATATGACGTAGCCAGCATGGCGTTGAAATGTGTGAAGCGCGCTGGCAGTTTCCCTACAGCGTCTACGACATTTCATCGTTACCGCACTCTCTATCTTGTCTACAAATCGTTTTACCTTTTGTTTACTCGGAAAAAATGTTTGGTTCAATCAGACGCTTTTCATCACAGACTACAATACTCTTTTGTTGTTTGCCGGAAAAGGTTCTCCTTTCGTAAACGTGCAATAAAACATGTAAAGAGCATTATCATGAAACGCTTGATCAACCAGTCGGAGCCAGTACATTAATTTGTTTGTGATAAATACAGGCGGTGCAAAGCAAAAAAAGGTGCTAACAGAGAGGAGACCAATTTTCATTTTAACGTTCACCTCCCCTCCCCCCCAGAGAATGTAGGTTCTGTACGTTCGCTATCGCTACACATTTTAAGTATCTGTTGTGCACTGTTTACAGAGAGGTGATGTATAGAATAGTAGGAAATCAGTTTTCTTGGGAACGTTTACTAAAAGCGATTAAAAGAGCCTATAACGGAACCTCTTAGGTGTACTAAACGTTATAGTGCTTTTGATAACTATACTTAGACCATGTTTTACAAAGGCGAGTTTTTTTGACATCAAACCCTGTCTGTCAGTAAAAGAAGTGGTGGATGTGGAAATATGGCGTAAATCCAAGCTAACTGACATACTGTCTTTTACTGGAGTCCACTCTTATTCTTTAACCAGTCAATTCTGATATCTTCATAATCTACTCCAGCGTAAGCAAAAATCAATCTTCCGGGCTCAGCTCGGGCTCGTAAACGAAAGGAACTTAGTTTGTAACTTGGAGCCATGATAGATCTGATCTTTAGGAACGTGTTTTGATTGGAGCGATATAGTGACACGATTATGGGTAACAAGTGTCACGATTCACCAGCTTTCAATGGATGTTAGTATTAGTATAATGTGCCTCTTGAGAAGAATGAGATTGCTCGCGCATCTAACAGCGAAACACCCATTCTGATTGGTCGTTACTTATGATCTGTTTGGAGGTAGAGAGACTCGGTTGACGTAATGCGGAATTTTTCCTTTGTTCATTATTTTTCAGGTTGAAAAAGTAAAGGTGTGATTCCACGGTTTTAGAAAAGAGCGCTGGCCGATAGCAATCGGTAACGACTGAATGCCATATTTGCCTTGAACGCAAAGAATATCGTGCAGAGAAAAATGACAACGAACGGGAGAACACCGAAAACAAGCAAGATAGAGTTAGTACATTCATAAACGAGGCTTTAAGTTTTATGGTGCCTCCTATCATGCAGCCTGGCGTACGGACTTCCTTCACGCTCTGAAGTGTCAGCACTGTCAAAGCTGAAAAACAATGCACAGTGTGATCATTTATAATCTTACTTTAAGTGTGCGCGTGGGTTTGTTGTGAGGGAAACACTGTAGCCCCCCCTTCCAATACTCGTCTCTGCCCCTAAATCCATTCTCCGTAAAGCAGACATCGAAAAATTTGCCATAAAGAAAAAAAAAGCCTCCAATATTCCTTCACTAAGCCTGTGAGTAAGCTCTTGCTCGCAGGTTATCCAACCGTTCAAGGCATGGATTTAGTTTTGCCGTGAGTGCCTCGAGTTATAACTAGATCGAGGACGATGTCGAAAAGTTGGCAACCTCGTTTTCTGCTTTATGATACGTAATCCCTGGAATATCTTTTTATTTTTCTTTGAAAAAGCATGGTGTCTAGGAAAGACATCATGTTTTTCTCTGCAAATTCAACAGTGAATTTGATATTAGCATATTTGATTTTTTTTCCTCTTCCTTTCCTCTGCTTTTTGTTTTCCATCCAGTATCTGAACGCCTGGAACAGGCTAGTTAGGATCTTTTTTTTCTATAGGTTAGTAACAGCTCAGCGGCCGACCGTAACCGGCGTGGCCAGCTTTTGGTTTACTGTCCGAAGGGAAAAAATTGGCCGTTATCTACGCTCTTTTAAGATACAAAAACTAAATCAACCAAAATTCTAAGCTAAAACTAACGCAAGGACTTCTCGTTTTATTCATTAAACGGCTAACATGATATTAAAACTCCATTTAAAGAACAGAGTTAGGTCGTTTCTCAAGCCACGCTTTGATCTTGGGCTCATCCCTGACTTTCTCGTACAGTGCGGTAAGACGAGGAAGGCCTTTCAAAGTGTCTGGTACAGCCATTTCACCATCGCCTAGGTAACTATTGAAGAACGCGAAGAAACAGATGTCTGCAAAGCTTAACTGTCAAGAATAGAAACAAAAACAGCGTTACTTAGTTGAAGGGCCAATGTCACTTACATTTTTTGACATCACCTTACTGATTGCTGAATACATCGGTCTTGGAACAAATTTTAGAAAATTACCTTATTTCCAACGCAGTATACTTCATCTTTTGGATTTCCATCCAGAAATTTCTCAAGATAGTTGCATGCCTTTGGTACTGTCTCTGATTTAAATGTTTCCATCAAAACTTTCTGTAGATTGAAAAATATTGAAGAGGTAGGTCAGTTACCAACTGCCAGCTCGTTATTATCTCTTGATATCAGTTAGGGAATTTTTTAAAGTCATGAAAAAGAAAGGAAAAGGAAACAAACCATCCTCCTCTTTCATACCTGAACTTTTCAGTACAGTAATAATAGGAAACTATAATGAATTATTATGGGAGTGAGGGATTTTACTTCAAAACTTCAGGGTATTCGTTAGTCTGCTACACAGCCGTTTTTAGTGTCGACACGCAACGCTCCTCCCCACTAAGTGGGGAGGAGCGTTGCGTGACGACGCTAAGAACGGCTGTGTAGCAGATGTCGGAGACTTCATGTTACGTGACAATATAGTGACACGGATGTTTAAATTAGGTCTAGATTTTATGAGACAATGAACACTTTAGCTGCAAGAATTGATTGACCTTTTTCTGATTATCGCCTAGCAACAACCAATCATATCTAATGTATACTAGTATGAAATCGAGCGTTCTTTTCCATGTTTGAGAGAGTAGCTCTTGCACAACTGCTGTAACGAGTGAATACAAGTGAGCCAAGTGATTAAATACAATCGACTCTACTGATTGTTTTAGTGTAGCTTTCGTTGATCTGGAAACCCTAGTGAACGGGGCAAAGTTCTCAACACAGACTAGGTATTCGTCAAAGCTTAAATAGCCTTCAACAGATATTCCTGAGCAAGTGTTTCCAGCTCAGATCTACAGCTGTCTTGCTCTGCGCTAGCCAGCAAGCAAGCTCTCCATTTGGGGGATATCGTGAAAAGTAGACGCACGACAGTCACGCGAGAGGAGACTTGAAAGCCGGGGGCGCTCCTTTCCTTGGCCCCTCGCAGCCTCGCTGCTTGCTTGTTCTCGCGCGGCTCGCTTCGCTCGCAGGCTAACACTGCGCATGCCGCCCTGCTGTCCCGGTTATGTCATTTGACAAGAGGACATCCTGGCAAGTTTGACGCGTTACCTTTCGATCTGGTTCTGGCTGCACAATTGCACGGACCATCGCGTTTTCTAAGTCGTAAACTGCCTCAGAAAACATGTCTGCCTTTGCCTGCTGGATATCGTTGCTAGGCATCAAACCTGTTAACAAAGGCATTTCATAAATTGATATTGCAAGGGCGGAGTGGGATTTTGGTTCGGGGGTAGGCGGGGTGATACCACAGGGAATTGGTATCTGGGCATCCGCCCATGCTATTATAAACACAGAAATTATTCAAACAAGTATTCAAGCCCTACCGTGTATCTATACCGTATACCTAACGTATGTTTATGTCATCGATATTCTCGGATGCAGTTAAGTAGTAAGTAAGAACCGTTTCTCTCTCTCAAAGTCTATCTGACCCGCACAGTATGTAAGTGTTATGACTCATAAGTATTTCATTATTCATGGGTTCTTTTTGCTTTTGGTGATGAGCAATTCCTTCTGCACTCATTTTCGTTACAGGACGGATTTTTTAAATGCACGCCCCCATCCATTTTTATTGACCGTTTTATTACTATTGACACAAGGAAGAAATGCATACCCCATCCTCTAGCCAAGAATCGAAGTAATTCTAACCTCCCACACAGGCGTTCTTAGGGGAGCTCGTATTTCGTCCCTCCCCACAAACGCCTGCTCAAACGAGAACAACATTCCTTTCCCATTGTTTTATTCGCGTGATAAGTGACCAATCAACAGTTGTGAAATAAAGTGTTAAAAGGCTAAACACGACTCACAACCTCCTGGTAGTGTAAAAACGTGACCCCAGAGTTACCTTTTTCCCTCTTTTCTTTCCTTCGCTAAGGTTATGTAGTACACGGTGTATTGTACAATCCGACTAAATCTTACTTTTGCCGCTCTGAGTCTAACATTTATTAGTGGTCATAAAGCTTTCCAAGTGTTTCATGCAGATCGAAAAAATATCGGGTTACCCTGCGGTCAAGATCAAGTTTCCAGAATTTGGAAAGTACAACGTGATTGGCAAAGCTTAGGAAAGGAATGTTGTTCTCGGTTAAGCAGGCGTTTGTGGTGAGGGACGAAACACGAGCTCCCCTAAAAACGCTGCGTGTGAGGCTAGAGTAATTCAAGCCCTACCGTACAACTCTCACAAAGTCTATCTGACCCGCACGATATGTCAGTATTATGACTCATAACAATTTTGTTATTCATGGGTTCTTTTTGCTTTTGGTGATGAGCCATTCCTTCTACATTTATTTTGGATACTGGGCGGATTTTTTAAATACATGCCGGACCAAATTGGACCGCTACCATTTGTATTAACCGTTTTCTCAGTATTCATATCATGAAGAACTGATACATACCGTATCGTCTAGCCACGAATCGGAGTATGGCCATTGACTGACATAGTGTAACACCCTCAACTTCAAGAAGAGGAATTTGACCAAATGGACATTTTCCACCTGTAAATACAGAAACTCTCAATGCAAGATTTCATCAAAGTGCTTTAACATGATCGGACTAAAGAAACTCTTAAGTTCAATTTAGTTGATATTACCAAAAAAGTCCTTTTCTTATCGGTTAACTTAATAACTAAAAATATTAATAGAGAGGTTAAGCATCGCGTTTACGGCAAACGGCAAACGTAAATTTGAACCACGCGACCAAGTTTTCCATCTGCATATCCGGTTTACTGTTCATTATAGCTACACGAAAAAAGGCGGTAAATTCACGCCACTTTTATCCATAAGAATTGTTTTAAGCTGTTTTTATCTGCTCATTACTCATTTTGAAAATTTCTCAACTTGATTCTCACGTTTGCCGTAAACGGAATGCCAGTCTCTCTAACTGACTTGTGATACACACGGCTGAAGCGCTTGCATGCACGCTTAATTCCTAAAGTCACGTTGTTGGTTTTGGCCTATAACAGGTTTAACAGTGACGGCTCGTGTTATAAATTAAGTTTGCTTTTGAATTATTAGTACGCTTGTATTGTACTGAACATTGCTTTGAGGTCCTCAAAGCTAAATCTTGCAAACGAAGATTACTTGAGATCACAATGATGTATGCGGGTATTTAAGTGTGAAATTACTTACTGTTTTTTAGTGGTATCCACTGTTCGGCTTTGTTTTCCCAGCTTATTCTGTTGTCTTCATAGTCTACTCCAGCGTAGGCAAAAACAAGTCTTACGGGTTCAGCTCGAGCTCGTAAGTCAAAGTAGGTTAGTTTGTAATCAGGAGCCATAATGATGTTGCTCTATAACCGACTTGCTCTGATTTGGCATTACGGTAATTTGAATGCTATTTTAGAGTTTTTTTATGATTAACACGCGTTATGACTCAGCAGCTATCAATGGATATTGTTACGCTGGTTGCTCATGTAAGGATATTGGCCGGATATTAAATTAACATGAACATGAATCGGCAAAACAGTATTATCTTAAATACTGTTATCAGAAATGACACGAAACTCATCACGTACTACTAGCATCAGTCTTGATCGGCGGCCTGTTGCTTGTGATCCGGTAGAGGAACAGACAAGCATCATGGTCACAATGATCTTCTAATCATTTTTATCATTTTTTTGGTTAGATAAGAAAAAACCGCAGCCAAAACAAAATTATTTCAGTTTGTTGACGTTATAGCTTTTGTATAACATAAACATAACATAAAACTTTATTTATACTCGAATTTTAGAGTAGCTAACAAGCTAATATCTTCGAGCTGACACTACATAAAAACTATATAGAAAATATATATATACATTAAATGCAAGGAAAGAAAATGTTATTTACAATTCACAATTTTAAGTTTAAGTATGTCAGGCAAAAGGAATCTACATGAAGGTAACATCCTGTATTTCAGTCTTAAAGTCTGCAAAAAAACTGGTACGAAAAAAGTCCGGCAGTGCATTCCACTGCTTAGCTGAAAAGTAAGAAAAGGAGTTAAGACCATAGGTAGTTGTTTTAGGTTTACTTAGTGAAAGAATGTAGTTGCCACGAAGATCATAGGAAGAGGACCGGAGTGAAAACATATTCTTCATATAAGTAGGAAAATGAGTGAAAAACAAACTCTTACATAACAGAATGAGGAAATTTTGAATGCGTTTGTTAAACAACTGACTTTTGAGAGAAGAGTGTTGTATGGAAGACGCGTAATCTCCAAGTATAAATCTAAGTATTCTTTTATTTAAAGCTTCAAGCTTATCTGCATCGCGCGCTCCACAAAAGTGCCAGACAGAGGAGCAATAATAAAAGTGAGGTAAAATATACGCTTTGTAAAGTTTGAATAAGATTTCCTTGAGTATGAGTTTTCTAAAGCGCAACATAACATTAAATTGATTATTAATCTTTTTGCATACATTTGATATATGTTTAGAAAAATTCAGTTTATTATCTATTTCCATTCCAAAAATCTCTAACGTGTCCTTTACTGGGAAGGAAAAACCATACTCCATACATAAAGTTCCTAAATTAGGAAAAAGGCTTTGAATAGTTTAGTTGAGGTTGTATTGAACATAGTAAGTACAAAAAAGATCGAACAAATTCAGGTGACTGAAGCTACACCCATAGTGTAACTGAATATCTATGCTTGTTACTTTATTACTTTAGAACTGAGACAAAATAAGCTTCTTGTATCGGTAGAGATGTGATTTGCCCTGCGGATTCATCAGGATGGAATGCCACTAGCAAGGAAAACCGTTACTGGAGCTCTTTCAGAAAAAAGATATTTTCATTACATGGTTTGCGCGACAAGATCAGAAAGAACATGTAGAGTTACGACGAGAAAAACTGCAACAACAACAAAAAGAAAACACAACTTTGCCTTCTACATACTCCTAAAACAAAGACGTAACATTTGTTCATAAGGATTTATTTTATTGCATTCCTGGTATTATGCATCGTAAATTTATGTCCTTGGTATGTAACAATATGATGTGTAAAGGAAAGACAGTTGGAGTTTGTGCAGTCGGTTTTCCTACCTGCCGTAGTTAAAGAAAACTGATTGTTCCATCAAAATGAACCGTAAAATACGTCCCTATTAGTTTCCATTATATTACGCTGAATATGACAGAGCTCTCAATTGCCTAGTCAACTGCGACAAAGGTACAAGTGAGGGTTGGTATAAACTTATACCGTTAGTTTATTATAAGAATTATTTCAACTTATCGGCGGTATACTCCATATCATATAACTTTTGATGAATACTGTCGGAATAAGTTAATCCGTACGAAGAAAAGCAGATTCTGGTGTTGTGAATGCCACAATCACCAAATCACATAACGGTTTAGAACGGAATAGTCAAAACAAAAGCTCAGTCGCCAACAACAGTTTTATAACAACCAAAAAAAGAACTATAGAGTACTGTACCAGTCTTCATCTAGCGATATTAACCATGCTTCCTTTTTCATCGGACCGTAGCATGCATGAAAAAAAAAAACATGACTTCGTTTATTACAGAGAGCTGACATTCTAGATTTCATTCGTGAAAAATTAAACAAAGATTAACGGGACTTCGAGTTAAGCGGCTTCTGCTTACAGCTTACACGCACTCGGATGGTTAAATCTAAGAGCATCGCCAATAATTTGGATATCAGAAGCTAAGAATTCCCCATTATCAATTATTAAAACGGCCCTATAATGGATGTTTAATCACCTGCTTTCTCTTTAAGTGTGCCACATGTATCCTTTGTCTTAACTATTCGTAAATAACGACAGTTTTTAACTTCTTCCATAGCTTCGGCTAAAGATTTTCTTTCTTCTTGCTGCCTACGATGATGCTGATTTGATCGTTTGTAATCATCGATCAAATTCTTCGCTTTTCTTACAGTTTTGTCAGAATTTTCAAATTTTCGAAGCAATGCTGGAGACATCGGAGGAGTAGAACACAACCCGTCAGTTGTGCGGACATCCTGACTCCTTCGCTGTCGTACCTGATCCACCAATTCTGTTTCTTCAACTGCAGCTGATTTTGACAGGTTGAGAGGCTTAGAATAAAAAGCAAGATTTGGAGACTTTGTCGTCAATGTACGGGATGACGGAGGGTTATGAAAGTGATCACTGTTTATCGCCAAAGGTAGAGACGGTCGAGGCCTTATGTTTCTTCGCAGTACTTCCGGGGTTCTCTGAGGAGAGGAACTCGAAGTCGGCGATTGAACACGAGCTGTACAGGATTTTGGCCTTTTTTGGTTCAATTGCGCTTGTTTAATTGAAGTCCCGGTATATGCTACTGTCTCTACTCGCGGTAATGTCGAGCTCAAATGGCAATGAAAGTCATCCTTTTCAATTACCGAGGAGATTTTTGGCAACGTAATGCTGGGAAAAGAAGCGCATTTTTCTTTTTCATTTCCAGAAGGCGATGCTAATGAAGAAGTAATTGCGTAAAGTTCTTGGCTGCAGCTCAAGTCGTTAAACGATTGTGAGAGACTGTTGCGCACTCCACGATTTACACTACGCGGCGTTCTAACCACTGTGCGATTCATGACATCCGGGTTTCTTCAGCAGCTACGGTTAATCAACTTGTATTTTTTCAACATACACTCGAGGCTTTTTAAAGTAATTTTGTATTGAAGTCAGAATTAACACTAATTTTCTTGTGGTCGCAGAGGTCTACAAACGAAAACCATGACAAATCTGCAGTGCAGCGATATTACAGCCCTTTTATCATTACACCTGTTCTCACACGTCAAATGATGTCAGTCTTTTCAACCTGTCATTTTCACTGGCAACTTCACAAAAATACTAGAACATTTTTTCCTCCTCTCTCATGTTTCGTTCTATTTTGACCTAAGATTCTACGATCTAGATGTTTCTATTTAATCCCTTTTTCGAGGCATCTTCATCGTCATCTAAATAAACGACGTTTTTGATGAAAAAAAATTGCGGCCTATCATCTTGAGTACACAAGTCATATCAACAGCCTCAAGATGTTTACGTCTTATGTTACATTAAAATTCAAACTTCTGCTCGAAAGGCGCTAAGGATACAATAAATCAAAAGCTTCTGGAAACAACACTTTGCTGTGAAAAACTACAGAACGTCCAACTGATCGATCAGTGACAAGAGTTCTATGTCAACTGTCAAAAGGAGATTCTAATAAGAACCTTATTTTAATGGAAGTTTAAATTTTTGGCGTTGAAATTCAACAACGTAAAGCTCCTAGAATCAAACATCCTGTGGCTTTGTTGGAAGAGCTTTAAATTTATGCGTTTTCTTAAAACGGAGACAACAGCAAGGAAGTGTAATATGCAAAACAACAACAAAAAAATCACCTTGAAAGTACAAAAGTATAATAAAAATAACGGTGTTCTTGTTTCGAGAAACACCGTTGTTTGGATACTTTTTTTAATATTTAAAGACATTTTGTCATTACGTGTCACTTGTCTTCCCTCGTGCTATTACTTTGATATAGAATACGATACAAATAGCCACTCCTTCAGAAGTTTAAATGTAATGCATGGACGCGTTTTTTTATGGAGGGCAAATCTTCAGAACATCAAAAACAAAGAACCAAACAGCTTTACAACCGTACAGAATAAAACAGGAAAACGACAATAACGGTATTGGAAGACAGAAACTGATTCTTGATTAACTGGCCGGGAATCAATCAACCAAATTAATATTTGAATGAGTGATACTAGTCCTGCTTTGATATAGAACCAGTTCTCAAGTATCTACAGTCCTTTAACTCGTTCATCATTTCAGCGAGGGATTTTTCCCGATTTATTTCCTGACGAGCTTCCACACTCGAGAACCTACCCTTCGTTTCTTTTCTATTTTCTCTTTCGAGTAAAATTTGCGTTGCCATGGCAGCCTGAGTAACTCGTCGAAACTTGGCGATACCGCTGACTGATGTTTTCCCATGAGTCACTGCGCCCAGTGACCTACTCCTTGTCTTGAGGACTGGTGTAAAATCTTCGTCAGCTACAATTTGCCTTAGGTAGCTTTCAGTCGGTCTTTGTAAATCTTCTAATCTTGATTTTGATGACAACTTCCGTTTCGCAACTGTTTCTTCACGGTCTTCTGAGTGCGATTCAAGGGTATTAGAACGGAATCTCTCTGCCGCGACGACGACCAGCGCTAAGCGACGAAAATTCCGTAGTGCTTCAAAATTTCGTTGCGTTTCCTTTGACAGGCTCGATGCATCATCACTTCGTTGACGAGATAAGGGCACGTGATCAATAATTCCTTCGGGAGCTTTAACGGTTGATATTTTCCTTCGAGGAGAATTAGTCTCCGCACTCCAAGCGTTTCTATGGAAACCAACAGCTGGAGTTGCACCTGCTTGAGATATTGAGATTGTTTGTTCATGCAAATGCCTTTTGCTGATATCCGTCGATATACTCTTTTTCCGCCTTAACACGAATTTACTGCCCTCTCCTGGGCCGCTTTCACTTTCCATTAAATTTAGTTTACCATCGCAGTTAGCCGGGAGATGCGGCAGAGTTTCGAAGTTTTTAGTTGACGATTCTGATACTGAATAAAGTTGTCTCTCTATAACTGGGGATATTGTCGCAGGTGTTATTTTATGAATATCATTTTGAGCTTCTGTATTTAACATTTCAGTTTCCTTGCTCAAAACACTTTTCATTCCTTGGAAATTGGGGAAAAACTCGTTTGATGTGCTTGGCCTTTGATGAAGAAGTTTTTTTGGGGTGTTAATCATAGCCTCCTTTAAATGTTTACTTTGTACTTGAGCGCCTGTCTTATTAAACTGCATATTAGCAACTGAAGACGGGTGAGACGCTAAAATTACTTTTGAATCTTTATGTTCTGATCTTGACTGAGTTAGGACAGACTCGTTTGAGCCCTTCACTTGTTGAAGTGAGAATTCCATAACATCAGATTTTATACTTTGATTTTTTAACAAATCGTATTTCATTGTATCTTCACGAAAAGAATAAGGGCAAACTCCCTTTGATGACACCGCCAACTCAATTTGACCGGTCGTAAGTTTTCTCTTGGGTCGGACAGTTAGCTTTCTGTGATCTGCAAATTCTAGCGGATCGCTTAATTTCCGAACCACCTTATTCTCGTTTACTGTCTGTGTGGAATAAGACGACAAATTTCTGTATCTTGAATCGCTGCTAATGGATAATTTTCGGAGCTCGAGCTGACTGGAATAAATTTCCATACTGGTCGGATTTTCGGAAGCAAGTGTCGATATCGTGTTACGTCGTAGGCGGCTAGGAAAAGCTTCTGTGTGAGTCTTGGTTTCCACGCTCAGTTCACCAGGCACGCTTCGTTGGTTGACTAACACGTTCATCAGTGTATCCTGCCTATCTGATATTTTTCTCAGACATTTCTCTTTTTCTCTTTCATACCCATCAAGACGTTTCCTTAACTTTGACTGTTCGTGAAAATAAGCTGGAGAAGCCTTTTGGCCTTGTAAACCGAAGTCCTTCACTTTCCTTGAATCCATCAAAAATACTGAATACCAACGCAAGCAATGTCTTGCCACATCGTTTGTGGAACGAAGAAGGGTCTTTGCATGGTTCTTGGCAAGGAAAAAACAGCGTAAATTTACAATGATCGTTATTGAAAACTGGCACTGATATTTTCTTGAAGGTCCTGTTCTGTAGGAAATGTTTTGCTTTATGGTTGGGACAGTCAAGCCATCAGCCTTAATCATGCAGGACCGGCCAAAATACTGAATAGCTTACTCACAGGTCAATATTTTCTTCAAAATTGCAGCGTCGATCACATTTTATTTACTTAGGATGAATAATTTATCTCGAAAAGTGTGTAATACCTTTATCCATGCAATTTATTTCGAAGTTAAATTACGCTTAATTAAAATAGCTGGTAAAATTTTTTTGACTGATAATGGACTTGCTATTCAAATCTCATGTCCTGTTTTCACAGTGATTGTTCGTAAGTGTTTTTTAGCCCAAGTCCATTTAGAAATTGCAAATTAAATAGCTGTTATTGCCAGGAAATTACGACCGACAACTGTTAACTAAAATAACAACTTTAGTGTATTTGCATATTATGTCCTTGCGCCAAATGAAGGTTTTGCAGGTGAAGAAATTATGTCAGCGAGCGGGCAATAACAGAGTTCAATCCACACAAAAATTTCACTATAAAAACGAGAAAAAATGAGCATCCTTTTGGTATAGGTAAAGGTCACCATATAACATAGTCAAAGAAAAAAACTTAACTTTCTTAAGACAACTATCAGTGTCTAGTAGTTTCATTCGTTTATTAAAAACTGTATCTTCTAATTTTGAACGCATTAAGCTGTATTTCGCACGTTATTGAATAGCACTTCGGAGATAAAAAATGCATAGATCTCATCGACGATATGTAACATAACAGTGACACTATTTTCTTTTAAGTTCAAATAGTAAGATACACTCATACCACTTATACGAATTACACTGAAAGCCGAAAAGCTTTGGTTCATATCCCTACTAAGTGTTTCAGTGATTGCGTAATGGAAACACTAAGTAACCTTCTTTGAAACAGTAAATCTCAAGCAAGCAATTTGACTTCCAGATCAGGAACATAGATACCCCATGCTTTATTCAGTAAATCTGAAAAAATATTCCGGATACAAGGAAACAGAATTGTGTTGAAGGGGAAACTTTTTCTAAACTCAAATCAACTTGGAAGAATGTTTTATGAGAGAGAATATGTGTAGACCCTCACGCGGGTGTATTCTCTTTCGGTGGCTAGGCCTCTGACTCAGTATCCATCAATAAACCTGTCCTGCAAGGTTTGTAATACTCGGCCCACCCTTGTTCTCAGTCTCGTAAAGATTGATCGTATTTTTATGGAATAATCAATTCAATAAAAGTAAATTAATTAGTTGATGAATTAAGTAAGTAAGTTGTAAAACAGGTACATGGCAAGTCCTCTCTTTACTCAAAGTCCATGTCCTGTAATTCCATCTAATATTAACATTCCCAAAAAGATAAAATAAAATAATAATTATTAAAGACTGAATCATTGGATAACGCAATTCTAGAGCTCTGATTGGCTTAGCCATCATGGTGTATGAGCCATTATATCATGCGCTCTAAATATGAATTGTACGCCTCTGCTCTAAATTAAAAACAAGCTGAAATACTCCTATTACATGTAGAATCTTTTCGCGGCTTTTCAAATTTCACTTTGCAAATTGATGAACGATACTCTCGATCTAAAACAAGCTCCGCACTTCTAATTAAGATACAATGGTTTAGTTGATTGAAATACTCCTTCCTCTAGGGTTAGTTAGTTTGGCGTCGTGTCTTTGAAACATTTACATTTGCTCCCGAATTCGGAATATTTAAAACTTAGTCTTTTTCCATTCACAAGCTAGATTCGATTACTTTCTTGACTCTCTTTCGTGAATCGCAGGTACCGACAATTTTTTAAATCATCCACTTCGTCAGCTTCTTTTTCGTTGCCGCAATTAGCCTTGAAAAGTTCTTGTTTGAATTTATTAAGAGGTCTGGAAATACCTTTTAATGGGGACTTATGCCCTCGATTCTTTACGGCTTGAAGCGACACAGAAACAGCGTCATTTTGCTCGTCCTCTGCAGGAACCATATTGGTGGGGTAAGCTTTTACAATGGGCTTACCCGGCTGTAACCTGGATTTGTACAAAAAATTAGACGTTTCTTGTCCCCTTAAAAGAGAATCTGAGCTGGCTATATCTCGAGCGGGAATATGATTTCTCATATCAGGGTGATTTGTCTGCAAATGTGATGCATTATGGGTCATAGCGTTCGGATCTACAAAACGTGGCGATACACCTCTTCTAGCCGAAACCTCCGGCTCAGTGCTTAACTTGTTTGAGGTGGAAATATGGATTTTTTTTCTCATCATTTCCGGAGTAGTTCTCAGAAGTGGCTGTAGCAATGCTACTGGAGCTGTTTTGGACCTTTCAAGCTTTTTATGTTCATTGTTGTGCCAGTTGAGTGCTTCTTTCCCAGACTGAATGCTCGGGTTAACGAAATGCGAACCGATCGAACTCGACTTTGCTTCGCCAAATCTTTTATGAGTCACAAGAGGAGCGGCGTGATGAACGCTTAGGTGTTCCATTTTAAGAGCAGGAAATGGCGAAGGATTTGTACGCCGAACACTGTCGTCGCTTGAACTATCTAACAACTCTGGAAAACTCTGAGTTCGTCGGAGAATCGACTTCCGTCGTTTATTAATCACTGGGCTTTTGTAAGAGCTTTCGTGTTCAATCCCTGTGTTGACCAATGCGTGAGTTCCATAAAGTGGATCTGTTACGAGTGCTTTCATTGAATCTCGGATCTCCTCAAGTTGGCTTGCAACTTCAGCGATCTCCTTATCATGCATTTTCTGATAAGTGTGTATTCTACGTCGAAGAAGATGATCTTCGTGGTCATTTAAAGTGGAAATTCGCTTTCTGGCGGATCCTACTCGCTCACCATCCTTGCTGCTATTATGCGAAGACATGGTCCTATTTCTTGTTTACAGCGATATTTAGCTCGATTAATCACATTTACGAAGTTCACAACGTACACCCATTTCAATGTTTCTTTTTTTTTCAACATACGTTTCCTTGTATTACTTTCTGAAGAAATTCAAGATATCGCAACTGTTATTTTTGTTAGATGCAAATTTCTTTGGTTTTTATGTCAGTATTTAGTGTAGTTGGGTGATGGTGATATTGACCGCCCCATGCTGAGCTTAAGTGCAGCAGCTACAATAAACCACCTGCATCACTAAAAGGTTATTTGCCTTGCAGGGTATTATTCCGGCTTTTACATCCTTTTCGTGACATAAACCTGTCTAATATAGAGTCATCCACAGCCGAAAAGTAATGACGGTTCGCTACCATTTACATTATCTTTCTCATATAGGCAGTAAAATTATGCAGTCGGCCGTCTGGAAACTGCAGCTGAAAATTTCAGTGAATCAGTAAAGCAAATATACGTCTCTCCTCACAAATTCAAAATTGTCTTTTGTCAATATGATTATTGACGATTGGCAGTTGTGACAATTTCAAATATGTAACAGGAAGAAATACGCTTTAAGATCTCCTAAGAGAAAAATGGTTGTTTAGAATCCAAATCGTCAATTTTAGACTTCTTTAATTCCTGTTAAGACTGATACCAACCGCCGTTTAGAGAACCAATATAGTCTGATTAGGTCTCGGTAAGGATTATAATTCTGATTCTGTTTAAAAACACACCTCTCAAGGTTTTATGTTTAACTATTAAGTCCTGCTGAATTATTTACTGAAGCAACCAAAAGCAAGCGATTTACGTGCTGTGTTAGTTTTCAAATAAAAATGAACTTCAGTTGAACGATTTGGTGTCAGAAGAGCGACTTATCAAAATAAAAGCGGAAAGATGCTAAAGTGCAAAATACTGGGAGCAATAATAAATATCTGTCAGTCAGAGATGGAGAGGAATTTTCCGCTCTTTTTAATTAGTCTCAAATATCCATGCGAATTCAATTAATAACAAAAACTTTTAAAGTGGAGTTCTTAAACTTCAGTTGTTTCTGTCTGGCCCAACAAGTAACACCTTTCCATCTTGGTTCCACAAATTTGACTTATACTTTATATAAAGTGCAAAATATATTGTACAGCGACTGTGTTTGAGATAAAGTTCATAAAGTCGTACATGTCAGGGTCAGCTCAACAGTGTATTAGCTTTTTAAGTGTTTTATTCCGGCGTGAAGCCGGTTACTCTTAATTGTAACCAGGACAGTGTTACCAGGTAAAAATTATTACTGGTCGAGTAAGCGACGTTCTGAGCAATAAAGTGGCAAGGAGGCACGCCTTTCCCTTTTTGTAATCAATAAAATACTTCATTACAACTACAACGGAGTGATAAAAACGTGTATACTAATAAAAAATTTTACTGTTCGATGAACAACATAAATATATAAATTAATTCATTAGCAAAAGCAAAAGAGTGAGAAAATTTGTACACAAAATATCAAGTCGTCATCAAATCCTTACATGAGACCTTAAAAAACGCCCCCGTCACTGTGATGAAAGTTATTGTATGTGATATTGCTTATCGGCTTTACCGCACAATAGAACCGTTTAATTTATCGATTCCGTTTACGAAGTACAAGTGATAAATAAAGCAAGCAATTAAACCCTGCGGGATATTGAGTAGTCCAAGGAGTTAAGTCTGCTGTCTGCTGTATGGCCTAATACTTTGTTGTCTACACACAAAACTATTTAAGCTTTGTCCCTTTGCTTTACACTAAGCCCAATTCCTAAATCCTGGGTACTTTGTTTTCGTAATAGGCTAGACCGTGTTTCTGTGTAAAACGTGTCTTTATTCAGAACGTTTTTAGAGAATCCTTTCCTGCAAAAGGCAAAACGGGTCTTTGAAGTTGAGGAGTGAGACAAGTTTTTGGTTTCCGTTTGCTTGCTTGATTCTATGGGTGATATTTTAAAACAGTTTCCGAGTGATATTAGTATCCCATTGTCATAATTCCTAACTTCTGGTATGTTGTTTCGAATAGAGGATGGCGAATTAGACCTTGAATGACCTTTCTGTTGGATTGTTTCATTTACTCTTGGTTCTTCCACAACCATTGATGGAGGTCTTGAAAACAAGATAGAACATTTTCTCTTTTTCTCAGTTTGTCCATTTAACTTGCTTTCTTCTAATCTTTCTCCTGTACACGGTGCTTGTTGAGTAAGGTTTCTGGTGTTACCGTTGAAAGCAGTTTTACCAACGCCCATTTTCCATTTGTAATGGTATTCCACTGGAATGTTTCTTGAGTCGTTTCCTGCATAAGATTTTCTTCTCTGGAGTAATGGCTGATTATAGCTAACAGAGGAACTTAGGTGATTCAATGTTCCTGAACACATTTCACCAACGCTTAAGCTCCGCCTTCGGAAACTTCGGACCAAAGCTGTTTGGATGCCATAGCCAGTACATGGCCTTGGTTTTGGAGCTATAGTGAACAATGTGTGTGTTTCGTCGCTTTCTATTTTCTGCACAGTGTCAGAGGCCCTTAGTGACGATGTAGAAGGGGTTTTATTACTGTATTCAAACAGTAGTTCATTTTGCTTCTCTTCGGTTACTGCCTCCACATGACGTTCCTCAGACGTTGCACCCAGCGAAAAATTCTTTTCTATCGGAAACGAAATTACGCATTTCAAATCCCCCAAGAACTTGTGCAAATCCAAAATATCGCTATCGATGGTCTTCAGTTTCTTCTGCTTTTCTCGTTCAAAGCGACGAAGGGTTTTCCTTAGGTCGTTATTCTGTCGAACATAAGATGTTGCTAGACTTGGTAAATTAATTGGCAAATCGCTCTTGCAGGTCTTTCTTCTTCTTCTTCCATTTTCATAGTCGATTTCCATTCTCTCACCCGTCCTGACCGACAAAAAGAAAAACTGCGAAAGGAAAAGTTCTAGTTGCCTGTTAAAAACCCCTTCTTTTTCTAGTACCACCGCGCACTCGATTTGTTGTTTAAATACTGGATTTAAAGCTTTTGTTTCCAGTGACTAATTTAAGTATAATTGGTCATTATTTTTTGTTAAATATTACATTAAAACTGGCTTTGTGCTAATAATAAGCCGAACGGAGCACAATTACCTTGTTAGTAAAGGCAAAGTAAGAGAAAGAATTAATATAGTGCTTTCAGGTAAGGAGTGTTATTTCATTGTTCCTGTAATCTTCGCTTGCACAAAAGAGGGTAGCCCCAGTGTTAGAAACAAAATCGTTACCACGAAAAGGTCGAAAAATTGCTCTAGTAGTAGAGACATGTGCTGTAACAGCAAACAAAATCTCTAACCGAATTTGATCCATTGTGTTTGTGTTAAGAAAACAACAAATCAACAGAAACTTTCGTCTGATCCAGTCGAGGGACTATCGTCAAAGGAAGTTATTTTGAGAGTCACCCGAACAAAATTATTAACGAAAATAGGCATCTATAATTATTGCAAAACGACATACAGAAAACAGCGGTACAAGAAAAACTTAAAACGGGCTTCTGTCGCAGCTTATAATTAGCAAGTCACACTTATTAGAAGGTGCTCATACAAAAAAAGTCAAAGACTTTGGACTGTAAATAAGAAGAGGCGCTAAAATAGGAATAAGTTTCTGATAAGCTGTTTACTTCATTGAAAAACTAATATAAAGGGACCCCAAATCGGCATATGGTATATGTACCGCGCTTTAATAGACAGAAATCGAAAAGGACCTGGATCAGCTATCAAGTTCAGTCGAAAGTACTGCATGGTTGACCGATCTCTTTAACAACGGATTAACTATATTGGTGTTTTTATTATACAGACTTTGAATATGTTAAAAGCGTCCTTTCAGTCCAACTAATTCACAGGTTTCTGTTACCAGTGCCACGAGCCCAACCAGCGCTTATTACTTGACTCCTCAAGGCCAGAGTCATGCAGTGTGTACAAACTACTTTTACACTAGTATTTGTTGCACTTGTGTTCACGTCACAGAAATTCGTTATGCAGGTCCGCAGGAAGCTGTTGTTTGTCCCAATGTTGTCTCAATAAAAACTATTCAGCAAAATTAGTTTTTTAATTACTCGGGGCTCATTATTAATCTGCTATTCAGTGCTTTTTTAGAAACAAATACCTAGATAGACCCGCACTGACAAGTTTTTGTTTGCTTATGGAAAATTGCGTTTGCTCAGATAATAAATTGGTCCTGAACTGCTTATAATAACTAGTAAACTGAATGACGTATCTGTCAGGTTTCTTTTCATCAAAAGCTACGAATATAGATACAAGATCGCGGTAATAGGGCTTGCGTATAAAACAAACGTGACAGCAATACAGATGAGACTGATAGAGGTTCTTTACTGACGGCTCTTAGAAAAGGGCGTTTTGTGAAGCAAATCAGATACATTTTTTACCTACATCATTGTTAAGTGATGTTGGAGAAAAACATGGCACAAAACAAGAGAGCTGTTTCTAAGATTGAATTCAACAAACGGATCCGAGATCTGGTCTCGCGTGATAGCAACCGACTTCGACAAACGTTTGAAAAGTTTGACAAGGAATGCGCGACTCGTTTGGCTGAAATTCAGAGCATGCAAGAAAAGGTTCGTTATTCCATGAGGAATTTGAAGCAGGAGAAAATGCAGGCCAAACTCAATTTAGTGCATGACACGCAACTAGAGGGAAGCGAGAACGGATCCCTTACTCAACAAGAAAGTCCAGCGTCTGACAAGAAAGATCTTAAGTCGGACAACCACAGAAAATTTATACCAGAGATTCCTTTCAACCGTTCAGATCATCTCGAAGTCCCAGGAAGTAGTCAAACAAGAACCCGACGACATTCTGTACCACATCGCCCCACGTTTCTTCCCGGAAGCCCGAAAGAAATCCGAGCATTTCCAAAAACTACCATGTCATCTTCACAAACAAAGCAAGCTTATGCCAAGCCCGCGTCACCAACTGAAACTTCACTATTATCCAACTTGTCGAGTTCTCCCAAAGAATCTTCCAGTGGGACTAGCCATTATAAGGTCCGTAACAACCTTTATCGGCTATCCATTTCCGACCTGCCAATATCAAAAGCACGGTCCGATAACCTGTCAAATATAAGAGTCAAATTAAGTCCACAGTCAGGTCGCAGAAGTCATCATTCAAAAAACAACTGGGTTATGGATAACGACGAGAAAGAAATCTTTACCCACGATAACCAAGATACTAAGAATCCAAGAAGGAGTAGTCACACACCAAGTCACCTTGGCGTAACCATGGAAACTGAGTCAAGAAGGGCATCGGATCCCCATAAAGTTCGGCCAAAATCTCTTGTCAAGAGAACACGAAGTTCTTCGCTTCCTTTCGAGCCAGACATGGTAAATAGAGAGGCAAAACCTAAAGAGATTCATTATGGAGTAACAAGGTCTGCCAAGAGTGTCAACCGTCCACTTGAAAGTAAAGCAGTTCCAATACCTGTTCTCGACAGGAAAGAAAATGAAGCTGACGCAGGACTTTTTGAGGAACTGCGACACTGCACATATTTGAGAAATAGAACAGAAAATGATCCGCCTAATTCCTGATTGTTTTTTTAAGTAATCCCGTAATTAAAATTTCCAATCTACTTTTCATGATTTGGCTGACAGAGAATGTCCTTCTGTAATTTGTTTATTTAAAGCGTTAACAAAGAAAAAGAAAATCGATGTAATAAAGCGTTCAAAGAAAATTGATCGAGTGAGTGAACTTTGTCGAACCAGACATTTTGCAGCCCATGAACATACAGATGCATGTTTTCGTGTTTAGTTAAATTAGGTCTACGACATAAAAGTATCAGTCAAGGAAGGCCATTGAAAAATATTTCTCAACTCATTAACATAGTATATGGTGAAAATACACTGAGGGAAATTACTGTTTAATGAGTGCTTGGAAATCTGATAAACAACTTGTACATCCTAAATTCTCCTTCTAAAATCGCATTTTGAGTGAGTAATAATATCAATCATTCGACAGAGTGATTTATGACGAAATCAAACACCTGGAAGTTCGTCAAATACTAAATAATGAAATGCTTTGAGTCATACTTCATAGATCACGTCAAGTACGTTCTAAGCAGTGCAGCGGTGTATAAACTTAACTACATTGACCCAAAGCAACAACTTAATCCATGGGAAAAAATGAAATTTGCCGGATTCCTGCCTAAAAAACGGTTTTGAAAGTATTCAGCTTAGGTTAAATTACGAGCGTTAACTATTCATCACAGTTAGATCACCATACAAACACTTTTGTAAGCTATGCGATTTGATTAAACGGTTTTTTATCGGAATCACCGACCTTTCAACGCTAACGCTGGTTTCCTAGACAATACCAAGATCCTTACGCGGAGACTGGTGCCAACACAAAAAGCATCAGATTGCTTTTGCTTTCAAACTACGTGGTGTAAGCAATTCCAAACAAAAGGCTCAAACAAATTACAGCTAACAAAAAAAACAACAGTCTTTTGCCAAATTTTAAAGCAGTTCTTGTTTACATGAACGTCGTTTCTTGTAGGGAGATTCTTAGAGAGGAAAAGTAACAGAACTTAACGACTACGTCTCAATTCAGTATTGCTTTCAAAGTAATCAGCCCGTATTTCAATTGGGAATTTTTATTACTCAGCTTTAGTTTACTTAAGATGGCGGTGTAGACTTGACTGCCACTCAATCAACAAATTGGCTTGGAAAAATGCAGTCATTCTTAGACCGAACATCATCAGGAGACAAAAGCTTTTCTAAGAGCATAAGCGGCATAAGCAAGCGGCAATTGGCAATCAAAGCAATCAGTCCGTTGGCAAATTATACGAGACGTTATTACTCACAAATTTACACCACGACCATAATTGAAGCGGTTTCATGATTTGCATGGAATATAACAAAGCACTCGATTATTTGAACTTTTCTAACACAGACTAGAAATGATCTCTTTTTTATCCAGCCAACCCGAGAAAATTACTTATTTTGTTTTGTGTAACATTATTCGTTAAAAATATTTCTTTGAAACAAAGATCTCAACAAAGGAAAAAACTGGCTGAGTAACTGATTATCTTACTATATATCTTCACACAGAAAAGGTTTTAATCTAAATCTTCACAAGTCCTTGTGAAATTTCCAAAAATAAGTCGTATTAGCGTCTTAAAAACATTAGTTTAACCATCTTTTACCATTTGTACATTGCAACGTGTGGAACGATAAAAACAACCTGTACAAGAGTGCACTGTGGGGAGGTGTTGCTCCAAACTTACAAAGTCTATAGTTCTTTTTTTTGGAAAGTCTTCTATTACACAAGCATTATGACTCGAAGGCTTGTTATGTCGAAAAGAAATGAAGATGCAAAGCGAAGAAACGCAAACGAAGATAATTTGCTGCAGTTAGAAATGGACAGGTTTGAGAGGGAACACAACAAAGAGATGAAAACCATTCTACAGGAAAAACAAATAGCAAAAGAAGCCATGAGTGACATAAGAAGGCATAGAACCTCGTCGCTATTGACTGCGCGACTAACCTCACAGAACAGCTTCCCTACCGTACCGACAAAGCAGCCATGTTTGGAGAAAAGAATGGGCAATATTTCAAGCGACGGGCAAAGTTTCGAGTCTCGGAAAGAGAGCCTACTTTCCAGCGTGCCTGACACAGTAACGAAAACCGAACATTTTAACATGACTTTGTCGCAGCCGTCCAAAACTGATATTAATTTTGGCCATCGAAAACGCGCGCAAACTTTTTCGGAAGGAACAGAATGTATTCATACTTTTCTTGAATACAGCAGCATCCCGCATAATCCACGATTTCGACCAAGTTCTTCAAAAAGTCTGCTAAAGAACAACTGGATTTATCCAACTATGAAAGATGTCAGGAGTAACGTGCAGGACTATGGCGGAGAAAGTAAACTCGTTGCCAGACTAAGAAGTCAGACTGACTCGTTACTGCAGTTAAAACGGAGGGGATCTTTTGGCTTTGAAAGCAGCTCTCTCACGGCCAATCAATATTCAAGAGTTTCTTTCTCACCACGAAACAGCCCAGTACTACTTACTCGACGAGCAAACACAGTGTCCGCTGGTATCGACAACAAGACGCTAAAGAGAAATCACCTGGAGCTTCCTTGCGTACAGCCGCCGTCAGGTAGATTGAGTCCATCAAGGGATACTGTTAAATTCCGACAAGCAGCAAGCCCTGCATCCAATACAGCTCAGACATTGGTATCACGCTATCAGCGAGACAAAGCCATCTTAAAGGCAAGTGAGAATCTTACAGTGGAGAGGGAAAAGAGGGAGATGGAACGACTTAAACATCAACAGCTCAAAGAGGACATAAAAACAAGTAAAAGTAGTAAACGAAGAGACAGATTTTTTACTGTAGCTCAGCTCGTAATGGCTTTAAACAAACTCAAGTTTAATGCTGCGGCTGGCAGGAGATCATCTCCACCCAATCAGTGATATAAATCAACATCATGTTTTGCTTAGAGAACCTTATATCTATTTTTAATTGATACTGTTGTTGTTACATTGTTTCTTTCTATTTCTCTTTTTTTGCGATGAACTGTGCAAAGTACCCCTATTTTGAAAGCATAAAAGAAAGACCTATTTCATGCACTGACAAGAAACAAAAAACGAGAAGTCCAAAGACTACCGCAAAGCTGATTTAGAACAACATGTATTGTTCTTTCATAACAGTATTTCGGCTGGCCATACCAGCCTTCTTTAGGTTTACAGATGTTACTTGCAGTTAATTTAATCCTTTATTACCGACAAGAAAATACGAAAAGCAAGTCAAAAGGCAGTCTTGTGGAACCCATAAGAGAAGTTTTGGTTTCTGTAAATATTATGTACAGTAGAGATTGATGTACACACATTGAAAGCGAATTAGTTATTGGTTGGATTGATTACCCGGGGGGGTACGTCCTATAATGGCCTATACGGGTAGCTCCGCCCGAAAGGGATGCCTTTTTTCAGGCTTCAGGTATTTGAAAGGGTACTAGTTGAAGTATATGAAAGAGTAGGGAAATCTGTCATTTGGGTCTGTAAAAAGACCTAAAAGGGTTAACACAAGAATTTTATGGATGTGAAAAAGTCGAGTAAATGTCATTGTTTTTGTGATTTATTCATATTTTAAAGACAGTACATTAACAGCAGTCAAAATGGATGCAATGTTTTAAACTAGGTATTAACAGGATAAATCAAAACGAGCGCCAAAGGCACAAGCTTCTAGCGGGAACCGGTGGATGCAATGTTTTAAACCCCTAGGTATATGTGAAATTATGGATTTCCGTAAAACGGTGTATCCATTTGAAAGGTATACAAAAAGGGTACCGTTTCTGTTCAAAATGGTACACAAAAGGTTAAGGGTTGGACCTCGGGGCGCCCCCCTGTATAAGACTTTGTTGATTACCTTCGGGATTGATTGACTACTGTAAACCACCTAAGTAGGCGTATGAGATTAGCACTTGTGGGATAATTGGACAGAATTCTCATTGTTATAAGGGATTTTGGTTGAAAATGGCAATTTTCGCTGCTATTTCACAAGGATCGTTTTTTTAAAAAAACATCTTTGGGACCAGGGGCCCAGACGCAGTAGAAGGCTAAAAACTGCCTTAAAAATGAGTTGTAAACCGCGAGGAAAATAAAATTACAGACAAAATGCAAATTGATACACCGGGTCTTACACTCCTACCACGCTATGACCTCTTTCGTGCAGCCCTTCGGCAGCCCCCAGTACGTACAAACCTTTCTAAGGTTTCAAAGCTATCTCTACCGAAACATCTCGTGATACCATTGCGAAAACCTAGGTGAAAACCTTGGACCGTCCTATGGGTCACAAGAGATCTTCCAGAAGGACTTGGATCGAAACTTTCCTTGAATTGAGAATTGTTAGGACAAAGGGGGTACAAGAAAGGTCATGTCGCTGACAATTTTAGACCACGTATTAAAATTATCAAGTTCCTATTGGCTTAAAGATAGGTGGTAAATGTCAGATTTAACTCTAAAGCAAGAATGATTGAAGAGGATTGGTTTACATCCGGATAAAACCAACCAGGGTTACTTGTTTTTAGCAAGAGCTTTTTCCAAGTGTCCACCGTTTATTATTACAGCGAAGCAAAAGATGGCAAGTAATGATAACCTGCGCGATTCTTTCGGGGAGTTTTTAAATGCGATCGAGGAAATGAGCCACACAGTCATGGTACCTCATCTTCTTCTTGGTATTTCAGACGAGAATCAACTACCACCGACAACCGGAAGTTGTGTATGTTCTACCGACTCCAATGATAATTCAATCGTCAAGCCAAGCAAGGAGTTAAACAACTCAGGTTTATACGGAACTTATCATATGCTTCTGGATATTAAAGAAGAGTTAACCACAGGTCGAAAATCATCGGCTGAGGGATGCTTTCGCTCCCACGTTAAAGTTGTAATGGAAAGCATGAAACAGCTGACACGGCTTGCAAAGTCTTTAACGCAAAACTATTGTGAAGAGGTCTGTAACGAAGAAACTCACTTGCGTTCAAACAGTGTTTCGTACAGTGCATTTGAAGATCTGATGAAGGGTTCTGGAGAATTCCAAACCCAGGATAAAAGAAGGAAATACTCGACGTGACCGAAATAGCTGTACTTAGATCGTCTACGTTTTCCCCAAAATTTGCGCGTGACTGAAAATACAATTGAAAGATGTCATAAGCAAGGACACAGCTTGAAGAATACGCGTTTTGTTGTGGGCGAAGCTGGTCATCTAATAATGACGAGAAAGCGCTTACTTTACGCAATCGCTTTGCTAAATATGGGAGTTTTTTAGACACATTTTTTATTTCTATTTATATGGTAAGGTGAGGGACCTTTAAGGCTTTTTCTGTAAACCGTAAACCTAACCGGAAAACAAACTACCTTTAGGGTGGTAGGAGCCTATTAGCTGTAATGGGTTCTGGCGCTGAGCGAGCTATGTAAACAAAGCCATCTTCTTATATTTCTGTCTCACTCAAGAATTCTATTTAATTTTAGCTACCTGTATTAAGTTTTTCAAGTTTGCTCTCAGTGCAGCCAGTTGCCTTAGGCAACAGTTTAATGAAACAAGGTACATTTCTAAATGTGCACATTATAACAACTATGAAAAGTAGTACATTTGAAATCGCGTATTTTACCGGAGTTGAGTTGCAAACATACGTTTATATTCTGTTTTTACCAGTTTTAAATACGGGGCGGTGAAATGGACGGCTTGGAATCGTACCTGTTTGACAAACCTCTAGAATATGGATAAATACTATTTTGTTTGTAATTGCCAAAGTGAAAAGAAAAGGGACAGATTGTAGTAATTATCACCCACCCCAGTGCCTTCTGTGCAATAGGCGACGGGCGAATGTAGGATGGAATTTGAATACCTGGTAGCTGAAAAAAAGTGGCGATAAATGCTTCTCTAGAAAACTTTGGAATTTTAGTCCTCGTAAATTTGGTTTTTGCTATTCTAAGAGCAAACGGAAGTGTCTCACTCATCAGGAGTTTTGTTTGCACAAAGACAAAACAAATAATAATAATAAGAGGAAGAGGCAAGGTACAATCACGTTTGTATTTGGTGATGAATTGACTGATTTTTCTGTGCATGAAAGCGGAAAACTGAATTCAAAAGGAACACTCTCAGCAATAATTAATAATTTATTATTTATTAGGGGCAAAATAGCATTCAAATATATGATCTAATGCGCACAGGAATTATTATGCTAACACAGAATCCCGATCAAGAGGATTGTTGTGATCGATACTTGTAAAGTCAGGCAGTCACTAAGCAGGCGTTCAATTTTGTTCTAATTTGTATTACGTAATTTTTATAAGGTTCTGTCGACACGGCAGGCATAAGACATGGTTTCAGATTATTGTGGTTTGACCGAACCCCCAAAACACCCTAGATCCGCCCAGTTATTATTTTCAGATAGGTACGTCACATCCGACCAAGTGTAAACTGATTCATAGTACTAGCACTTCCTCTCACGTGACTTCTGTGACCAATGCGAAAGTCAGCAAGACGCAGGTACCGTAACTTTCTCATTAGCTGATGACCTTGGCAGGTATAAGTCTATGTAACATTACTCAAATTTTTTGTACCACCTTATGAATAAACACGACTTTTGGAGCTGTAAATTAATTTAATGTTAAAACTTGCAATTTTTGTTGATTTTGGGATTTCGTGACAGAGAGGAAAAGGGTGGAGGATTAGTAAAATTGATTATTTTCAGAACTATCACAGATAAGCTAAAGTTGAAAAAGACGAGTTTACGGTTACCAATTGGTAATGGACACCCAGTAAGTCTCTAGGTATTATCACTTACATCTGTTTATTTTCGATAAAATGTTTAGCCTTTTTCCACACAAAATTGCGTCCATATAAAAGGAAAATATGTCTCCAGAGGACTGCTATAATTCACAGTCGCATTAAGTATAGCTGTGATGAATTTTTCAAGTTTAACTGGACCCGGTTTCTTTCAAAATTCTCGAACACCTTTAAAACACCAAAGCCGCACTTTGGGCAGCGATTTCAATTTAATAAAAAAGACGGGTGCTATCTTGCAGGGGTGTTCTTAAGCTCTTTGTCTGGAAAGTAAAAATAAACCTCTGTATTAAGCTTTGCAATATGCAGCGTTTAGAAAGCTGGAGTTTGTATGGCCAACGGGTACAATTTTCTCAGAGGCGAATCGATGGGAACAGTTAAAAAGGAAAACCTTTACCAGTTCACCTATTACAGTTCTAAAACAATTTTCTTTCACTTCGAAATGTATTTTGCTAAGTTATGAGAATTAAGTGTTACATCAGTTTAGGCTGATTTTCTTCGTTAAGGCACATCACCTGCGCGCGATCTACTGACAATATATTGACTGTTATGAGAAATCTGAAGATGATCACTTCAATTGCTTATACAACCGCGCTAAGGTGAATTATTTCTATTCTGCCGTAAAATTTTTTCTAAACTGTAAAATTACATTCGTCACAAGTTTACTGTTGTTAGAAAAAAAAGGAAAGTAGAGTACACCTTCATGCATTAATTGCGAAGTAAAGAAAAGATTATTATCTACGACAGATGTCAAGCCACAGGGTATGTTTAATTTTGATATGCAAATCTTTCACTTTCTCAGTCGGGATCAATGAAACAACAACAGTATAAAGAGCGACCGTTCTTGAACTTTTAGATCCAAAATCAGCTGGAGAAGCCTTAACCAAAGACTCACTCAAAGCTTTCGCCTTCACGTTATACAATATAAAGTTGACAAGAAATGAATATTGACTATTCTGAGCATTTACAACTCGCCAAGCGGCATTCTTTCCCGTATATGAAGGTATATACATGGAACACACTTGGAGGATCACAGAGTCAAGTCAAAGAAATTCCTCTCAACAACGCGGCAGACTCAGTTCCTGCGATAAAGTCTGACGGCACAAGCCAGGAACGTCAAGCTCGTTTAGAAGAAGCCATGGTGTGGATTCGAAAGGAGTTGGTACGTATATAAGAAATAAAATTTAAAATTGTCAGGAGAACCAATATTAAACAATTGTTCTTCAGTTATTCCTTTATCTTGTTTTCAATTTGGAAATATGAATGCAGACTTCAAACAAGACACGGCTTCAAAAGTGGGAAGTCCTGAAATTATCTTTCTAAGAGAGGTTCGCTTAGATTTTACTACTGTAGTAGGTAATTGTTTGTGGTGAGGGCTTGTTTGGATTACATGAGATCGTGATAATACAACGGATTTGCCGCTACAAGCGCCGCCAGGCATGCGTGCCCTATTATTGTCGTTTTTTCCTGACTCATAACGACGCACTTGCTACACTTTGAACTAGTTTAGTACACGTTTGCTTTTCAGTTTCTCGCTTTATATACTCAGAGGTATGTTTTTAACAGAAGCAAAATTGAAAAGAATTTAGACGATTATTGCGAAATCAATGGTCCGAGACGATTTATCTGATCTTTTACAAGGACATAAAAACAAAAACAAACGAAACCGATCAACACTCAATCTCAGCGTATTCTGGCTGTCACGATCAGTACGTCCCTTCTCAACTATAACCCTATGAACATAAAGCAAAGAACAAGCAGAATGGCTTATTCAACAAAACTCCACACAACTGTTCGGTTAAGAAAGTAATAACATAGTAACTTCTGTTCTATTTCCGTAATTAGTAACCAAACTATTCGGCCTCTGACTTCGCCTATTTAACGAAACTTTCAAATAAATGCAAAGATAGCTAAGGAAGGCAAAGAGACACGGTTGAACGAATCTCTGAAAATACTGCATCACCGAAAATGCTGGCTTGTCATAGAGCCTTTTGGCTTCGTTCCCTCCAAAAGATATATCACCTTACCAGCACTTTATTCTAACACGTGTTTTACTATTTACACTGCAGTCGGACATGCGGCATCAGGACAAGTTTCTTACAAGGCAGTTCATTCAACTTAGGGCCACAATCCAACGCATTAAAAGAGAAAACAGTCTCTTGGATGGTGGAATGGACAACACACAACAACAAAACGAACCGTCCTTTAGACACTCGGTACCAGGCCCTTCTCTTCGACCAACACTGGGCAGAAGTATATCTTATATGTAGATTGAATTAATCAAATAGTATATTGAAAAGTTTTAAAGGCATTGCGCGAACAACTACAAACTTGTGTCTTTACCATTGGCCAGCCTTCTAATCATTAGTTGCTGGTCCCTTCTTTTCGATAGGAGGAGAAAGAGGTTTGATTTTAAGATTCTTGAAAAAGGATTTGAGTTGAAAATATTTTGTGTTCACTGAATAAAATAGTTCATGAAGCCTGATCATCAACGCAGCAGAAAAGAGTAATGACATCATTTCTTTTTAAGAAATCATAATCAGTAAAAAGACGAGTAAGAAGCGAGACGTTTAAGACGAAATTTAAGAGAAGGCAATTTATAGATTCATAATTTTAATTAACAATTTGAAATAGAGACTTAGCGCAGCGTCTTTGAGTTTATCATTAACAGTATTTTTGTTTTCATTCCATTTTCATTCGATATGGACTGGACTGAATGAGCATAAAAAGTAGGTGCTAACGGACAAACTCCAATTCTTAGAGTCGCGAATTTGCAGCAAAATATAAGGTACTTCCTTCACTGTACAAGAAATACAATTCGTCACATGGATACATATTAGGAAAATATAAAGTAAATTTCAATTTTGGTTTATATCATTTATATATTAATCAATATTTTTTCCTTTCCAAAAAGTCTAATTTACACCTGTTTAGTTAGCGTCTTGAATTAAAATTGTATCTATATTACGTAAAACTGTATCAAACTAAACTAATTTTTGTTTGCAAAAAATCTAAAAACTATTGTATAAAACATAGCCTAGTTCATCATATTCTAGTGTTCGATATCTAAATATTCCTTCACGAGCATACTACGCATTAACCTAACACATTTTTATATCTCAAAAAATAGAAGGGAAACCTTGCTGCAACATGAATATTTGGCAGTCTTACGTTGCAACGTAACGTTATTGCTAAATGTTGGCCGTATTTTCTGGCAGCTTAAATAATAAGCAGACCATTCTGATTTCCTGTAACGTTACTGAAAATGCCAACCAGCAACAACTTAAACAATTACACACTCACAAATAGGAGAAAGATACTTGCAGTCCTATATTGCAAATGCAATATAGTGAAAAATGCTTTGGTTGCGCCTTTTTGCTTTCTTCGGTTTCAAGCGTTGATATTGGCACGTGAGATACAACCGCTTCATCGCTAAGGCCACGTCCTGTTTGCACAGGAGCAAGTGCTTTCACTAGTACGCCTGGTTCAGACGCCGTCCTCTTCATGTGCCAAACCAGATTGAATAAGTTCGACTTTGGAGCGAGACTTCCGGCGCACCGTTTGACAAAAGTTCGACAGACTCTGTGGAACTTAACCCTTTTGCCGCACCAAACTAAAACTGCCGTACCAAATTGATTCAGACACCGCTCTTTTGCCGTACTTAATTCATCAGCTAGGTTGGGCACATGAGGGAAGCGGCGTCTGAACCGGGCCTTAGCTAACAGGTCGAAAGAAAGCTGAGATATCAGCATACCCAGCAGCATACTGTAAATTTTTTCTTTGTTTCAATCGTTTGTTTAATTCCTCAGTTACTTTCCTGTGACACATGACACACAGAGTGCGAAAGTTGTCCAATCCACACTCTCCTCCCCCCTCAGACACGGGTGTGATGTGGTCTGCCTCCCAAAACTAAAAAATCAAGTTTTAATGAAAAAAAAAAGTTTAAAACCTGGTTGACCAAGCTGTAAGCGCACACATGTCGGTGAGTGCGACTGGGGAAAGTGGGTTAGTATCAGGGAAAGCAAATTTCTACTCAAAAGAGAGCGGAACCACAGTCTTCTGAGATCTATAGGGCATAATAAGTGAATAATTTGCAAAACGACGAAAATTGCAATGGAGCACGATCACACCGGCTCAATGTAAGAGTAAGAACTAACCAGTAAGAGACGCTAACACAATACCCAGGTAAGTCTTCCCTCGACCAATCAATACCAGAGGCTGCGATGCGCCGATAGGGTGGGAAGAAAATTTCTAAATATAATTCGACTTCAAAGTCGTGTTCTTATCACCTCGAGACACACTCATGTTCAATCCATTATGCATTTATTGATCACCTTTTTTAGCGTCAAATAGCTACTCTTCAAGTCTACGAAGTATTTAAGCAGTATAGTAAGCTGTACAATCTATTGTCATTCTTACCATGCCTTCTTGGGGCTCCATGACCATCTTTTTCAAGGTCTTTTCTGGTAGTGATGCGTAAGGCGTCTCCGCTAGATAAGCTGGCCGATCTCTAACCTGCAGGGCTTTGACATTCACAAACAAACTGTGAGCATCCAGGGAACACAGCTGGCACACACCTCGTTCCGCTTCAAACAGCGCTCTTCGGGCAGCCGTACCGCTCCCGCGGACCTGACACGGCGAGGACAAAGAGGATAAGCTTTCTGGTCGCGGTTGATCAAAACTGGATAGAGTTACCCGCAAGATAAACCTCCGTCTATCTAGTGCCGGGATAAATACCGCAATTATTCGATTAACCGCCCTAGGCGCTTATTAAATTTTTCGACCTTGAGAGTGGGCGCTTATTAAATTTTCACCGTTTTCAGCAAGTGCAGTATGTTTATTTTGCACAGGGCTCAAAATAACGGCCGGTCAACGGACAATGTCCGGCCTGATCGTGGGCTTGACCGGTCAAACTCTCGTCGACCGGTCATTTTTGGATGCGAACATTTTATAATATTTTCCATATAGTTGTCGCTTAATGCGTTTTGCTCTATAACGCTGTAATTCGCTGCTTTTTTTGGCTTTTTTTGATGCTTTGCACTAAACCCTTTAAAGAAAAACGTTCTGCTTTGCTGTGATCAGTATTAAGAAAACATACGCTAACGATAATCCGTTATTTTTTAGAAAACTAAAGGGTGACTGACAGTTTTTGTCCATCAAACGTTTCACATCTACTTGTAAGAGGATTGTGAAAATCACCTTCGACGGAATTCGGGCTGATCAATCGCTCGTCCTGTACTGTTTCTCCGGGAATAAATTTCAGCGCATCGATTAATTATAATCATTTCTTTATGTCGAACATGATCTCGTTTGCGGACTCGATTCCAGAATTGTCTGATAAAAACTAAGCTAATCGAGAACGAACGTCGCCTATCTCGGCGCTTAAAATCCTCCTTCTTGATAAGCCGTTCGCGATATAGTGTTGCGCGACGACCCAAACGAAAGCTCTGCTGTATATTTATTGACTTCTGATGACGAATAGGCTGTTTGTGGAACAAATTTCTCGCCAAATCAACTTCTTTGCCGGAAATATTTAGCGACGAAATTCTTCTTTGTGGAGGAGACTTTCGATCACATGCCGGGCAACGAAAAGGATCAAGTTTGACCGATATGTAGATATAGGACGAACCTTGGAGACTTCCAACACCGCCGTACGATGATTCTCAAGGTATATATAAACGAACATGAAAACGGGCGAAAATCGAGGAAAGGAACCCAACAACGTGTGAATGAATTTTTCACCAACTTGCCGGCAAAAACCTGAATAGCCTGTTCCATGTTCCGAGATAGTGGTGAAAAGTCGTTCAGTAAAAAGAAATGCGAAAAACGCCACCGCGCCCTTTCTCAAGTCGCGCGCGTCTTATTTTCGCTTTGCTCGTTTTAATACGTCCGCACTATATTATCTGAGAGCCTGGCACAGGCTAAAACCTGAACGACAATGCCGCACAACGATCTACTGCCAGCGTAATTCGATATTCCATCGGGCAAAAAAAAATTATAATATTCATTAATTTGACCGGCCAAAATCGGTGTTTGACCGGCGACCTGCTGTCCGTTATTTTGAGCCTTGTTTGCAACAAAACAATAAATAGTAATAACGAAACGCGAGGATGTAACAAAGCAAGGTTTCTGTAAACTACCCCTACTCGAAGGAAAACTCCGTCTTCGGGAAAGTCTCTTTATATTAGTATTTATTCAATTTCAATCTCATTGTCACCCAAGTGGTGGGGTGGGGTGGACGCTTATTCGAGGCTGGGCGCTTATTAACTTTTTCTGCCTTTAGGATGGGCGCTTATTTAAGGTGGGCACTAACTTGAGGTTGGGCGCTTATTCAAATAAATACAGTATAAGGGAAACCAACTGCATATACTGGATAGAAATTTATCTGGTAGATTACACTGTTTAGTTTTTGAACAACTGGGACCTACAAGTAACAACGTGGGCAGGTTGATTTTTATCCACCGTTTTAATTCAGGCTCCGCGCACGTTAGTCTCCAGCGGAGAGAATTTTCACCGCCGCCTTTTTTTTTCTTCAAAAAATAACTCCATAATGTTAACCCTGTTCAAACGGACCAAAGCGATTGGTCCAACGTCATCCAAAACTTCTGGATAAAACATACTGGGTCCGTTTGAACACCTTGTTGGACGGTACTGGCTGGGTCAGGTTTAAATGAGGTGATACCTTTGGACCTGTTTAAACTGATCATCCAGCAATGTTGAATTCGTGTAAAAGCGACTTAAGTCAAGAACCTTGTCAGACAAAAATAAGGTTATTATTTATACTGTTTAGTTACCTGGTACTCGTTCTTGCAGTCATGTGAACAGAACCTTTTCTCCCAATCATGGCATTTCAGTTTATCAGCAAAGTTCACTGGGCCTGCACAGAACAGGCACAGAGGCATCCCATCAGCCCTTACAGCTTGGTGACAAGTCTTATCACGTGTACTGCCAGCATCAGCAGAGGTTGGGTTGGACTGATCTACAGATTAAAACAAAATGCTCAACTCCACAAAAAAAGTCATAGCTAGTCAACGTTGTTTTAGATAAAGCACAAAGGGCTGCAAGTAGGCCTTGAGAAATATATATCTTGAGGTACAGAGAACAAAGTTTCCGTATTATATATTTCAAACAGGTAATAACATATAGCATAAATACATACTGCTATTGGCGGTCTTGTCATCCTCTTTTGTCTTCGCTTTGTTCGTAGTAACTGTCGGTTTTCTAACCACTTTAACTTTGCCCCCAATTTCTGCTGCTGCATCAATGATTCTTTTAATTCGAGTTTCCTGCAACAAATATTCAGGTAAGCCTAATTGTAAACAAAACAAAGTGAACTAAAGATGAAACCAAACCCTGTTAAGTACCTGGGATGGATGCCGTACGTAATTTGATTCTCTTTTCAGTCCCTGAAGGAAAAAACAGACACTATTATGTAACTATACAACTCCCATAACGATAGCACTTTACGCCAACCTGCACACAAAACACACTTCGCTTCACACCCCTCACCATGAAACTGCTACCCCCCCCCCCACACACACACACACACGCACACACACATCTACTTTGATGCTGAATTTTCGTGTCCAATAATTACTTTTTTCTTTTTTTACCAGCTTACGGCACTTCCGCTTTTAAGCCCATCCGGCTTCGAGTCTATAAGCTCACCCAAATACCCTTAAGAGCTTGTCTAAGCCCAAGGTTTATCACCAGAATTTTACGGCATTTGGCAAACGTTTCCGAAATGCATAAGGAATCACTGAGAGCTTCCATTGTAAAGTAGCACGTAAACAACTTGCATACTACACTCTCACTGTAAAACGTGGCGCGCTCACCTTCCTCGCTTGTTCGTAAGCTCCCAAAGGATCATCAAACACAAGAGCTGACTTGCGCAGAACTCGCTTTTTGCCTTCACCCATCCTGTGAATCAGGAAAACTGCTTTAGCATCGAAAACCATAACCACAATATTGCCAAGACTTTGAAAGAATTGATAGAGAGCCAATGATAATCAGGTTAGGGCAATTCGGTTCACTTACACAGCATTCAGTCCAAGGGTGTTTTTCAATATCCATGAACTATTTCTCAAACAGATATATGGTGAAATGAAAACAGAGGAAATCAGTACTTTGAAGGAGTTTGAATGCTGGGTACTAACTAACATAATATTTTTGCGGACTAAAGTTTCATTTTTCCAAGTATTATTGATCATAGCTCAGCTGCAGTATATCAGGCACTCCGCGCAGCATGTCGCCTGATATCCAGACAACTCGAACTAGATTTAAATTAATGGTCTGTGCCTCATATATCTAGTCACTACCCGGTGCCTGCTGTTTGCATATCGGATGAAACACATTCTTACACCAATGAGATGTAATTTCGTTGACTCTACTTGGATAAAGTTGTTTAAAGGATCATATCTCACCTTTTCCACCCGTCGAGGAACCTCTTCACCTGACTCAAATTATACTCGTGATAAAGAATGCTGGGTAGATCTTCAGTGTTTCCGTTGATCACATCCGACATACAGAAATTGATTCCCAGTGGTTTATTATCCTAACAAGGTAAAAGCCAAAGTCACTTCGCAATAGGTCACTTCCTAGTTCCAAAAACCCTCACTTTCAAAATGAGGCCAAGTGCACAACCTTTCTTCTGAAAATGAGTTTTATTTGCAAGAGAATAAAAAATATTTTCCATATAAAAGGCTGAGCACTTAACCTCGTTTTGATACAGAGGCCCGGGGGGACTCGGAAATGGCCTAATCACAATGAAACTATAACAAAAAAAAAGATGGAGAGAGAAAAACTGGAGTGGACAGCACGAAAATTTCCTCGCGCATCCTAATCTAAGCTTTGGCTGTAAAGCTATGATATGATAAATTGATAAGTGACGACTAGCTTCCAAAGGCAAACTATTTGAGTCTTTGTATAGCCGAGCACTGTATTGAAAAAGTCTCGTTAGCGAGCAAAAGGGAAATGTATATACGTGCGGAATCAGACAGTAACAGAGTCAAGAAAACTGTAGCGGCGTACTAGAATTATAAAATTACGGTGATACTGTAAATCAAATTTTAGTATCCACAGCCAAAAAAATGGGAACAACAACAAATTCAGGATTTCACTCTTATACTATTAAAAAACCTCTTGAGCGCAAACTTACTAAATGAAGACTTTGATGATTACCTCGCTGTATAAGTACACTCGCTCTGTGTAGAGGCTCAAACAAAACTTCAGTTTCATTGGCTCAGAAGTGTCTTCCGGTTCTTCAATTTCTTCTTCCTCAAACGCTGCATCAGATTCAGCTACAAAACTGTCTTGTTGTCCTACGATAGGAGATACCTTGTAGTGACTATTCAGTTCAGATGGTTCGGTTGTTACACTTGGCTTTGGCTGTTCTGGAGTTGACTGAAGCTTGTTCCTGAGTTCAGGAACCGAGTACAGGTTAGAACACTTAGTAAATCCACTGTACAGCTGCGCTGATGATGGACTGCTTGATGTAGTTTCACCACTGGACACACCAGAGCTTTGTCCCGAACTACTATCTTCTTCCACCTCGTCCTCCCACCAGCAGTTATCAGAGTCATCCCATTCTGTCATAAACATTTCTTCTGCTGCAGCTTTAAGTTCTTCGAGATTCTCCACAACCTTGCTACTGGAATCTTCAACCACTGTAATTTCAGAGGAGGGCGTTGACAAAGCCGTCTCACATTCAGCCTTATTAACCGAATGATCTGAAAGGTCACTTAGCTCCATCACCACATCATTATTACCACATTGAAGCTTTTTAGTTTTCAGCTGGGTAGTTTCTGTTTGGTCACCATTCATTGAATCATCAGATGGTTTTTCCACAATCACACCTGCTGACAGATCTGATGAACAAGTTGATGTGTTCATCATGTCATCAGGGTCAATCACCTCCTTTTTAACCTCTTTGCACTCCCCCAGTTTCAGCCTTTTTCTTGGTCGAGATATGGTGACCTCCTTCTCGTGATCGAAAACAGCAATTGAATCACTAACACTGTTAGATTCGCAGTAAGATGACTTAGTTGTTTGAGGTGTCAGGCTTTTCTCAGTTTCTGTTAAAAGATGGTTATCTTCAGCACCTGTCAAAATAGGGCTACTCTCCACTGATGAGCTCTCATCAGTCTTCCCAAGGTCTGTTTTCCGTCGTCGTTTTCTGCTCATGTTGTCACTATTTATGGTGACGTCATAGCTCCGTCGTCTTTCCACTTGACGCGCGTACGTACTCGTGGTTTTTCGCTGACTTCGTCTTCTTGGAGTCAAACACATGGAACATTCGATCATTTGAGACATGTTGGAGAATGTACAAAAAGAACATGACCATGAAGGTAAGCCGGAGTCATCTAAAGCCGCCATCACGTCGCTTTCTTTACCTGCTGATCTTTCTCCGGGAGTGTTACACAAATCCTGAACAACAGTATTTTCATCCACTCTGTTAATGCCACCTGTTTCATTTGGAGACGCAGTTGTTTCTTCATCACCCAGCTCCCCATTCGCACTATAACAGCTGATATTTCTGGAGTCTTTTTGCACGGCTGACAAACCTTTAGTCTCCACTTCTACGACATGCTGACTTTTTGTAATAGAATGTTCGATATCCGCGTCCATGTGTACTGTAGTAGAAGTACTATCATCAGTTACACGTGGTGTGAGGCAAATAGAACATTCCAATAGCTGCCCATCGTTGATCAAAGTACAAGCGCTGCAAGACCAGCTAGGTGGTTCTTTGTAGATACTATGGGTCCTCTTCTCTTGAACTGCTTTTCTGTTGTTTGTTTTCTTTCTGCGAGATTTTCCCTTCTTTGACTTGCCGGAATTCTGAGCAAGCGCTTTTGCAGCAGCCTGGGTCTGTCTTATAGTTGAAGCTTGAAAATCATCGGATGAATCCTCCTCAAGGACAGCTGATGCACTATTTTGTTCGTCACCCTCTCTTTGACTTACTGAGTCGAGTGCACTGTTGCCAAAATGCTGCAAAGGCTTTGATAAATCTAAAGAACTAATACTATCGTTGCATTTCGTCATTTGTTTTTCTGGGTAATAGACCTGATTATCCTCAGATGTACAGCCTCTAGTCTGACTGAGAGAGCTTACTGTGTCCAGGGTTATGGTGTCTGTAATAGGACTAAGAAAAGAAACCGAGTGTTCCACTGTTTGATTCCCGCTCAGATGATCCTCTGGTTCAGTTATTCCAAGCTGCGGATGGATTTCTGTTATATCACTCTGATGCAATGTGGTCGTTCCAGGTGTTTCCTGGAGCTTTTTGTGTTCATTATGATCAACAAAGCTTGAGTCATTAATAGAAAGACTCTCTGTCTGTGAGGAACACGCATCCTTTTTTGAGTCACAGTGTTTTTCAGCTTCCAATGGACTTACACTTTCTTGTTCAAATGGACTATACTTTTCTTTTAGCTTGGCTTCACTACCGTCATCACATCCTTCTTGATTCCCTGTTTCTAAAGCTGTATCATTACTTAAGAGTTCGCTTTTTCTCTGTAGTGTTATGCTTGATGCTGTTTTACAAACAAGAGAAATACAATCTATATCTGCTTCTTGTAATGACGCTAGAAACCCTCGATCTTTCCTATTTGAAGGACCACTATTGCACGCAACCGTTTCCTTATAATTCTCTTTATCCGTGGTTTTTATCGGCTCAACTGCCGCGTCCTCCAAATAGCTTTGCATTGTCTGTGATTCTGTGTCAGGATCATCTCCAACAAACTTCAAAGAGCTTTCGCAAGCAGACTCTTTCTTTTGAAGTTTAGTGACGCTTTTGCTTTTCGTAAAAGTTAACTTTCCATCTTTCTCTTTCTTAAACTTTAACTTTTTAGGTTTGAGAGCGGAGTGCTCCTCTTCTGAATCAGGTTTGACTTTGGCTTCAAGTTTGTCATTGGCTTCAAGCTGTTCGGCTTGTTCGGCTTCAAGTTTGTGATCACCCTCCACATTCTTCACGCTGGTTTGTTTACTGTGTTCATCAGCCGTCTCCCCATCTCTCTTAGGGACTTCCAATGATACTAAGGAGAAAATATAATAAGCGGAATTAATCTCAGTAAATTCAGACCAGAAAATATTAAATTGGTGTTCAGGAGGTTTAGGAGTTTTTGTTGCCCTGCTACTTTGAGAGGAAAGAAAAGGAAAATAGAACTGCTGTTCACTTCCCGCTCAGCCCAGGAAGAATGAGAGGTTTAACAACAAGTTATCAAACCGCAAATACTGCACCTGGGTGTCTTCGCCAACATCATCTCGATCTCACGTTTAAAGACACATTACGGCCCTATGGTCGTATCTGGAACACACATCTGCTGATACTAAAAATCTACCACAAATATGCACCGGCAGATATTGCACCTGACATAAGGGTGTCGTCATCCACATCGTCCCAAGTTAGACACATGATATCGTCATCATCGCTATTCCTAACGAATATCTCTTACTACTAAATATCTAGCACGAATACGCAAAGATATTGCACCTGACATAAGGGCGTCGTCATCCACATCGTCCCATTTTATGGACATGTTATCATCATCATCGCTATCCAGAACAAATATCTGCTGCTCAGCATTACTGCCACTCACTGACATCACACCCTTCTGTATCTTACTCCTCTCACTGACGCCTTCGTTATTCTCCAAAAAGTTATTTCTCCGTGAACTTGATGTCGGAGTGAAAAATGAGCGAAGGTCTCTTTGATTCTGATCTTCCTTCAGAGTTTTAGAAGAAAGCTACAAGAGAAAGGAACTTTAAGTTTTTCGCTTTCTCTGAAAAATTAACTTTACTTAGGGCTACTATCATTTCATCAAGAAGGAACTGTCGAGTTATCAGAGGCACGTTGCTAAAGGGTTCTTACGGTAGCCAACTGGCCAAAATCTAGATACCATTGACTCTTGTTTTTCAAAGCCTCCTAACCTCTCAGAAGCCCGTTTTTTTTTGGTTAGCACGTTGATACTTGTATATTCATACCTATGATAAATAGAAAGTTAAATAACCTTATGTACAAATTTTCCTTTAATTGTCGTTGGGAGATCTTCAAATGGAAACGTTTTTGGGAGTCTCGAAAGCAGCAACAGTTATGAAACAACTTTCCTAAAATCACCAGACACGCTAACGAAATTTGTAACAACGCGCGCGATTTATATTCAAGAAAGAGTGCAAAATATGTGACACTGCTGACTGCGGATGTACCGTCAAAACATATCTGGTAAATTTTAATGAAAGTTGAATTTTATTCTAGAGTGTCTAGCGAGTCCTTTCAAAAACACATGTTAACCGAATTGATGATTGTAACCGAATTCACTGCCCCTTATCATTAGTACTTAAGCTTCATCTGGGAAATTAGCAGTAAGAGAAAGATAATAATAGTACACTTGTATGATCTGTTACCTACCTGTGCCATGACAAAGTCTTCAAGCTCACCAGCGTCTTCTTCGTGATCCTGCACCCAAGCAGCACATGCTGTCAACTGACGGCTTTGATCCTCATCACCATCCTCTGCTTTAAGCTCCTTACATTCCCCATCAAGGGTGCTACTAGTAACATACACCTGCAGAGAGAGCCAGGTAATACAGCTTGATACGAACTGCACCCTAAATCAGACAGCAGTGTGTATCTTCGAGTTGGCTTTATATCAAGTTTTGGCATCCTTCTAAACAATTAATTGCACCAAGGTACAGTCTTTTTTGTCAGTACAGTATACAATGTAACAAAACGAGCTCACATTACTCGTGAGTATCTCCTTTACACTAAAGCTGTAAAGGAGCAAAGGGAGAATAGGGTGTTTACAACCCATCTACACTCTTCGAATTTACATTAAGTAACCTCTTTCAGGTTCCCAAGCCTGTTATGCAGATTATAGCACAGACAACATAAATCAACAGTCTTTTGACATGTACCTTGCGTCTAATCATACCCCAGAGAATTTCATCAACAGTTCCTCGTGCAATCAAATAATGGACGTTAACAGGTAATGTTTGTCCAATTCTGTGAGCTCTGTCTTCAGCCTGTATGATGACACCAGGGGTATAATGCAACTCAGCAAATACTACATGGTGGGCTGCTGTAAGAGTCAGGCCCTGGTGAGATGGAGTGACATATTATGATTGTTACATGCATTCAGTCCTAATACAGGGAAGTGTATAGCTGGTTCTAGGCTACAACAATAGTCAAAATGAATCTGACTTTCCATCAGCAAACACATTGCTAGAAGGTATTAGGGTAGCAGCTAACTCCAAACACATTTCTCATCCTGACATTACAAACATAATGTTCAAATTTTTGTGTAAGGAGATGTCTTTTAATGTTCAAACTCTTGTATGTCTTCACAGGGCAGCAAATGGGAAGAAAACATTGAACTCTTCAATTAGTAAAAAGCTATTAGGTGTCAAATGCCCCACCCCCAGACAGCCACGAATTATGATGATGACAAATGCACTACTTTGAGAACTCACAGAAAGTCAAGGTGATGGAAGGATGGCTTGCTTTCAAATGCTGTAAGCTAGCTACATGACACACTTAAGGAACAGAAAATACTTCAAGTGTTTGTACAGGTACTTACAAAAGATGCAGCTTCAATGGAAAGAACAGCAATACGCACTTGAGGGTCAGTTTGAAATGAGTGAACCAGATCCTGGAAAAAAAGGACTACATTAAACTGAAGAATCATCATTCAAAGAAAACTCTCATACAACTGTTTTACAATATAATCACAAGAGATAATAAATGTCTCACTGCAACTAAGATGTGTTTCTATGTTATTCTGAGGATCACTTTGAGTTTGTAAAGTTTACGTTTTGGCAGCAAATTCCAAGAAACAGAGATCAAAACATTAACACTCAGCTGACCACCTGACGACTGGATTCAAGAATAGTTTGAATTACTGCCTGCGTATCAACTGCATACAGTAAGCTGTATGCTAGCAGTTAATGTATTCTTTCCAACTTTTCACTGCAGTAAATTCATTGTTCATGCCAGAACATACAGGGTGTATGTGACAATATAATAATGTTGTTGAAAGACCAAACAAGCAAGTCAGACTGATAAAAAAATTACATGACGAGTGCCATACCCCTCTCATTCCAGAAGGCACATCACCAGCAATACAGATGTGTTTTAGCTTTAATGTCACCAGCTTCTGGACTATAGCTTGGCACACCAGACGGTGGCGAAAAAACACAATGAACTTGCTGTCCATTCCTTGAGCAAGGTCCTCTATATACTTCAATACTGGACCAATCTAAGTGTAAAAATAAATAAAATTCAATGTCATTCATCAAATAATGTTCACTCAATTTATGAAGAAGAATTGGAAGAAATTTTCCAAGAAATAATTGCATGTTTCCTTCTGAAGAAAAACGTTGGCAATAGGGGTGAAATTCTAAGAAAGGATACAGTTCAAATGCTCTTGTAAATAGTAGCTTAGTTTTTTTAGGGAATAATTAATAGTTTCGAAAATCAAAGAAATAAATTAATTCAAGTCATAGACAATGAACATGTATAACAGTCAAACCTCAACGAATGGCCACCTCTCTACAAAAGCCACTTTATTTTGTCTTGGCGAACAGTCCATACATTTACTCTCTACAATGAAACCTCTTTACAATGGCAATAACAGCCAGTGAAGCGTGTCCCTAACTGCCAAAATAATCTCTCGATAACAGCCAGTTTTTCAGTGACTGATGAAAAAATCAAGAATCTGAATGGTCATGAAATAAGAATCCATATGGCACGTTGATGATCAATCGCAGCATGGTTGTACATTGATTGTGTTCCATTTATGCTCCTGCAGTAGGTATAAATTGTCTACGATACTTAAAGCAAATGTTGTGAACCCTGCTTGTTTGTCACATTGACAGTTTGATTCAAAACATAATTCAAGTTTTTTGTGAATTTTATCTCTATATAATTTATGATTAGATTACCATTGTAGGATACAGTAACAGGGTTGTCACTAAGATTTCAAGTTGCCGGGTAAATACAACAAGTAGGCGGGGAATCAAACGGCTAGGGATTTCTTTTGGTTCTATTTTTGTTCTATTTTCCAATAAAAGTAGCTGGGGGCCACTCTTTTAGTAGCCGGGGAAAATCCCCGGCCCCCGGCTCTTAATGACAACCCTGAGTAAGCATGAATTTAGCACAATAAGCGTGTTATACTTCCTAAAACAATTTGTCATATTACACCCCCTACCTCCCCAAAATGGCCACATCACCACAACAGCCACTTTCTTCTGTCCTCAAGATGGCTGTTGTGGACAGGTTTGACTGTATGTACTTTTTTAATTGCCATGATTTTGTCTTCAAAAACAACTTTTATGTACATAATTGGTACTGTGCTTTGTATGTCAGTCAGAAATTAACTTTTTTTTTAATATAATTATTTACTGATAATCACATTAGATAATTACATTTACAGTACTACAAAAAATCATTTTAACAATAGACATTAACAGAATAAAGCAAAATTAATTGTTAAATTATTACAGGGCTAAAAGAAATGAGAAAAAAGTACAACAGGGCAATGAAATAATACGGCATTTAGACAGTTAACTTAAATAACGCGTCAGTATCCACTTCCTTTTAAAGAATTCTTTGTCACTGATTTTTTCTTTCTGTTTAGTATTTAGCGATGATCTTCGCCCTAAATCCATAAATGTTTGGAAGGATTTGTTTGCTCCTACGGTCCCACAAATGGAGTTTTCCGATAATTATTAATAGTTTAGCAGTTGAAGTAAAGGGCAAGCATTTTCCGTCAAAATTCCAAAGAGCACATTTTCTAAGCAAAGACGAATTCATTCATTCGAAATAAGGCACCAATATAATTCAAATTCAATCCAAAACTGTTTAAAGCATGAGCAGTGATAGAACAAATGGGTGAATTATTCCGGTTGATTGTCACAGGAAGTACATAAATCATTTGTTCTAAAACCTATTTTATACAACTTTGTATTTTTGTAAAGAATTGAGTTAATTACTTTGTACTGGAAGGCTTTAACATACAATTCGACAATGATAGAGTGTGGCAGCTTAAATATTTGCCTCACACGGTCGCTGTTAAAATGAAAGTTACTCTGTAACTTTTGAATAATATTGGGTGGTTTTTATAATATTAATATCAGTGGCGTAGGTTGGTTGGTTGGAGGCCCCTTCATGGGTGAGACATTTCTTGCTATTAATGTGACTGCATGATGCAGTTAAGCCTTAATGTGTTTCTTGTGATGTTGAATGTGAATGTGTTTATTAGTTTTCCACTAAATGGGTTTTAAAAACTAATTACAATCAATACTAAATATATTAAAATTAAAAAATCTAAAATTCTAATAGATGTTAAAATATATCACATTACTAATTAAAAACTACTGAGAAATTCCTTTAAATGTCTCTTGAAGGTTGGCAAATTATCACATCCTCTTATTTCACATGGAAGAGAATTCCAGAAACTCGTTGCACGGTATAAAAATGTATGTTGCCCAGAAGCTGACTTATAAGCTGGGATATTCAAGTTATTCTTATATCTAGTATTACAGTCATGAACGCAATCACGTGTCTTAAATCTATGACAAAGGTAGCTAGGGGCTAACCCCTTAACACATTTAAATGCTAAAACAACAAGTGTATATTTAAGAAAACTGGGGACTGCAAGATGCGGTTCGCAAGTCCAACCCAAAAATGACCCTTGCTCACCAACGAGTCCTCAGTAGCTCATCTGGCGTTCATATTTTTTCTGTGTCCTCTTATGGTTGATTATTTACATCCCCCTTTATTTCCTTTATAACGGTTTAATACTGGGTCAGAAATTAACTTGCTTTGTAGTAAGAAATGATGCAAAATGTCACCAACAAGAATTATGTTCTAAAAATGAGGCAGCACTGGAGGCTGCACAGTAAGCTGATAGTTTGAGGGCCAGTATCCTGAATGGTGCTAAATCACCTGATCACACCTCATGGTAACACAGGTTTAATATTCAGCCCCAACATTCATACCTTGGTAAAGTGTCATTGATTATCTAATTCAAGGGAGAGCCACCACAGTTTTATTATCATTCCCTGGAATATAGCTTTCCCTGGTAACATAAAGTTATCAACATCTCCTGTATCTTATTGGCATGAATTCTCTCTGAATAACTGTAACAATTATAGTTTCAATTTCATTATCCCACCTTGACAAGCCCTGTGTAGTGGTACAGTAATGTGGAGAGCCTATTCATCTCAAACAAAGGAGACTGGATTGATGAATCTTCAGTTTCACCTTTCAGCATAGCGGAGCATTTCTTAAAGTCGTTCATAGTTTTCTGCATTTCCTAAAATTCATAGATAAGAAATTAATGAAAATTGACAGCATGTTCAGTTTATTCATCATCTTCATAATAAAACAGCCTGTACTGGCTATTTATTCCCAGAGCTAGTTAATAGACTGTACTTCCATATTTACGATCACAATGACTTGGAGTAGGATATAATGTTGCACACGGTTGGTCTGTTATAATATTAAATCCATTGATTCTAGCAAGGATGCATGAGTGGATGAAAGAAAAAACAAAACAAAACAAAAACATTCCGTGTGAGGATTACACCTAACTCTTACCTTCTTGTATTTACTAGAGGACTCAGAAATATCAAAAACAACTTTCTGTCTTCTCTTTGGTGGTAGCTGGGTCAAAACCTACAAAATACAAGGCAAAACAAATATTATCCTGTAAATTAAGTTACAAGTTCAGTATATTACATACATATCATTACATTATTGATAATTTACAAAATAGTAGCAGCAGCATCTAAATTAAACTGACCTCTTTCTTAAGTCTGCGAATCATAACATTTTCCTTTAAGAGGTGGTAAAGTTCTTCAAGGTTTGAAGCACCACTGCATATGAGAAAATTATTTAGATAGGTTTAGGGTTAAATGTGGAATTGTTCAATAACAAATTAATGACAATAAGATCAGGGGAAAAACAAGAAAGCTGTCATCATGGATCGTAGTTACTAAAACATGGAACCACCTAAAACCACCTAAAACCATCTACAACCACCTCAGAAAAATCAACAACCATCTACAACCACCTCAGAAACATCTACAACCACTCGCAAACAATCTAAAACCATCTAAAACAAGGTATAAATGTCTCAAATAAGGCGAGACGACAACATGTCACGTACATGAAATACGAGAATCGAACAGAACATCCACTTCCCCCCAAAATCTTACTCTCCCTGGTCCCCTGTATTATCAACCATTAAGCTTAGCACAAAACTTCCACCACACTGTCCTCTTATGTTGGGAGGGCTGAGATATAAGTTTGATTTTGTTTCCTCTCTCTTGTGAAACTCATCGACAATTTGATTATAATTCAAGCAACAACTGATGGTTTGTGATTTTTAATTGTCCTAAAATCATGTTTAAAATGTCACATTACCAGTGATTACATATGGTGCGAAGTCTGGAATATGTCTGGAAAATTCATTTATAATCTCAGCAGGAGCAAAACGTGATCATGAGTCACCATTGCATAACGTGTCACCATTCGTACAACCTCGTGCGGTATGAATGCAGGCACGATGGCGTTCGTGCCAAAGGAAGATCCCGAAGGTACGTACAGTTCCTTTAAAATATTTCTAATGCAGACCATTCTTATTCATACTTTTTCTAGACTGCTTGCATTCCGCCTTTTCTCTTAAAATCCGTCTAGTTCTTATCTCCAAACCACGACGTTATATAATACCTCTCCGAGAGAGAGAGAAACCCTACCTTGTGTAGCCTGCGAACCGCAGACGCGCGACCGGAAATGCGTCTGCTGTTCGCAGGCTATACCTTGTGCTATTATGTAAACAAATGGAACATGAACCAAAACGTCTCACTGGTACCCAGGGTAGAAAAAGCCAAATCAAGTCAGTCTTTCGACTACGAGTTTGTTATTTTATTTTATTATTTTTGTGACTTGATAGTTCATTTTGTAAAGTTCCTTAAGTCTTTAAATATACTTAGCATGATCTCGCATTTCATTTCGTGACTTAAGCCAATGGTTGATGATACAAGGGACCAGGGAGAGTAAGATTTTGGGGGGAAGTGGATGTTTTGTTCGATTCTCGTATTTCATGTACGTGACATGTTGTCGTCTTGCCTTACTTGAGACATATGCATTTATACTTTGTTTTAGATGGTTTTAGATTGTTTACGAGTGGTTGTAGATGTTTTTGAGGTGGTTGTAGATGGTTGTAGGTGGTTGTTGAATTTTTTGAGGTGGTTGTAGGTGGTTGTAGATGGTGAATTTTTTGAGGTGGTTGTAGGTGGTTGTAGATGGTTTTAGGTCGTTCCATGTTTTAGTAACTACGCATCATGGATGTATCTGCACCTGTAGGTATCTGTAAGAAGCACATGTGTAGATACCGGTACAGGTGTATGTTTTAGGTCAAAACCTTAACTTCAGGTTACAGTTTCTAAATTCTGAGTTGATTGCCTTCATCTCCACCTCTAATTATTATATGAATAATGGCTAGGAGACAAAGGAAATTGAGAATCAACCTAGGTTAAAAAAATTCTAACCTGAAGTTAACTTTGACCTAAAAAGAAAGGAGAAGTCATTACATCATGTTGCCGTGGTAGCAAAATTTCAGGATAACATTAAACCAAAAACGTCACTTAAAAAGTGGATTTGTAATGTTTCAGACTTCACCAATCTTATTCAATTTAATTCATTTAATATGTCAAATTTTGGTGAAATTTTCCAGGGTTGAATCCAAAAGGATCGTATCTAAGTTAAGAAAAAGACAAACAAAATTTCTGTGCTGTGTTCACCTACCCCATAAAGCCGGCACATGAAATTAAGAGGGTTCATGTCGCAGTCATGAAATGACTGCCAAGAAATACAAAAAAGTGTGATGCACATGCATAGTTGTTGTTTTGCTTATCTAAACCTATTGCTTTTTTGCCAATCTTGTTGTTGTCACCACCATCATTGCTTAAGCTCCACATTGTTGTGATCCAGAAATTTTGCTGACACCCACTTATCCTCTATATTACATGTACATGTATACCCGTATATCCAAGGCTGGCTTTTTTGTTTACATCAGATTAAACATGTGTTTTGTATTTGTACCTGGTATCATAACGCTGAGCTCCACGGTAAAAAACATTGTGAGCATCACAATAGCGCTTGACAAAACTGTTGTATTTACCAAACTTGCCTGGACACACAATATCCAGCTGAAAATACAGCTAAAAATAATTGTTATATGTCATTAGTTTAAATCACACAGCACCATTTTCAGAAGACAAGCTCTGATATTGTCTAGGCTATTATTGCTTCGTTAGTTCTAAGTTGTTCAAGTTGACCACGTACTAACTCTTCGGTGATTGGTTTGAAAACAAACTTTGGTAAATCAGTTGAGCTTGCAGGAGGAGATGGTAAGGTAACAAAGGATTTTAGTGTCATTGCGAGCTTTGTACCAATTGTAGAGTAGTGGACGTTTACGATCTTGGCGATAGATGGATTATCACAATGTGCTACACCATCGGCTTCGATACAAGAGATTGGGGAGCTCTGTTTATGTGATGTCATTTCATTCAAGTCATTAAGGGCCAGGGGCTAGAGATTTTCCCCGGATACTATGAACATGACCCCCACCTACTTTAGTAGGAAAATAGAAGAAAAATAGCACCAAACAATATCCCTAGCTGCTTGACTCCACACCTACTTGTATCTTTTTTCACTGCAACTTGAAATGTTAATGACAGCCCTGAGGAGACCATCATATCCAGACTAGGAAACACATTGGTGCACAATTCAGACCTCATTAAATCAGCTCTGACTGTATCCATGTCGACAGATTTTAGCTGCCTGAAACTAATGTCCTTAACAGCTATACAGGGTTTCATGGAGTCAAGTTGACACAGGACCACAGCTTCGGTCCAATATAAACTGATCAATCATAGGGGCAGATTAAACACAAGTTATCCCTATGTAAGACATTCTTGTATGAATGCAACAGACATCAAGAGAAGGGGTGAGGAGTCAAGGGTGAAGGGACAAGTTACACCAATCACATACCTCACGAGGTCTTGCCAAGGAAGGTGTTCCGCTCAACAAAATGGCATGTTTAGCTTTTGTGCAGAGTTGGTGGAGCCGCTTTGTACGAGCTGCATTTCTTGTCTTCAAGTAATGTGATTCATCCAAAATAATAACATTAAACTTCTGGTTCTCCAGAGCTTGTAGCAGCAATTTGGATGTCCCTACACTTAGAAGGCCATATCCAACAATATGAATAACAGCTTTATCCAGGTTACTGCAATAACAGTTAGAAAAAAAATCAAATAACTTCATGTACTACTGGGTTTTCTGTTATTTTCTTGGGCTAAGTTTAGCTCAACAGGTAGAGGGTTGACTTCATAGTGGTTGCAGGTTCAATCCCCGGGACCAGAATAATACTCAGTGTCTCGAGATATCTGAGAAATGAAGGTACTGCCTTTGACTTCCAAATAGCTAGACTTTTGCATGGCTAAGATGACCACGTGTGGAAATAGTTATCTCATCTCCAGCAAGATACATAAAAACAGTGTCCTCAATTTATTACTACCTTTGTGTTAAATATATTGACACTCAAACCTATTTTTTGGTCTTTAACGCAGTTGCCCACAAAATACAAGCCAACGTAATCTTGGTATGGAAGAATGGGTATGAATGTTCATGAAACCTAGTATGGTTTTATTATGTTTACATTTGCTTTGACGCCACAGTTTCCTCCCCTCCATATTATTTATAATAAATGAGAAGCTGCAGTTTATTAAACAAACCTGATATCACTACCAGACCTTATCAGGTTCAAGTTATGTGGCTCTACTTCAGGTAACCACTTTTCAATCTCCTCAATCCAGGAAAACTTGACAGAAGAGGGCGCAACAATCAGGAGTGGCCAGGCGTTCTTGTAGTGATATGCAATGCTTATTGCTTGGAGGGTTTTGCCAAGTCCCATCTGTTGACGAAAAATAAAAAGAGTAATGGATCATTGAACTTGACATGTAATCTTCATACAAGTGTGCAACACAGAAGAACAAAACAGCATTATTCTCTTCTACCTTGCTGAGTGATTTGAGTGTCTAAATAAGGGAATAACATAGTTGTTCTTTGCATGAAAAGGTTCGATGTTAGGGAAACCTTACTGCATTGAATATATTTTGGCACAAATTATATTCCAGGCATGATCCATGCGTGGAATAGTGAGTGCCCCTGATGGTAATGGAGCCACTGTGAGGGTGGTTCTCTTTGACTTTGAGAAAGCTTTCGAGCTCATTGAACAGCAGAGTAAACTGTGTTTCAGTCTATAGTTTTACAAGTTTTGATTGCTTTTTATTGTATCAGATTTCTATAATTATTTTCATTTTTTCACAAATCACGATATTTGTTGCTGTACTAGTTTATTCATGTTGCGTTTCTATTATTCATTTCTTACATTTTTCTAAAGAAATTAGCTTCCAATTATTGGTAGTAGTATTTTTAAGTAATTATCTTCATTTGTAAATAATCGCCTAATTCAACCTCCTGGTTGCAATGCGATCTATCTATCTATCTACATACAATACCGTAATATTCTGAAAATAAGCCCTGGGGCTTATATTTTTCAAAGGCCCTTTTTGAGGGGCTTATTTTTGGAGGGGCTTATATTCGGAGGGGCTTATCTACGGAGAGAAATTTGCGTTTCGAAATCGATTGGGCTAGCCTTATAGTTGGAAGTAAATTTACCGTTTTTGCTTTGTTTTACTTTGTATTTGAGGGCATTTTTCCAAGTACAAGCCCACGGGGGGCTTATATTTGGAGGGGTGATTTAACGGAGGGTTTTTTGCGCTATGAGTTTGGGGGGCTTATATTTGGAGGGGCTTATTTTTGGAATTTTACGGTATATTAAAATTCTAACATGACTCCAAGGCTTTCTGGTCATATTTCTATATTTGGTTTGGGTTTTTTGTTAAGCTCAAGTCTCTTCTGGGAATTGCGGGACAAAGGAGTAGTGAAAGTTAGAATTTTATCCATAAACTCCTGGAGACATGTTAAAATTTTACAGGGCTGTTAACCTCCCATGTGTTCAAATATTGAGAATTGATAGAGAAAGGATGGTAGACGACATCATAACGCACAGCACATAATGTCATTTGTGCATAAAATACTCTCCGACCGTCACACATTTGCGATGACACAAAACACGAGAAAAAGACGTTTTTGCCTTGTAATAACGTATGACCTGATGGTTTACATTATTTTACTGGCATACCGGAGGAGTTTATGAGGAAACATTCGATGTTAACATCAAAATAGCTCAATCAACACAAAATAAGTTTAGTTGAAATTTTATAGCCGGAAGTGAAGAGTCTACTGGAGAAATGGCAAACTTTGGAGATTATCCGGGAGATTTCATACTTTAATCTAGAGACAGGGACATTCGCTCCAAAAGTTTATCCAAGAGAGTTGACAGCACTGACTTTAATATATTGAAGTGGTCTACCGGTATTTCTTATTTAATCAATATTGCTATTTTCATCAGCACTTAAAAATAAAAATATTAAAAAAATAAAAAATAAAATAAAATAATAATAATAATAATAATAATAAGTGCATAAAGTATACATGCAAAAAGTGCATGAACCTACCAAAAAGAGTAAAACAATTATGTCAACACTAAAACTATAAAAATTACCTAGACTACTTAAATCGTAAAAAACTGCATAAAACCTACTAAAAACAAGATTAAAAAGCACATAAAATCACAAAACCATCTGAGGAGTGTAATGCTACATGCACAAAGAACAGATTGACTTTATTAAATGGTAACCCTCCCCCCAGAACAACCTAGGGGCAGATCGAGGGGTGAGGACAAAGGAGGCCCGCCGAGAGCCTCCTTATGCTGAAACCAAAACCGAGATTTATGTTAACAGCTCTCCCCCAGTTCCTCAAGGTTCAAGGTCTGGATTCCCTAATGTAACCCCCTGTATCTTTTAATGCCTCCCAGCCAGATTAGCTTTTTAGCTATTTTCTAGGTGGCTTGTACCTTGCATAAGTGAGGCCCTGCCAGGGTAAATTCCGACAAGCGACATGGTCCAAAAAGTAGGAACAGCGCATAAAATGAAATCGCGACAAGAGACATCCTCCTTCAGCAAATTGCGACAGTGGTGGCAAAGCCGACAATAAGTGACAAGCGTTTATAAACACCGACACGAGACGTTTTAAAATTCAGACGGGCGACATGGGACACCCCCCCCTGGCAGTGCCTCATAAGTACTCTTGTCATTTTTAATGTCTTTTTTTCTGTGTGTGGTATAAATAAAGTTCTTGTCTCCTCTTGTCTTGTCTCAAAAACAGGAGTTTTTCATTGCCAGTTCGCTGTCAATGATGACGTGAATACATTAAAGACCAAAAGTTTAAGCTCACACTTCAGAGAATGCAAAACACTATACAAGCTTCACGCGTCACTGTCATGTAGTCCTGACCGCACGCTTAAATGAAAACATTTTAATAACTTGACTTACCTCATCCCCAATCAAACATCTGCATGAAATAAAAGAAAAGAATTGTCAGTCTCTTTAAATCAAACCAATTAGCAAATGCAAATAACCCATTGTTGTTACTGTATTGTTTAAGCCGCAGACACCCGAAGCCGGCATAACAATCCCGATTTCAAAATGAAAATACTGGATTTTTGTAAGCATTAATTCTTTCATTACCTTCCCTGCTTGCTTATTCCGAACTGAACACCTTTCTTTTGAAATTTTAGCAAAGCTTTCCTTAACGGAAAAGGCAAGAAGTTCAAACTTATCGCAGAAGTCGCCATTAAACTGTTCCCGCCATTGCAACTCTTCAAGCGTCCAGTCTACGCGCTGTTGTGTTAACCGAGAGAACTTGGTGCAGGCTGGCTGGCTGGCTTGGCTTTTAGGCTTTAGCGAGGGCTTTACTTTACTTTTAATTTGAGAGCTTTAGATTTGAGGACGAGGACGACTACGAGTACGAGATCTAACTTAAGGTGTTTTCGCGTATTATCGAAAAATATTCAACCCGAAAAACTTCATTGTTCTTTTTTTCACCGGAAAATTTGTGCGGTTATTTTTATTGGAGAACTTTTAGCCAAAGGGCTAAACCGGGGGCCTAGATAGGCTCCCATGACATTTATGGGGTAAAAATGGCGGTCTTCCCGGTTGCAAAACTTCTAAAATTTAATAACTTGTTTCCCCCACTATGACGTTCACGCAAGAGCACTAGTACTGAGAAAATCTCGTACTCGTAGTCGTCCTCGTCTCAGAATCTAGAGCTCTCCAATTAAGAAGCCCAAAATCTAAGAAAAATAAAATTAAGGCTAAGGATGACATTAAACCACAAAAAACCCTTATAATGCGAAAGCTTGGTGCAGATAAGATTGTTGATAGTATTAAAAATAGAAACTGGGTCAAGTCTTTTTCGATTTTTTTTCCGCTGATATTAAGGTTAATATCGGTAGTCGCCGATGACAGCGAGAAGTTCAAGCGGTGTTGAGGCTGCATGTTGTGGAGTGGAGGATAGAGTCAGTGGCAAGAGGCCGGAGAACAGGGGGCAGAGGGGGTTACGGGAGGCGAGAGGTGCGAGTTCTAAAAGGGTTGGAAGCGGGAGAAATGGGGGGAAATATATTTCTCAATCGAAAAAGCGCTTAAGAGCAGAAGGTAAGAAAAAAGAGGCGAGAGCCAGGAATGCAAGCGACGGGGAATGGGAGGTCTGGAACCGCTGTCCCTTCCCCTACTTATGTTGGACTATCGGAAGGCCTCACGAGCTAGTCTAGAATGTTTTTCGCTTTCAAAAATCACTAAACAATGGCTGTTAGCTTATTAAGAGGACGAAAGGATATTCGTACGTTATGTAATACGAATTGTGACGTAATTTATGTACACTTATGATGAAAAGCAACAACGACACTCTCATTAAATTGGCAGTGCATAGAACTACGAGCAACATTTCTGCGATAATCAGTAAAACTCGAGCGCACCAAACTGCTGTTCATTTTTACATTAAGGATTTTAAAGCAGTCTTGACTTGTCTAGCACGTGATCCAACCACGCATATAAAGCTCTTTGTCAAAGAGTCCCAATTGAAGTTTCCGTCATGATGCCGCACAGCTGAAAGTAATAGAAAGAAACACAAAAAGCCTCTTGGTAGATATCCGGATTTACACGAAATAGAATTTAAATGAAGCCTGGTCGTCTTCGATAAAGGTGCAGTCGAATTAGTCTTGCGGCTTTAACGGAGTAACTTTTGCTGCCGATGATAAACCAGAAATTTTCTGTCACTTCGGGCTTGCCTGGCAAAAAAGCTCGTCAAGGATACTTCAGAGATTAAATCACCTCATTAGATAAGTAAGTTTATTCTGAGTTGATCATCTTGCCATGTTTTTATTCCTGGGTTTTAGTTGCTCCATTCTGAACAATCAATTCTTAGTTTCTCGAACATAAAATTCTGCTCTTTACTTTTTCATTCGTAATCCTTGCAAACTGAATAAAAGAGGTCTAATAGTTTACTAAGAATTTTAAAACATTTTCGGTTTTAAAGAAATAAAACTTCAATCAAACCTACTTTCATTTTTTTTCTCGAATTTTATCAGCTTGAATGTCATGTTCAATTTTGAGATGTTTATTACATGCCAGAAATTTTAAATCAATTTACGTTCAAATAAGAAAAGGATTCAAATTCCAAGTACAACTAGAAAATAGTCGAATTACAAGCAAGAACTAATTGAGCACCTTGTTTTTTTATTTTACACAGAACTTGGTTTAGCAACACGGCAAGGCCATAGCAACCACCACCTACGCTTTTCGTCTGAGTATCAGCCGGGAAGCTGGAGCCGTGCGCTTAACAAACTAGAGGTTAGCTGGAGTGAGCATGTCGGGCAAGTCATTTTCAAACGTAACTGAGGTGCAGTGTTCATGGCCCCTGCATCCAGCCGAAACATCTTGCGCAGAACTGAACATGGTTCACTTGCCTATGCTGGTGTCAGAAATCGCTTTAAACGCTGTTCTTTCCGTGGTAGCAACCACAGGTAACGCGCTGTGGATTGCAGCATACGCCAGAACCCCTTCCTTCCAGACACCACTTAATATGTGTCTACTCAGCTTAGCTCCAGTTGGTCTCTTTAATGGCGCGGTTATGCAGCCTCTGATTATATCCGACACTGTTTTTTTCCTGGCGTGTCCGTCGACCACATGCTCCCTGGAATACATCGTGTCTGGCATAATAACATTAGTCGCAGACAGTACTCTACAAAACATTGCAGTGATATGTATAGATCGTTACATAGCGATTGTTCACAGCATCAAATATAACCAATGGGTTACTAAAACGCGCATATGCATAGCGTTTGGCATTTATGCCCTTTTTCGTTTATTTTTAAGCATTTGCGTATTCACAGGAATCATCGATTACCACGCGCTTGTCATTGCTTCGATAGTGTTTAGTGTTGTGATTATTATTTTTGCTTGCCTAAGAATATTTTTAAGGATTCGCCGAGTCAGCGCTGTCGCTGTTGAACCAGTGAATCCGGAAGAGGAAAGAAAGAAAGCGCAAGAAAGAAAAGTTGCAAAAACTGTTGGAATACTCGTAGGTATTTCAGCGTTCTGTTATGCACCTGCGCTTGGATTTTTCTTCACCAATAAGGCAACTTCTGTCAGCCCTCGTCTCCACACTGTACTCTGGCGCTACATTGAAACTGTAATGATGTTAAACGCCGTCATGAACTTCTCTGTTTACTTGTATCGGCATAGAGATCAGCGAATTGCGGTCCGAAAAGTTATCAATGATGCGCGTAACGCTGTTAAAAATTGCTGTTGTCATTAACTAAGGAATCAAATAAATACTAAAATAAATCCTTAATTGTACAAACGAAATAAACGGCTAGTAGAATTATAGATGATCTATATTTAAGTTATGATGTTTAGATTGGGGTTTGAGAGAAATATAAAATACATTGGCCTTTTGCCCTAGCTATTACGATTTTGAGCTAGAGACTAAGTTTCCTGAAAGTGTATAGACCCAAACTCAGATTTAGATCATTTCTTGCGTGCAAAATCATTTTAAGAAAATCGGAGTTTCCACGTAAAGCAGATAAGCATGCTGCTTAAGATTTTCCGCTTAAGAGTAACAAAAGTTTTAATATCGCCGGTAATTAAAATTCAGAACTTTTTGCATATAAACAATGAAATTTATTTCTTTAACTGGAGGCAAAAAAATTTTAATGAAAAAATTCATTGCTATGAAGGTTACTGGTGAAGATTCCCTGAAGTTTCCGACGATTTCTTGTGGCTCAGAGCTTAGTTTTTCCCCAGTTTTTTTTTATCACTGAAATTAAAAATATCATAATTGGTAAACACAAAACAAATAAAAAGTACTTTTTAATCGGAATCAAACGTTTCATTAAACAATATGGCCACAATTAAAGCTTGTGGATGGACCATATGCTATCTCCCATAACCCAGCATATGCTATATCCCATATAAAACATATGGCGGATGTTATAGGACAAATGGAAATAGACTTATTTTCATATTTTTGTCATGAGGGGGAAATGCACAGTTTAAGGTTAACTAGTATAAAATTTTCTTGGAAAGTATTTTCACTTTAGTAATAGAGTTTTATGATCCTTTCCATTGGTTCTCCTCAATCAAAGACAACTAAAAAAATTCTTTCATACAGCCAGCGTAAAGCCATAAGGTGATGATAGCTATGTTGAAAGACTAAACGCACAAGATGGATGCAACGTTCATTTTACACCCCAAAGCATGCTGGGGCCTGATATAACAACGCTGGGGCTATGATGTAAAGCTAGATCTTGAATAAGGCATAACAAATGTACAATACGAACAAAGTTTCATAACCTGATGTCACACCCAAAGGAAAAAGAATGAGTTTTAAGAGCCAAATGCAAATTTTACTAATCATTACTCAGTTAGCCTCGTTGTATATAACTTTCATAACGCTTTGGATGTATCATGTTTGGGTATTTTTCAGTTTGTCGATGTCAAAGAAATAATTTGAACCTTAAAGTACTTTTTCTTCAGAAAAAAACGTAAAAATTATAAATTAAACATTATAAATTTTTGGACAGCTATTGTTAAAAAACTTATTAAATTTAACGGTTTTTAAGCAGAATAAAAGAAACGTTAATTTTATCAATGTTTTATCAGCACGTCAAATTATACGGCTTTCAAAGAGGAAAATCGCAAAAAAACTGGCTAACATAATGCAAAGTTAGCAGAACGATGAAAGGACAGACCTTTTCTTCCTTCGTTCTATTTATTCATCTATTTATTTATTTATTCATTTATTTATTTACTTGATTGTGTATTTATCTGTTTATGTAGTTAGTTGGTTAGTTATTCAGTTATCAGTTAATTTTTATTTTTTTCTTTATTTTAGTATTTAACTGACAGGAGCTGGTATTCGTTTCCTGGTTTTTAACTGTCTATTTATTTTATGAGAAGTGATATTTATCATTTGTTGTGGATGAATAATTATTATTTTTAGAATAGATAATTTTAATGGTACCTGGGTGATACACCTGTTATGACACTGAACAGCGTATGTCTGAATTTGCGTAGGCGAACTTTTTGAATCAATTAGCTAGTTATACTACGTACTTTTTAGATCAGTAAGCCGTCTTTTATTTTCATTTTGGCAATAATTGCTAATCAGCATCAAGTTTATGTTGCTAAACAATCTTGTTTAAAGCAGAATATTGCTTTAAATTAAAAATCGTTTTAACAAATGGAAAAATTACACCATCACTTTGAAAAAATATCGACAACAACATCGAGTGGTTGCTCAGCAAAAGCTTAAAACTT